AACGAAATGGCTTGAAAAATGTGGGCGTATTTATATCTTTTGGTATCATCAACCCCTACAATTCATGGAAAGCAGTGCGCAGCGCACACACGCCCACATGATTATGATAGACTGGCAACTTGCGGTCCAGGCTGTTCAAGGACTCCCTAATACCATTTCCTGAACTTGCTGTTTCATGCTGCTGCTAGCCTTGTCGCGTAAACGGGTCTCGCGTTCAGCGTGGCGTGCACTATAATATATCAGAAATGCCATTTTTTGAAAGAGGTGTGTTTCAAAATATTGTAACGACTTGACGTTTGGATGATATCAACACACCCTCTCCTTTTCTTCAACGATGCTGATGCTCGGCAGAAAAGAAAAGGGGATGTTTTGCTCGCACAAGGCACCATAAGGTCCAGCCTACGATTTTCACATGAGAGACTCCCAGCACTCCGTCTCCCAAGTAGACATCGATTCTCACGCAATTATCGGTTGCCGATCCTCCAAGCCCGCAATGATGGATGTGGACAGCTTAAACTAAACTGTCAAGGGCAGACTATAGAGCAGCATGGCTGTTTTCAGCATAGTATGCGCGTCATCCTAGAACTACTATTATCGATACAGGCTGCTTCTTCAGGTTGATAGTGCTGTTGGGTTTGCTCATTTTCTCATCCACCTCCCTTAGCAGTAGCGACACAAAGCCAATCAGACGTGGTGTTTACTTCCTCGGCGTGTGTACGGGTGATGTATGATACATGTGAAAAAATAACAAAACAAAACAAAAAACAGGTTTCGGCTGGTACCCTCCGAATAATTTTTTTCCTTTCGATTATTTTTGCGAACGAACTACGCGAAGATAGAAACAAAAAAAAATAGGTGAAAAACGCGTACCAAAGTGTGGTAAAGCGCGTTGTAATAGTGTTACATACTGTCGCTACGATACAGAAGATCTGTCATTGTTCCCCGCGTTGTTAGCACGGACCTGTGGATGGGAGTGGGGGTATTTTTTTTTTTCAAAAGAAGCGGGGTCTTGAACGTGTGCATGAAAAGGCACCCAATTTCCGCAGCGTGCTGCTTCCTCGCTTTTTCTCGATCACATGTGGTAAGTCCCTTCCTTTTTTTTTCAGTGTGTGTGTGTGTGAGTGTGAGTGAGGGTAGGTAAGCGCAAGGGTGGGTGCTGATGCTTGTTTTGTAGGCACGGGGCGACTTCTAAGTAGGTAAGTGGATTGGTGAGACCGCTGGCATCTCAATACCGATCGGACCCTCCGAGATCCATAAAGCGACCAAGACAGAACCCAGCTTTGTGGTAGAGGTTCGGGAGCAGATGCCGATGCACCTTCCCGCAAAGCTAAGACATCGACACTCTCGTTTTTGGACGAGCCTCTTTAGGAATTTGATCAATTTAAATAAAGGCCTTGTTGTTGTTGTCCCCCGTCTATCAAACATGTGCTGTTTGTTATTGTATTAGCAATACTTATCAAGTAAAAGGAAAAACACAAGGACGAAGCTGATCTTTAAAGCAAACTTCCTTGTAAACGGATTTTCTATACTGTCCCTCGTCTTTAAAAGTATCAATAACCGAAAACCAGCTAGCATTGACCTTGCTGGCATAGCAAGCATGAGTTTGTGGGATCGAATGACAGCCCAGCGAGTACTTGTACAACGAGGATCATAAGAACAAGGGAAGTTATTAGCTGTGCAATGTCAATATAAGTTGTCGATGGAATTATTCATTAGCTTGATACTCCACTCTAGCTTTTCCTAGCGATATTATCCAAAAACGAGCATGAAGATCGTAGTCAAATCCAAGCATAAGTACCGTGATTATTATCCTTGAGTGCATATAGCTGACTTTGCCGGACCAACCGATGGCATAAAGCGTATGTATAGCTCAGGTGGTGCAGGTATCAGCAACATTACTACATCGTGGTATCCTAAATTTACAACACTAACAGAAAACTCCTTCACGCAAAGCGAGCTTGACGAGTGACCGTCTAAACCAACTCTACCTAACGCACGACGCGTGTAATATAATAGTCTCTCTTCTATATCTCCTATAAACTACAAAGGTATTGTTCCCGCAAACGGATAGTACCTCTAACTCAACGTCATTCACGAATCGGATATGCCATAAGGAGAAGATTTCTATCGGAATGATCTATGTGATACATTAATATACTACTACTGCCTGCCATTAGTATAACACGAATTATTCACACGCCGGCCGGGAATGATGCCAGTTGTAAAATATCGCAAATCAACTGACAGAAATCAGTCGCGATTCACGCAAGATAAAAAGTTCATTCGTTGCCACAGAAACCAAATCTCCACTGCAGCCAGCACCACTGCCAAAATCACTGGTGCCAAGTCAAAGAGACAACAAGACCGCTTAGTTCAACAGAACAGATCAGTAACACTTGGATTCTGTTATGTAACAAACGTTTGTCACAATCGATCGAGAAACAACACCCGCAAAAGAAACATAGTATTGTAGCATACATAAAATAAATGTTCATGTCTCCTCAATAACATGCATGTCAGAGAGAGGCAGACACACGATGATTACCGCGTATGTTTGTTGTTGATGATCGATGTTGGTTATCTCTGTGGTTATTTGTATCGTTAGGATATGCTAGAGTATTATCGAAAATGTCCGTCTCCACGATATGTCAGGTACTACCTATTTTCTGCAGAAATCATCTTCTTCTGCCTGTTTCTGTCTCTCTTCACATGCCACATTTTCTATCATTATGCGATCAATGACGATTTCGCAACCTTACCCACAAAGTCCGACTTGCCAAAAAGAAAGCAGCCGGTAGCAAAACAGAGATACAGCAGAATCATGTAGAACGAGAAAGAAGAGAAGAAACGGTAACTTTCTTTTGTGGTAGTGCCCTTGATCACCATTGTCGTCATGAGCGTTCTATTTGATGTTATTTCACGCTATTTCTCAATTAAGCTTTCTAATCTCTTTCGAGAAGTTCCATACAAAGTTCTTTAAACCAGCATGACCACTTTTTCTCTTGGACTGACCTACTACTGCACGTCCCTCCAAGTCCTCGCTGACGCCGAATTTCTCGTTAAGACTAAAAACATGTAGCTTGAATTTTCCAAATAAAATCGGGTTTATGGTCCTTTACAACTGGAAGTTGGAAAGAAATAGAACAACAGATATATTCTAAATCGTAGAGTATACTCGAAATTATAGCTTAGCTAAACATGGAACTAATTTCTTCTCAAATATAGAAGGAAAAAGAAGAGAACGAGCAGAAGAACGAAGACGAGAATGAAGAAGACCTTTTGCCAAATGTAGTGATGTGGTCTGCTAGATGACTCTGTGAAACGAACGCGTAGATGTTTATTGTCAGTCTTTGCATGGAAATCATAGGGCGTTTAGGGCAAAAGAGAGACGAAAAATAATTAGCGCGTGGTGAATGGTGGAGTAACGGTAGCACAACGAACCCACCAATACGAAAGTCAAGCCACTGAGCATGTCAATAAAGGAATACTGAAGACATGCAAAGAAGAGCTGTAAGTATACTTATTCAAATTCACAAGATAAATAACAGCTAATCGGGTTCTTTTCTAAGGGATATATACTGTATCATCTTAATTATTGTTGGACCAGATCCGGCTTTCAGCTCCCCTTTGCAATACGGGCTCGATCAAGAAGAATGGAAACATATGCTGCAGGAGTGCAAGGATTTTACTGCTGCATTATGCGTAGATACGGCAGTATGGAAAGAGAGCTGAGGAAAATAACAAACAAGCAGCTCACTTTGCCATGCTCATCACACAAAAGCACATTGAAAATGGATGGAAGAAACCGTTACTTGTGTAAATATAAAGAATAAAAGAAACGTTGCTTAAATCCACCTCAAGATGATGCTGGTAGTCGTATGTGTATCGATCTGTTGTGAGGTGTAAGAGCTAGCTCTCAAACAAGCTTTCTCACAAAATATCCAGGAAGAAAATCAAGCACGACGCAACATTTCGGACACACTGGCGAATATCATACTTCTTGTTGTACTACCTGCATTCGTGGATGTAAGGCCTATCCTTGCAAAAATAAGCTGATGACTTTTCCTTCCTTGATCTGGATATCCCCGCATCTCGCATTTAAAAAAGATAAGCAGCTTGCGGACCCAGGGTTTAGTTTCCCACTCTTTCCTTCCTAGGAGCACAGTTGCCGATCACACAGTGAACCCATCAGGTATTGTGTGATAAAGTCGTTTAGTATAAGGTTTGATTAGAATTCGTTGCCCGCTTTTCAATTGGTTCGAAGGTTTCACTTTTCTTTTCTCTCTTCTTCTTTTCCCCTTTCCCTGTATCCTTTTCTCTACCACTCCCCCCTTGAATTGTTGAGCGTGTGTTATGGACATTGACCCCATTGCCGAGCATTCTCGACCCGATCCCGGCCTTGACGAATCTGCAACGGTCCTCCAGCCGAGCACAGTGCTTATGCCACACGCACCCCCTACTGACAAGGTCGTTACTCCGACTGTCGAAGACGACGAAACCGACAAGGCTGTTGCACCTTCTGTCAATGACGAACAGCAACCACTGCAAGACAACCAGCAATTGCCACAGCAGCAACTGTCGTCCTTGGAACAGCAACAATTTGATATCCCGAGCGAGTATCTCGAGCACCTTATCCAACCGGATCCACAACAACACCAACACCAACAGCAGGAGGTGTCCCCCATATACGGAATATCTGCTGATCAGTTTGCCGCAATCCAACAGCTGTACGCAACCACCCCTTTACCAAACGATATCTTGTTTCCTTGGCTGCACGGTGTCAACGGCCGGTCTTATCAGCAGAATTTGTTTTTTGGTGTGCGCAAGAGTATTGTGCCCAAACATCGTGGATTGATGCTAGTCCACGCAGACGAAGCGTGCCCTTATAACGCTCGATTGGCTCAAGCGGTACTGCCGTCCGAGTTGATAACCACGTCGTCGGCAATGGACCCAACACCATCATTTATAGATACCAGCGATACGGATCACGCCGTCAATTTGCGAAATTTTAAGATCCAGGTCTCGCGATATGGATCGATCAGTGATATTGTCGTGTATGGATACGGGGCTGTGGAGGTGGCACAGAAGATCGTCGTGGCCCAGGCACGATTGCGGATAGAACGGCTGGAGCAATTAGAAAAGATTAGAAGAACATCAGGCCAGAGTGCCGTCAAGGATGCCAATGACTTGTCTTATCGCGTCTTGGTTATCACAGGTAAATCCGGGAGGAGGAGGGGGGGGGGAGACCGAGAAGAGAACGCGCGTTTATATACTTGAGTGTGTATTATGGATAATTGCGTACATATATTGTGTGCTTATGTATACTCATACGCCCATCCATCCCGTATAGATCCGTTCGCAAAAATCGAAGAAAAACATCCGGAACTTATCAGCTACAATTCAAGCGGGATGTGCATGAACACCATCAGCTTTTGGGAACGTGAGCGAGAGGAAATGCGTCTCATGAGTGGTGCGATCGAGATAACGCCTAATGTCTGGGTAAAATAGAAAAAACCGATTCTTCTTTTTTAAACTGATGCAGCATTTTTTGTGGACCTTTTTAAACTAAACAGACAGCCGAAAATAATAGGTGGGCAACACTCAGGACGCACCTGCATACGTGCGCCAACCTGACTATGACGATGAAGAAAGCGAGGTCGACGATAACCCGCATCAATTCTCCATCTGCATCGAAGCACATGATTTTGCTGACATGCCATTGCCGTCCACACTGACATTGGCACGCGAGACATTAAATGAGCTACCTACGGATGGATTACCGCCGGAAATCATCCATCTCGACGTTCACTCGACGGGGATACCCATGGAATCCGGAGCATTCGACAAGTTCTACAAACGACTGGTGCATCTATTAGCTTTTGTGGATGATCAGGCCAGCCGGGGCCGTAGGATTTTAATTCATTGCTCAGACGGCTATACGGAAACAAGCTTGATGGTCTTGTCGTGGATCATGTACAAGGAAAAGGCCCGGCTGCCAGAAGCGTATCTGATGTTACAGCGCAAGAGAAGTTTCTTTGTGTATTCTGTGGATGTTGCAACGCTTCGACGGATTGAGCACCGGTTATCACAGCCAACAACAATAACGTCATTAGCATCACCCCCACCCCAACCACCATCATCGGTAGCAGGAGTAGATCATAAACGGAAACGAGGCGACCATGTGGTGGAGAATGGTGATGAGGATGAAGGGGATGAGTACAATGTACGGTTACCCCCAGATACGCGACAACAGCTACAGCTCGAGGATCTCAGTATCGGCACCGCGAGCAATAATACCAACAATAACAGTAACAACGACGCAATGGCAGTGGATGGTGAAGAGGAGGACGATTATTTGGATGAGGATGATGATGATTTTGATGGGGACGATGAAATGCAAGGCAAAGACAATCGATTACTGCACGACGACTTTTACATCAATAGTATATCTAATCCAGCACAACACAAGGACCAATTAGGGCAACACCATCATCAAAACAACAACAACAGCAATAACAATAACCAGTTTACTCCGCCGGTCCCTGGAAGGCCCGTGCGTACTGGCGGTGATTATCAGCAGCAGCAGCAGCAGCAGCAGCAACCACAACAAGAGCAAAGCATGGATGAAAGTATTGGTGCTAGCAATGACGGCGACGACGACGCTATTGATGAAACGATCCCTGTCCACTTGCTGGAACCGGAACCCGATGCAACCGAAAAAATGCATTTCCCATGGTTTTATTCACCGCGTTTCGAGGGGTCGTTCCCATCACGGATACTTCCCTTTTTGTATCTCGGCAATCTGAATCATGCGACAAATCCAGAAATGCTCAAAGCGCTTGGTATCACTCACATCGTGAGTGTGGGTGAGGATGCGAATCTGGATCAAAGCCAGTTCAAGCTCTTGTTTCTTGACAATTTATATGACGACGGCATTGATTCTATTCGCGGACGATTGGAGGAAACCATGCGATTTGTTGGTAAGTTGTCTCATAATATCACTGCTCGCAAAGGGGTGAGATAGATAGATAGAGAGAGAGAGAGACAACCGTGATAAGAGGTAACTGACATGTGAAAACCTTTGTGTTTGTTCTGAGAAAGATGAAGCATATGAACAAAACAGTTATTGTTTGATCCACTGTCGCGTGGGCGTTAGTCGGAGTGCCGCCATTACAATCTGCTACGTGATGCATCATCTCAAACATTCCTTAGTACAAGCCTACCTCTACGTACGTGCACGAAGGCTTAACGTCATTATTCAACCCAATTTGAAGTTCATGTACGAAATGCTACAGTTGGAACAGCATTTACTAGGCAAAGCAACAATTTTCTGGCCTATTCTTAGCAAAGAGATCCATTTATTGAACATGTCTTATCGCGAATCATGATCTCTTCTCTGGCCAACTCTTTATAAAACAATAAAAAAGATGAAAAAAAAGGAACATAGGATATATCCAATATAATGACAAAGACAGTAATTATAATACTGTGGTTTATATGTATATGTGTGATGTATGTGTGCTTTAACAAAGAACAATAGAGAGAATGCAAGGAGAGAGTAAGAAGGAAGTTGATGCGTAATTTTAAGATATGTGGTATTTTTGAAAGAAAACTATCAGGTTTTTTGTATATATAGAAGTTTGGTCTTCGTGATTACTGTTGTTACTGTGGTTATCAGATTAAGAGGGAAGGGGTTGCGGGGTGTTTGATGTACAGCAAGAGTAAAACCACTGGAAAGGATGCGGGGATATAGAAAGAGTTCTACTGCCATACCACTGATGGCTCAAATACGCCAGATAGATGGAAAACGTACTGGAAATCGGGCTTGAACGGATGTGTCATACAACCGTGGATGACAGGTGGTGTAATTGCATTCTGTTTGTATTGCAGACATTGCATGTTGTCCCCAGCCAAAATTTGAACGAGCTCGCCCTATGACAGAGAGTATGTTAGCCATACATAATTCACACGCATCTCACATAGAGCTTATAACTTACAGTTTCAGCGTGCCGAACTTCAATAAAGCGAGGGTCGAATGCAATGACGTATGGGTATGAGAATGCTACTGATTGCGGTGTGCCTTCCCACTCAATGCTATTTTTATATAAGCAACCGAAAACACACGTCAGTCATTACCATCATTGATTATAGTACACTGTTCAGCTATATCCTTACCGATCATAGGCACCGCGCAAATATTTGCCTCGCATATTGACCATGATTGCAAAGGCATCATAGCAAAGCAAGTAATTGTCCCTACAGCGGAACATTCCAAGCGGTGTAATCTGATCCGCACGTTGCTGAATAAACGCAAAGTCAGGATCTTGTAGCTCGGGCAGGTTGTGATTCATATTCAATCTGTCCAGGTCGATGATTTCAAAACCACGGACACAGACGACGGCCAGTCGTGCCTTGAGGAACTGTAACGAGGAAGATTCTGCGCCAATGTAGAATTCCTATTTAGAGTGCCATGGTTGGTGTTAATATGACCGGCGACGACTTTTTTTTTGTACTAGAGCACCACTCTTGGTAGCAAGCTAGGTTGCGTCCACAACATACCCGATATAATTTGAACCATGATGGCGATTTTGCCCAAAAACCAGTTTTGGTTGCAAGGAACTTTGCGTTTCGTGGATCTCGTAAATCACCACAAACCGGTTCCATTGCCCGGAAGAGACTATCCATGCCCTTTTTCTTCATAAGAATAACCAATGTCCGGTTGTTGCATACGCCTGTGTTGAAAAATGATACACTGCTTGCTAGTTTGTACGAGGATCTTTCTGTTGGCTTGGCTGGCGCTGTGGGATCAAGCATATCAAGCGGATAAGCAGTGAGTGTTTTTTCTATTATTGATCACACAGCAGCATGGTTAGTACAAATAGAAAATCAAGCTGTCGTTTTTTCTCCATAGTAGATCGTTTACCTGCAAGCACAAGGAAGATGTGGAACTCTTCAAGAACACCAATTTGAGTTACTTCATCGACGGTCAGCACTCGACGCAAGTTGTTGGTATCGCCTTCTATTCCCATCCACACTCCCAGTTCTGTTCCTATGGCAACCATGCGGATACCACGAGCACCCACTACATATTATCCAGCAGCAATAGCAGGAAGCAGTTAGCATACATGTATCGTAAAAGGTGGCTGTGCTTTTCTTTCTGAGACCTTACCAAATGCAGTGCTGCATGTAATTTTGCCATGATTGGCAGGTCCGCTTGTCAAAGCAAATGTAGTGTCACTCAATGAGCGGATCTCGAACACTTTGCGTTCGGGATGTGCTTCTTCCAAAGCCAGCTTCGCCTCAACAATCTTTTGCTTCCACTCCATCCGCTGCTGCGCACTTCCTGCATTGAAAAGGTAGTCACCACCGGACCGGCCGAGATGCTGTATGATGATGGATGTCGAGGATGATGCGGGCGGTGTCAGTGGCTGTACTGCTGCTCCTGCCCTAGGCACTGCTGTGGACCCCAATTTGGGACTGGTTGGGCTGAGCAGTGGATCATCATACGTGCCAGCTAGGGTGGTTGCTGTAGAATTGAATGTGCTGCCATTGTTATTGCGTACGCCCAATGAGAAGCCCTCGGTACCGTCGCGAACATGCAGCAGTTCAAGCGGGATTGGCCGTCTCCAAACAACGTACTGGTTGCCCTTATGTTTCGTCATGAGCAGCATGTGGTCAAAGACGAAGATTTGGTGTTCGATCGTCTCGACGCCATAATGCGACCGTCTTGTCAGTGCGCCTTCAAATAGCAGCTTGCGTCCACGCTCACGCAGCCGCAGATCCACAAACGGTTCACCCGTCTTGAACTTGAGCGAATCGTTGATCTGATACAATCGAACAGTCATACGCTTGGCTGCAGCCAGTGCATCCACTCGTTTGCCAATCTCGCGCACCTCTTCAACACAGCGCGTCAAGTCATCCTTGTCCGGGTGGTCGTCCTCGGTCCGTTTGAGAACAGCATCAATGAGTAGCGGGTAGCGTTGCAAGCGTGTCACAGGCAGCACAAGGAAATGTCGGAAAGGCAATTTACGACATTCGGCCTGCTTTTCTTTTTCGCGGATAAAGTTGTGGAACAGCATGTTGTTGTTGGCTTCTTGCTTGGCTAAGTATTCGGCAAGCGCAACATGTGGGCCGTAGTTGGTGTAAGCGTCCAAGAACCGATGCAGATGGCGTAGAAAGATGTTGCCGACTTGGTCGACAAAGCCGCCCACTGATCTGGCTTGGCAGGCGCTTTGGTAATCACGTAGGTCCCTGTACAAGTCTTTGTGTATCGCGAGAATTTCCAGATAGTTGCTGAACACGCTATCGCAAAAGATTTCACGGCGGCCTTCGTCGATACATTGTGCTGATCGCAGCGACTTGGCAAATAGCTAGAAGCATAGTGTTTTAGTTTTCCAAGCGGATGTTTTTCATAAGTTGGAAAATGAGAGCATAAGGAAAAAAGGACATACATCGTCCAGCAGGTTGAGGTCTCGAACGTAGTCTTCTTCAGTGTAAATGAGCTCGTGGATCGCTTCTTGCCGCTTGATTTCCTGTTCAGGTGTGTTTTGGAGGATTTCCCGTGTCACCGTCGCTTGCCAAGCCCGCGATAACGTCTATAATTGCGATTAAAACCCAACCCTTATTACATTTGGTGCTCACACACACTCATCTACAGAGAGCTCAATTATCCCGAGCTTCCGGTGCGCCATTGCACAGCTAACACAAGGCAAACTTACTGTGTCATGGGAAGATGCAATGGACGACGATGTGAGCGACATATCTCTTCGCACAGTCGACGACTACAATAAAACCATGCTATTTAGTTACACCCCGGGTATGGCCCCTAACACTCTTTTGCAGTCTACCTGCTTGTCAGACAACGATGTCGGCTTGGGGGCGTATCTATTGGGACAGCACGACGAATAGCAGCCGCCTTGACCCGGCTCACAGAATGGCGAGTAGCAGAGCGACACGAGGGTATACACACCGCGTGCATAGCCTTCATCCAATGTGGTGTCAACAATGGTATAGATCTCACGTGGTGAATCGTACAGCGTGTTCTTGCGCAGCGACTTTTCCGAGTATTGTATGGGGCTGATGAGCGGTGGCGAAGAGTGCATGAGTGCCCGTGCTACTTTGCGATACAAAACAGGTCGTTGGTTTGGTGGCAACAGGTCGCGTACAATTCTCTGGACAAGTACACAAGGAGACACAGATGGATAATTAGTGTCTAGCATCCCCGTCCTTCAACACATTCGCTGTAGTCATCGTCAAAAAGACTTACCACTGCCTCTTCGCCCGTGAAACTCAAAGGATACTCTTCAGTCGAGAATATGCGACGCGTACTGTTCAAATGAACAACGCGATTGACAAACCGATCTGCTAATTCTGACAAGACGGCTGCGCTGAACACGGGGTTCTCGGGCGTGACCAGCTGAGGAACCGCTTCAACAGTGCTCTCCAAACGGATCGCCCGAGCGCTCTTTTTGCTCGTTGACCGATTTACGTTCTCAGCAAAACGTATCCGGGAAGTGGTGCGATCCAGCGAAGTGGTGCGGGTGGTAAATAATACTGCATTATCAACTGCGACCTTGGTCACTTTTTGTGCAATGGTTGGCTCGACAGTCTCGTCGGAATCGTCATCATCATCGCTATCATCATCTTCAGCGCTAGGTAGTGAGGGTGACAGCGGTCTCTGCTGCTGTTGCGGTTGCTGTTGTTGCTGTGGTAGTGCGTATTGATGCGGCCGTTGCTGTTGCTGCTGCTGCTGCTGCTGCTGCGGTGTTGGCGATGGCTGTGATACAAGGGTGTCTGGAACACGTGGAAAAAGTGAAGGCGACGCTGGAGGTGATAATGTGTTATCGTCCTCCTCGTCACTTAGCCCGGCGTGAAAACTCGGTTGTCGTCTACTGCTCGTTCGTACAGGCACAGGTGTTCGGTCGTTGACAGGATGGTCATGTTGGCGCACTAAATTTAACCCATTGCCATTACTACTGCTTATGTCGTAATGCCCGTTCTGTTCCTGCTGTTCCTGAAATAGACACAGTATTATAATTATTATAAGGCCAGCCAGCAACTTTAATGAAGGGGGTGGGGGGAAAGAAGAAGAAAAGGCTTACTAAACCAAAGGACTGCGAAGAGTCGAAATTAAGCTCATTGAGTAATGAGTCAAAAAGTGAATCCAGGCTATGGGAAGTAGTCGGAGGTGAAGTTGTCGTTGTTGCTGTTGCACTATTGCTGTTATTGTGATATGTACTGGATGCCATTATATGCCTATGCCTATGCTGCGTGTGCGTGTGTGAGCGTGTTAGTTCGGCAAGGCTTTGATAGGATAAGAATAAAAAAAAAAACAAAGGAGAGAAGAAAAGAGGAGAAGGAAGTAAAAATAGGAAATGGTCGTGTGCACTCAGAAAATATAAAAGTCGGCCCTTCAGTTCTGAAAGTCAAGGCCAGCGAACAAAGAGAGTTTATATGGCTCGTGTAACATTGTGACGCGAACGCCACAGACTTTTAGCAATCTCAGTGCACACACAACCGCCGGCACCAGCACCAGCACAAGCACAAGCCCAACGTTGCACAAGTTTCTCTGTTTCCATAAACAACTCGCAGCTGGGGTGGACGAACAGGAAGCTGCAGCGTATCAAGAAAAACTAGGCAATTAGCAACTTAATGACATTTTAGCCCGCAAATGCCATGGAAACGGCCTCCCTTCTACTGCTGCTACCTAGCAACATTAGAACTAATAATAGACTGCCTCTGTTGTTTTTCTGTCCGCATGCACCCACCACAGGGATTCTATGTAGTGTTTGGGTGGGTGGTGGGCTTAGTGTTGTTTTGAGCAAAAGAAACATCAAACGCAAGTCTTGTTTGAATAGGCTTAGCTCCAGATCGGATGATTCGCCACATTTCTCTTTTTTCTGCACTAAAAACTAGGATCTGATCGATGGTTGCTGTAAGAGTTGAAACATGGTGACTTTTTGCAGCACACACACGACTCTCTTTGCTGCTGGGTGCACCCTGCCACCAAAGGCTAAACTTGCCTTTTGCGTCGATTATCACCAAGTCTTTCCTGTTGCAGCACGATCTTTAACTTATAAGCCATCACAACACACACGTGACAGAAACAACAAAAAAGCACATATAGAAAGGGCTTTCTTTTTTATTTGTTTAACGACACTTCATATGTATCCTGTTTAGTCATTGCATAACACAGCGTCAACTGGACAGTTTAGTCCCACGACGAGCCGCCAGCGTTGGTGCTGGAGGGAGTGGCGTCAGCCCAGCTGGTCGAGCCGCCAACTGCACCATCTTCGGCCCAGTCAGAAGGAGCCTGGGCAGACCATTCTGTAGCAGCAGGAGCGATACCAGCTGCACCATCAGCAGCAGCGCCTTCCAAAGACCAGTCGGCCTCGGCAGCACCACCCCATTCGCCGGTTTCTTCCTTGCCTTCCAAACCAGCAGCGGCAGCAGCAGCCTCCTTCTCGGCTTCCTCGGGGTCGCGGAAGAAGAACATGTCGACCATGACATCCCAGGGAGTTTCGTAGTCCAAGGTGCCGCGCAAGCGGAGGATGGCACGGGCCAACAACCAGTAACCCAAACCGATGGCGTGCTTGGCCTTGTTGTTGGTAGGGATGGCAACATCGACGAACTGCAAGGGCGAGTCGGTGTCGGAGAAGGCAATCACCGGGATGTTCACATACGACGCTTCGAGAATGGCTTGGTGGTCAGTGCGGGGATCCGTACAGATGATCAAGCGAGGTTCACGGAACGAGCGGGTGATGTAGTTGGTGAAGGTACCAGGCGTGAAACGGCCGACGATGGCCTCGGCACCAATGTACTTGGCAAACTTCAAGGCAGCACGGTGACCGTAAGGTCTGGCCGAAATCACACAAATGTCCTGAGGGTTTTCAATAGAAGCAATGATACGGGCAGCAAAGACGAGCTTCTCCCAGGTCTTGCCAATGTTGATGATGTTGATACCTGACAGAAACAGCTGTATTTAGTATACCTGCTCCATCACCCATGAAACATATCTCTCTATCCAACATTGACGACTACTTTCTTCTCCGCTACCCAGACACACACGCCGCGTAACACTTACCATCAGCACGGGTCTTGTAGACATAAGGCTTCATACGCTCCATGACATTCTTGGTACCAAGGTGGGACTGAGCAGCAAGGAGCATTTGCAAATCTTGCTCGGTGGGGTTCAAAACTACAGATTGTACGCGAGTGAGTACATGAGAGCGATAATAAAGACTGACCTTGAAAAGCGCGGAGAGAATGAAGCTTACCAGCAGGAAGACGAGACATGATGGAAAATAACAAAGTTGGCTTTTTATAAGGTCGTTTCAATGGAGCGGCTATCGAGAGATTCTGGCAAAGTTAGGGTGCAGAATGCGAAAGTTGAAGGGCCAATGTCCGTTGAAAAGAAAAAGGGAAGGAACCAGCTCGTTTGCGCGCTTTACATCGGTTCATATACTCTGACTTCCAAGCCTCCGACGAAAATTTTTTCGCAGTCAGCCGTCAATGCCGGTTTTGCTTGTGTCACCATGGCGGCGAAAACGACCAACAATAGACTTATACTCTGTGGTTTCTACTTTACTCCACCTTAAGCGTGGTACAATGTAGCTGTGCATGTTTACAGCTCTTTTTTTAAGAGCAATCATCATCAGAGAACAAATATCCGCGGGTCGTTGGATTAATGCGCGCTGTTCGCGTAGCCTGGGTGTAGCTCTTAAAGAGCCGCCTGGATATTTTGAAATGGCACATGAATGGGTTGTTTGCTGCCGCTGCCAAAGGTCGCATTCTTCTAGTGCTATTAGGCCATGGTATCCAACATAAAGAGTTCCAGAGAGGAAAGGAGAAAATCCAGTTAGTTATCAGATAAGATAGAGAGAAATAGGAAACAGAAATCAACTAATGTGTCGTCAGTTCATCTTCTTGAATAGGATGAACAACAGCTCCATCCGGATAGTACTTCAAACTTACACAAAAGGAAGTTCTCCAGCATTGTGTTCTCCTACTTGATATATAAGAGACAAGCACTTCCATTCGTTCAGTGTGCATAGCATTGTAAATTCTGTGCTTCCGGCTGGTGTATGGACTCCATCCGATATGATGAACAACTTTAACATCAATCTCTGCCAGGAGCACCTGTACCAGATTCAAAAGCCTTGCCTACTCGCAAGATTGGGACATGCTCATCGACTTCGACTAGGAAAGCCGTTGCTCCTTTGCGGTAGATTATGTCCGTTTGTGATTTGATACCGCATGTACGGAACAGTTGATGATTTTCGGTGTGGTAGACAAGACCATCTGGTGCTTTTCCCTTACAAATCGCGCGGTCCTTGCTTCTACCGAATTATACCTCGATTCCTGCGATCTGGCAGAGTTGATATTACAGGCTGCGCACTTCGACCAACTGACCGACAGCCAGTGTGCAAAGGTGGCACGATTGATATTGTGCGGCGGCCATAGGTGCATTTATCTGGTAGTATAAAATATCAAGCGTACACTCAGTAACCATTAGATACATTTCATCTGAACAACTAGTGAGAGAAACATCAGAATGTATGTTTGTAATGGCCATGCTCACATTTCAGCTTTGTGTTGCATTGTGTGCAGTTGGCTAACACTATTGTTATCATTAATACTAGTAGCTGTATTAGCCATCGTATATATAATGTCTAGTGAGTAGTGTTCCAGAACGTACCCGGTAAGAGACCGTGCTCACATTTTAGCTCTCGTCTTTTTTTTTACATATGGCTATGATACTATACATGCGCATATAGCGGCGTTGCATCAACCGGGCGCTACACGACAACCTTACACCGTGAACGTGAAACAAATTTGTTATTGAATGATAAGAAAAAAGAAAAGCGGCGTGATACACACGAAACAAAGATGCCATGCACCTAAAAACGGTGATATCTCTTTCTTCCTGATGTCCTTTTGGTATTAAAAAAGAGCCAACCACATTTTATATGCAAAATCAAGAAGAGCACCCGGTCGCACACAGGAAAGTTTACAGAGATTATGTGTTGGCCTGCAAACAGTTCAAGATTAACCCTGCCATCTCCTTGTCAAGTTTCCTGACAATAAATCTCGTAAACTGATGGTGAAGGGTAAAAGACAATAACTCATTACTGCGGCGAAATCTGTTTTGGCTCCGCGCCACTTGAGCCACAGCAAGGCACTGACATGGTATTGACCTCCACTAGTACATGTGCTGCAGATTGTGCCACTATGGGCAGTGCTACAACAACTACTCAGGCTTCCACCACAGCAGTGACTCGAAAACAAACGAGAAAATTTGAGTACATGAATGTGGCACTGATACATCGAGCTTACTTTCTATGCCAGCTTCACCAACGCATCATCGCAAAGCAATCATTCACGACAAGACCCACTGTAACAATACAGCCTTAGTGTATCAGCGTTGCAATTGTCTCTTGCAACACACAAAAGTCATTGGTCTCTGACGAACTGTAGGGCTTAGGTACTATGTACAATGGTGAAGGAAAAGCAAAAGAACTATTATCAAGACGCTGTGAACGTATAATTCATTCTTTGTAAAATACCGTGGATGCCATATTGTAACCGTTTTGCCCTTGCAACAAATTAATTTAGGCCGACTGTGTAACAGTGCAATTGCGACAACGCAGGGGAAATCTGGGATAAATTCACAAGCCACAATTTTTGTTTCCATGCGTCGATTGGAGCTGTCAAATAAAGGGACAGATACGTAGTAATTGAAAGCCTTTGACAATAAAACGCAAGATGGAATTAGTGTTGCAGTCACTGTTTCATTGTACCCAAACAAGTTTGTGCTTTTTTTATTGATTTTTGAGAAAATAAAACATGCCCTACTAATATGTTGGTGCGCCGAGCAAAACACCATAGTAGTCAAGGATGAGGATGAGTCAAATCGTAATACGTTTCCAATGTAATTAGGGATGGACCAGTAGAGAAGTATATGTAATATATTGTCAGTAAGTTAAAAGAAACTCTCGTTTATCGGACGGAATGTATCCACAACCACAACTCGCACAGTCAGCAACTGCCGCTCAGATCTTCCGACATACCGCGACCCCATGAACTCCTTACCTACTTAGAAAGTATTACTCGAAATCGTCGGCTTACCATTAGGCATTACCTTTTTCCGTGTATGTCTTCGAAATGACTGATGAAAGAACAATTTAGATTGTCCTTTTGAATCGTGTGAGGGGATTTGCATTTGTTGGATCGCTCCGGATTGAAGGGATGAATATTTATATAATTTTATATACTAAGAATAAAGAAAACGATAAAAAGAAACACGGTGGCATTGTGTCTATCACGCAAAAAAAAGAGACGTTTTCATATGATATTTGTAAGGAGGTTATTTTAAGTATGTGAAGAAACAGTAATAAGAAAATGTATATACAACAAAACTAAAATGAAAATGAAAAATGCGTGTTTGATGCGTCTAGTATTTCCTTCATGCAAGTAATTGCTTCCATTCACTCTCGGCTAAACCGAGATTCTCTTGACCGAACTTATCGGCAGCCTTTTGGGCATGCTGTTTAAGATCGCCTGGCACAGTTGTCTTGGTTTCGCTGGTCAGGGTATGGCAGGTTCTCAAGGTCTAATATGGCACGTTATCCGAACGGTTAGTATAACCATCATCGATAATTATACACTTGAGCGAAAGACAAATGACTATAACGAGCTGGTTACCTTTTCAACCATGTCCTCATCTTCTTCTTGCTCGGTGTACTTGACAAGTACTGCATCCAGGTCGTGCAATCCACCTTGCTCTAATAAATTGGTAGCAAACTGCTTGTTTTCGATCAGCAGGCTGTTGAAGAGGAAAATGGTCTTGCGCAGCGTCGAAGGTTCTAGCAAAATTGAAAAAACCCATATTTTAGTCTACACATATAAGGCGAATAACGAGTGAAGAAGCAAAAATACAAGTGAAGCCTTACCATCAGCACGCTTTACAATATCGAACAAGGCTTCAAATCCACCCTTTTCTGCAAATGCTTCTTGCGCTTTAGCAGAGTGCTTGAGTAGACCAGACACGGCATAAATAATAGTGGCCTTGACTTGTTTGCTCTGCTCGTTCTTTAGTACTTCGACCAACTTTTCCAAACCATTATGCGAAAGGAACTACGTACAAAACAAGTAGTGCCTCTTTAGTATATACTGAACACCTTTTAAATCCACCTCTTCCTCCTTCTCTTCGTCTTTCAACTTACTGCCTCTTGTGCTTTGGGATTGTTTTGCAATGCCGTTCCACACACCCATGCAATGCCTTTACGTATAGCAGATTCTTCAGCTGACAACTGGGATAAGATAGATGGCCATAATTTCATATTCTCGATATCTATACACCCGAAAAAAAGCATGCAAGAGTCAATAAGTACCATTCGATACTTGTAAGCGAATAAAAAGCGAAATTCAACAACTTACTGTTTGCATTATCAATGCCCTCAATAAGCTATATGTACATAAAATCCATACGCAAACAAAGCAGTTAGTATTTCGTGAGTATGCTTTGCCTGTATCCCTTAGTTGCTCTTTTTCTGCCAATACAATTCATACCATTTCCAAGTTATCCAGCGCGATCTCTTTGTTCTCGAGTGTATCCTTTGGATCGATAATGCAATCAACAGCCTCTAAAAGAATTCCATGTGGGTGGAGTTTTACCAGTTACAATGAGTGAGCAGTGTGTATAATGCTAAAAGAGTTTCAACGTCAAGGCTTGGTTCGGTTTCATTCATTTACCTTTCATGCGGGTGGCATCGTCTTTACCGAGGATTGCTTCAATGACAGCTGGATCAAACTTGGACGGATCAGGTTTCAGTTCACCTTTACGGACAGCCTCAGCCTGTTGCTTGAGGACTTCTTGATCACTGTTGTTGACTGCCCACTGGAGTAATTTTTCCATAATTGTTTAAAGAATGTATGCGTAAAAATAGTAAGGGTAAAGGTGAAGAAGAAAGTCGCGGAATACCAAGGAAAGAACTCTCGCGTTGCTTTAAAGATTTATATTTTTTTGTTTGTGCGACATGCAAGTCCCGCTGCTCACGTTTGTTGCTTGGTCAATTATAACACGTCTCCTCGAGTCAATGCAGGTCCTCCCCACTTGATTGTCGCTATTGTACACATACTGACAGGAAGAGAATATTATCATGTAATAGAGAATACAGTATTCGTATAGCAAAGGTCGCATAGTGGACAGCCAAGGTCATAGATTGTCAAGGAAACAAAAAGAATAAATAAAGTGCCACATAGTTACAGCAGCACACGGAAGCAGAACTATGCTACGCATACTACTATTACTAATAAGCCTTTGCATCCTTCTTAAGTCATATGTAGACGTAACCATCATCGATGTTGTCACATATTTTAAGTTGATTGGTATGCAGATTACTTGCTGCGGATCATCCTTCTTTGCGTCTTGCATAAAGAAGAGAGTCAGCTAATTCAAAATGCCACTGGCATCATTCATACACTCTCACATCAGTTAGTGTACAGCACTATCTATACACTATACGCTATACAGTATATACAGTACAAGTAAAATGGAAGTTTATATGCTAGTGACTCTTTTTACGCATGAATACGAATAGAGAAAATACCTTTGAGAACAAATCGAATTAGTCGAAAAGCAACAACCTTGGCGCTACTATCATTCTATTATATTGTAACGACACGGAGGATGACGGAGCCAGAACAATGACGCATGTAAAGAACAATGAGAGGGAGACCCTCGGCATTTTTTCGAATGTCATACAGGCTTTTTCTTTTATGATAACATTCTCATCCTCAACAGCGGAAGAGAGTTTTGGTATATAAAGAGAGAGCTTCTTCTTATTAAACCTAGCTCTTTTCCCTCCATTTCAACTGATTCGCCTTTTTCTTGTCTACACAGTATACTACACGTATCTTCTTTTTTCTTTAAATTCAATAACAAAGACAATATAGCCATGAAAGCGTTATCGCTACTATCATTCTGTTGTCTCGCTATTATTACAACTAAAGCGTTTCCCGTAATCTTATTTGACGTCGAACCTGCTGCAAGCCCATTCATTCACCCACATCCTCGTCCCATGCCGGCATGGAGAAGCGAGTAACAATACAAACGACATCCGGAAAAGAGACCGAATGCAAGCACGATCCTGCGTTAAACAACATGGCATCATGGCATACTTTCCCTATCTTCGTCTTTCTTCAACAACTCCCTTTTCTCTCCTTTTTTTTTATCCCACTAAGTCAATCTGTAATTCATCCGTTTCCCTCTCTCCATTTTCCCTCTTCAAAGCTGTAATGTTCTTTTCTTATTGTCAATTTTTTACCAGTGTTTTATTCAAGCATACATCTACTTTATACATAGTTTTCAGCATTTGATATGCAACACGAAATTTAGCTTAATTCAAAGCCAGTATTTGAATGGATGGCTATAAATTTAATGAACGTAAACAATAGATATAATAAGCATATTATGCTGGGTCGTTCTAGACTCTTCCTTTTAGAGATGGTGACGAAAATAGTTTTCTTACCATATCTCAATTTTTCTCTTAACAGTGACTTCTTGGTGTAGGCTAGTAGGAGAGAAAAAAGACATCCATTTCATTTTAAATAAGAGTTTTCTTCATTTACGATTGAAACTCACTATCTTTAGCTTGGTGCATAGTTCAAATATGGAAACAAATTTTGACTTACCTGGCAGTTTTAAAAGATTGAAGCTAAATGAGCATCATGATATGGTTAATAAAAAACTGGGAGAAAGGTTGTTGGAGGACACAAAACAAAGCCATGCATATCTTACCATGTGGAACTGGATGGTAGTCGACCAGCCTTCGCAGCACCTCCAGCATTACCGACTTTAAACAAAGTTTTGACAAGTCCTAACCCATCCACAGTCCCTTGGCTGGGATCTGAATCTACAGTGACCATACGTATCGTAAATGGTGGCTGAAGATAATCAAATCCACCCAAAGGAGGCTACAACAAGTTTATGATTCAATATGTGAAATCTTTTATACTTTGATTATCCCATCCTCTTACCTTTGGACAGCTAGTCACAAACTTGAGAAAAGCCCGTTTCTCTTCGGAAGAGAACTCTTCTACTATTTGCCAAAGTGTACGGATAATGGGGTGGTGATCGAAATATCCGTTTTGATAAACTGCATGTTGACGCAGATCCGCAATATCTATAGAAAAACAACAAAGCCAGATGGTCAGTTTTAAAAAATAATATATAGGTTTGGGACCTCGTTCCGATGCTGCTTATAATCTCACCAAAGTCTGTATCTTCTCCTGAAATAACTCTATATAAAAATGCGTACATGAACTATCAGTAGTTTTTCCAAAAAAACGAAGCACTTTGAGAAAAAAAAGACAACTTGCCTTTGCAGTTCAGGTGGCGAAAAGACCCTGACCCAGTTTTCCGATATAACAGTGCGGAAACCTTGAATGAACGCTCGCGTCTGCTCCCGTGTCTGCTGGTTCAACTTGTAATCGGCCATACGGTATATATACTCAACCTTGTTTTCACTCGTGACATTAATATTTCTGCCTCGCTAAAGGTTTATCTTGTTAGTAAATAGAACAAAGAACGAGAACTATTCTTTGCCCAGTATATTCGAAGGGTCGCTCTTCATTTTAAACTTACGTATTTAAGTTCATGTGTTGTGACAGTACCAAATGCTTCTTCATCTGTAGCAAAACATAGACCCAAATCCTCGACACAACCTACAAAAGAAGGTTATCAATAGAGATCGAAGCTGAATATAGCTTTTTATAATTTATTATAATACTCACCATCGTAGCGTTTCAAAAATATCAAGTTTCGCCATACATCCTCATCCAGTTCGCGCAATTCTTCCAGAAAAACGTTTCGACCAAGTAATTTGGCAAGGAAAAAACTGGCAAACTGGACGTCTAGTAAAATACCTTCATATACGGCTTTACCAATGACCTTTGTTATTATTAATAGCAAGAGTTGTTGTTGAAGTATAGAATATACTATTAGCTTTCCCCTCCATGATCGTTTAATTATGCTTATCACCCGACTATACATTCATATATTAACTCACCTTTCCAATAAACTCGAACAATTCAATATGGCGCGGTCCTTGGATATATGACGTTGACGCTGGATAGCACATACTATTTGTCAAAGTCGCAGAAAATAGACCAACGGATGGTTTGAATACGTCGGCTACCAGCAAGGAGACAAAGTCTAGTAATAACAAGCGTCAGATAAAAGCAACAACGATGATACATAGTGGTTGTGTAACGTTAAAACTTATACTAAAAATAACCCACCTTTGAATGGACCTCCCTGATCGATACCAGCCTCTTCCATGCCTTTAAATATATGCATAGACATATCATGTTAGCTATTCATTATCGTTATCAAATTTTTAAAGAAAAGAGTTGGAGTAATTTTTTTTACCAAGCTCGTTTACAAATTTGACACGGATGTTTCCTTTCCAAGCGCTTGGCGGTAAGCCGCCTAATCCACGGTAACCGTCCTCAAGCACGTTTTGACGCCGAACTCTTATTGCACGTGAGCTTGTTGCCATGAGATTTGCACGATCCAGAGCGGCCCAGTCGCGGAACACTGTGAGTCGTGTCTTGAAAGGTACAGCATGAGGCATCAGTTGCAATATCCGCAAGGGCACTGGATCACCTTGCCTTAATCGATCCAGGAACGGCTGAGCGGTGGTGGTTCTGGATGGATTAAAAAGGGCAAGCAACGAAGATTTTGCCATACTTGGATCGGATACAAGCAGCCAATGGTCGGTAGGACAAAAAGGATGGCGCACATCAAGATCATAGATTTGGAGTAACAATCGATGGGCTGCTCGAAATGACCGAACAGAGGACGGTAAAGGCGGGGCAGACGTTGTCGTAACAGAAGAAGAGGGCGATGATGGCGTATCCTTAGAGGATTGGTGTTGTTGAAGAAGCGCAAAGTAAAACGTGTTCAAGAAACTACCGAGTTTGATCAGGTCTTGAACTGAAAAAGGTTGTTCATCCTCGAAAATGTCTGTGTCATCTAGCGTCCTAAGAGGGCGAGTTCCCAGAGACAAAGTATATGGTTAGTAAACGATTATATGCACAGCACATTTCTCTACATAACTGAGTTTTTCCGGATGAGGATAATTACAGAAATACAAGCGAGCACGCTTCGCAGAACACTTTAAGTATCTTAATAAGTGGCTCCTTTTCGATATCTTCATTTTGTCGTCGTGCAGCGTCGAGATAGATGGCCATTTGACCTCGTGGTCCGAACGTGTTCATCAACCGCCAAAGCTGTGGCATGAGTCGCGGTGTAAACGCAATTCGATTTAATATCTCCTTGCGCTGAGTTGCCAATAAGGACGAGAGTGTCATGTACATGGAAAATATAGCTTCAATATCCATCGAAAACTCGGCCAATTGGGAGTACTGTTTGCTGTCAATGATAGAAACATCGTCGCGCTGATTTTTCTTTTTGAACAACAATCGCGATTTAATGCCAATATCAGTTTTTGTAGAATGGGCTGTTGCGCTAGCGGTCTTTGCTGTAGTAGCTCGGTTACCGCCGTTGTCAAATGCCAGCACGTCTGCGAAAAGTTGAACCATAAAGGTACGCGACCACAGGTACTCAATTTGCAATTGAACCCGTTCAAACACGACAGCATCAATCGAATCGCCCCAAGTGGACGACGACCATTTAAATAGCGGATGATAATGCGTGTAGGCCCCAGTTTGTCGATCCGAAAAATACATTTGTGCGGCTTCGATCAATACATTTGCCATGGCAACCACAGTCGACACGTCTTGTTGCTGCAATTGCTGGGCAATATGCATTAGATTACCAAGGAGAAAAAGGCAACCGTTGCCACCAAGTAATTCAATCATCGTCGCGTGCGCGTTTTTTTTGCTGTGATTGTTGTTGTTTGTAGCTATATCTGCGAACACATCGGCAATACCCACCAGTTTCATGAGATGGTTAGCCATCATTGAATTGATCATGGTTGGCAAGAGAGGAACGGCGAGTATATTAGTGCAGTTGAACTGTATCGCTTGTTTTCGTCGGTTCTCATCGGTTGCGAATTCTATTGGGAACAGGCATAGTCGAGTCATCGTCGTCAACCAAAGCTGGATTGCACGCACCATTTTCCCATCGTCAGGTGATAGCACTCCGGCTGAATGCTTGGCACTCTTGTGTTCCAGTTTTACGATGCGCTGTATGCGAACGATCGCAGGGTCGCGTATATTGAATTTCAATAGGCATTGATCGAGTACTGTATGCGCTGCACTCGTCAAAATATTGGCATGTTCTGGCATTCGATACTGAGTGTCGTCCAAGAATCGAGTAGTTTGCTGATATGTTTTCGGATTCATGAACTGAAGTAAGGTGCTAAGTTCAGTACCTGTAAGGTACAGGTGTTGCTGGTTGTGAATATCGACAGAAGACTCGCATGCTGCAGCAAGGCACTGCTTGATGATGGTACACAAATATTTTAAAGATTGAGTATGGTATCTTGAATCGACGAGGAGTGCATAATAGGTGATAGCACTATTATTGTGCTGGAATTTTTTGCTCAAACATTTACACATATCACCAAGCCGTCTTCTGCTTCCTGACTGGTGGTGTCGACTGAGCAAACAGTATATACCGGCAATGCGGAAACAATCGTCAAGTGTTTGTGCATGATTGTCGAGCATCTCGTCCCAGGCATTCCAGCAGTCGTGTGTTGCATGCTTTAATCGCAGCTGCCTCTGCCACCAGCATTGTATTATACGAGCAGCATTTTCTTGTTTGTGCAAGCGTTCTTTCTTTAGTCTTTCTGTTTCTCGTCGTTGCCGTTCGGCTTTGGTGCGCTCGATGAATGCCTTTTTCTCCTTATCATTGGGAGTAAACATTCCGTTAGCAAGCGTGGGCGGAAGAGCAAGCTGGGTGAATAGGGTGCTTGAGGCGAGAAAGAAAATTTAGGGACACTCCATAGCACAACAGAACTCAATGCTACCGATTCTCCGATAGCGTACGCCATACTGGAAAGAGCAGCATCAAGTGGGTTAGCTTTTCGACTTCCTTCGTAACGTATTCATGCTTAATTTTTGATTAAAGAGGGCATACCAAGAACAGTAATGGCTGCTTGGTCTGCAACAGCGAAATAGAGGGATGTCGAGCGTGCGGCAATAAATTATCCGCATGCTTTAGCATGTTGTCGACAAAAACGATATACGGACATCATGCAAGCCATCTCGATAATCGCACATTCATCTCCCTCATCATATCTTTACCACTATTTCCATCTCCTATCCCACCATTGGTAACTCCAAGTTCCATCAAGATACACGTAGAACTCCCGTATCTTCTATTAATATGGATAACCTAAATAGTAAATGAATACATCATTATTCGGTACACATCATAACTCCTAACTACAAATGGGCAAAACATTCATGCCAAAGCCTCAGGCTAGACGTGTACTACTGAGTGGATTCCTTCCTTACCACAAAAAAATGAACCCAGGGCTTTATAAATCCTTATTTTTTATTCACTTTTCCTCTTGTTAAGTATGTGCTTGAAAGAAGACCAACCAAATGCAGTGGCAACACCCACTGCATGACCCAAATAGGTTGAAATCACGCATGAAATAGGCCATGCCTGCAAAACAGAAACCAAATTAGTAAGAATCAGCAGTACTCATCATCTCGAGTAATCACGAGTTTTTCTTTTCATTTACCTGCCAATCTCTTTCCCAATCCAACGGAAGCACGATTGCCCCAATCCATGCACCAGACAGGGCGCAAATCGTTTGAGAATAAGCATAGATCTCGGATCCTGTAGTGGGGCTTTTGAATATGTACATTTTTAGATAAGCGTTTATCAGCAAAAGCGGCTTTGTTTTTCTTGGCATGGTTTTGATGTACTGTTGTACCTGTGTTGCAAATAGCACTTCGTCCAAACACTCGTACCAGCCGGTGAGAGTGCAGTAAAACTAGGAATTAGTGCCAGGACAGCTAAATAGGCGGCAAATGCAAGTGTATGATTGAATTTTCTATATGATATTGAGAAATAAGGTATCAGCATCCACGATCTCTGTTTTTTTTATATTGAAACAAGCACTTTATTTTGCACGTATATACGTGTGTTTTTAATGCTGTCTTAACTTACTCGACGAGCGAAGCACCAAATAATACAATAAACCCGTGAAGAACAACTGTGCCCACTGCTGTCACGAGTAACGCATTACCGATTGAGATCTATAAAACAAAGCAAACTTTCATGTTATCCGAATCTCTATTATATATAAATATACTATATTCGTTCAAGAATTGTTCTGCGTACCACTGTGGTTTTAAAGCTGCATCGTTTTACAACTGACAGCATGAAGGTCAAGATGATTATATGACCTGCTAGTACTAGAGGTATTGCTGTTGTTAAAGTTTCTAATGGATCTCGTAATAATCGCGTTGATGGCATGTAAAATGTGGCTACATAGTTTAAGGCTATGCCAAGAATGCCAGCGAATAGCTGAGGCAGAGCTGGCAACATGGTGTGTGTGTGTGTGTATATATAAGTTACGTGTTAGCAATAAGTAATAAGAGTCGGAAAGAGGGCTCTCCGCCTACTATTGAATTTGGAATTTTCCGTATGGCGATTCAAACAGAGCAGGCTCTGATTCTTTTACTGTAGTCCATCATATTACATGATTGTATGTACATTTAATTGTTTTGGGGAAGGGATGGATGGATAGGCGAGTTAGATATACACTGACATCATATAGTAAATTCATAGCATAATGCTACCGACAATGTAGCAGACGCGATTAGAAAAGATCATGCATCCATTTAAAGAAATGCAAGCAACTTCACGCGTTTCAAGGTGTCCGTGGCATATTCACGATATGAGTACTACTAGACTTTAATGGCGACGACGATGATGATGATAATGATAATAAACGGAGATTGTTGCAAGCCTTTTTTCTTTGGTGTCGTTTAAGCGAGTCGAGGCGAGTGAATTTACAATCACAGGAACACTGGTACTGCTTCTCCTGATGCACAGATTTGATATGCCGTTGCATATCCCGGTGCCGTGTAAAGTACTGGTCGCATTTTGTGCACTGACTGGCGACTGGTGATGATGCTAGCGCTGAAACAGGGGTCGTCCTGATACGTCGCAGTACGTTAAACCGTTGATTGTGCTGCCTGGAAAACTTGTCGGTTTGGTATTCTGGCCATTGTTTCTTTTCCAAGATCGATGAAGATGATGATACTGATGATGTTGAAGGTGATGATGTTGAAGACGATGATGTTGAAGAGGAGTACAAGGATGATTCTGATTCAGGAGAAGAAGGGATAGGAGGGGGAAGCATTGGGAAACTTGACGTCGGTCGTGGTTCGTTCATTGGATTATAATAGTGGCTGTCTAAGCGCATTTTTTTATCCTCCGCACTTGGCTGTTTCGGCAGTATTTCTGCTGGCTTGAACTTCATTGTTGTTGTCGTGGGATCTTTTATCACATGAAGCTCCTTTTTCCCTCTTTCCTTTCCAGCATTACCATCAACAACACTGCTAAAAGTAGCTGCCGTCGGCATAGTTGTCGATGCCATCGTTGTTGCAGGTGCTGTAACGGTAATACGGCAGGAATCCATTGAGGAGTAGGTTTTGGATGTTGGGTAAGACTCCATGACGGTAGAATCCAATGGGTAATTATGTTGGGATGACAGGTTTGTCATATAGTCTGAGTATTCTTCTTTCGTGTCTTGTTTGTTTAAGCAAGGGTATATTTTGTAGAGACGGAGAGTCATGGATGTTTAACTCGCTTTCTGTGGTAGGGACCTTGTCTTATATAACTATACTGGACCAAAAGCCTTTTTAGTAAAGCTAAGCCCGATGATGCCTAGACAGTTTAGGTTTAATGTTACGCATACAGCGGCGCCATTAGGCAACATATGCATCATGTTTACAGTATACCTTTTGCGCCACCAATTGCGACCTGCAGACCTGTTTTATCCTATTTTTGGGCGGCGCGGCCACGCGGAATCTACCAATAATAGCGTCATCGAACCTTTCACGGCGCTTGCTCGATACTTTGTTTTCGTTGTTATTGCTTGTATGATCAGTTTTGAGCATCTCAAAGAAAAGAAGAGATACATACGTTGTTTCTATCATGACTTCTTTTTTGCTTCAGGCGCATGGTCTAGTAGTAAAAACGTTTTGGCACGAGGCTCTTGTGGCAACATGCGATATTATCATTGCTGCTGCTGCAGCACTTCTGTAATGTATTCATTCTGGTTAGATCTCTGTCTGATAATTTGATAGCACATTATGTACGTAAATGACAAGATAACAACTATACTGTAACAGTGGTCTGTTGGCGAAAGTCATCGTAAAACAATAACTTTCACTTAAATATGTTTATACATGATAATCGTCGTCATCATGAATAATTACTGTTGTTAGCAAGCTGCGCGTTTCAATTTAGAAGGATATAGTAATGTCTCTTAAATATTCCCAAAAAAGGTTGATAATCTCGTACTGTACTTTGTACACAATTATGGAGGTGCTCTCTTTTACAAGGGAGACGGCGTCGCTTTTACAGATCGATTGGGCGCCAATTTTTATTTTCTGATGGCAGTTAAGAAGATGTGCTTTATCTTTCCTTTAAAAAAAGCCAAGATAGACTCTTAGATAAATGTAGGTTATAGATCCGATCTGTGGAAGATGTACCGCAAAGTATAAAGTACAAATTGATGCAAAGGGGCTGAAGGGCGTCACGTCATTCATTTTTAGTAAATCTCTACTTCTGCACAGTTGCTTGTTTGGGGTTGAATAATGGAATTCTTTCCATTACAGGAACGGATCCGGAAAATTATCCTGTGCCGTTGTTATCCAGCGCTTCTACAATACGAGAGGCGCTGTGTGCGGTTTTATTAATCACATGATGAAGACGCACGCTGATCCTCGATCCCTTTTTTATGTGACAACACCGGTCGGACATGTATATTGATAAGTTTGCCAGCAAATGTAATATGATTGACTATTTTGACACTCCTTCTTTATTCATGATTTTCGAATAAACTTTTAGAAAAGCGTATAACGATTATACAATTTAGGTGAATTGGGGCAGCAAGTTTATCGAGGAATAGGAAGATCGGAAGGGGTAAAGAAACTACCAGAACTTTACTCGATGTACATTGACTTTCAAACCCTTTGGAGACTAGTAGATAGGACGTTTCACGTTCCAGACCATTTGTCTCTCCCGTGAGAATGCTTATGCTGATTTGTTTCTCAAAACAAAGGCAGCTTGGACCGAGGGAGGTCAGTAACATTTACACCTATATATTAAGTAAAGTCAGATCTCGGATAACCTCATCCTGTTCTGTAAATAGTATTACATGAGCACAAACAAATGACTGCGTTGTTAAGGCACTACCACTACCTTGGGAAGCAAAAGCATTCCAAAGGGATAAGCTCTCATGAATGTCAAGCAATTGGATAAAGAAAGCTCGATATAGCTAACCTGAAAACTAAAAAGTGACTAGTGTGTCCATTTCCTTTTGTTCTTGTTGGTTATATTACCATTATGTTATTCGCATAATTTCATCATGCTACATGTGGTTACTGCTTATCACGTCCACGTAACCGGAGCAACATCAGAGTAGCTATAAATATTGTATATGCCATCACTACGTCGTAAGTAGAGAGAGCAAAGGTGGATCAAACGCCTACTATTATACAACCTACCGAAACGTTGCTCAGAAAATTACTTTCCATCGGAAATTTGTGCTGTACGGATCTTGTTTATGTGTATCAGCATCAATTATCACAAACAAGGTCGGTCGGTTATCTTTGTTTGCCCTATCCGTTTTCCATTGAGACGAAGCGGAACTTTGTATATGTTTAATCTTTTCAATATTTTTTGAGACCAGCACGCCACGCCATTCAGCAAAATCAAGAGAGCAAAACTTATTACACAAAACAGTGTAATATACCCACTTCAAGTGAGTATACCCCTTAGCTTTCTAGAAGCTATAACATATCAGGCATGTTAACGATGAGATTGATCGCTTGCTTAATTCTCAAACCTTGTAGCGCACTGATATCTGTTGAATTAAAGTTCTGTGTGTCATTGTCGACGGATGATACTGTACACCAAAGGAGAAGTTGTTTGCAGTCACCGTTAAATATAGTAGTTGCGCCGTCGTTTTCTAACCTATTTAGTGGTGCCGCTGGATATCTAAATAACAAAATATTTGTCAAAAAAAAAGAAGTTCTGTGCATAATATTTGTTTGTCCTAACTGCTGTCTAAGTTTACACAGTATAACTGACAAGCTGCAACCATGTCGTTTTCGAGCCATAGTAACCACGGATCGATGTGATAAACCACAATCCGGGGCTCACGGTAATAATTTACAGCGGTATGCTTTGATACCGTACGATCTCTGTACTAATTACCCATTGATAAAACCGGGCATATTTAGCCCAAGGAATAAAGCATCCGTGTAATTTTATTATAAGCAGTAAATATGTCAGTTTTCAATAATCAAGAAAAGCAGGACTAAACTACAACTACTGGAGCCTGTCTTTGTTCTTGGCTACCCATGTTTCAAATGTTTCGGGTTTCCTACCCAACAATAGAGGAAGACCACGTGTCACGGGACTAACATCCTGGTAGGATGCAAGAAAATAGGCAGTTGCGTGTGGAAAATTTGCATTAACCAAAGAGTCGTACAGCTCCTGCACCGGAAGTTGCCTAAAAGTAATAGTACGACCCAAACCAGTGGACAGTATGGCTGCACGTTGCGAGGGTGTGCTAATTTCACCCACAAGCTCGTAAGCGGCGTCTCCATGCTTGTCAATAGGCTCTTGCAGAATGCGGACTGCCACCTGTGCAACGTCGTACGGAGAGATCCATTCTTGTGGTTCGTCAGCGGCCGCAGTATCGATTAACAAAGGAGGTTGGCCTTTGAGCGCATCCAAGTGGAATAGAACATTAGACATGAAATTGGTGGGACGCAAGGAGACATATGCGCCACGGTCCGGAATTGCGAAGATAACCTGCTCGGCTTCCAGATGTTCGTCAATGATCCTAAACTTGCGCCATGGCAACGCTTTGGCTGAAATTTCGACGACTTGTTTGACTCCTGCTGCATAAGCTTTCTTGCTGATGGCGATTTTTACACTTTTTAGTTCTGGGACGTCGCCAACGAGTAGGAAAAGACGCGTATGGCCTACAATCGCCTTTTCCAGTGGTGTAAGGTCGCTATAATCTCCTTGGACTATTGTCGGCGTGTTGCTGCTGCTGCTGCTGTCTTTTTGTACCACTTTATGAGGAGATCGGGTATAAAGAGTGACTTGCGCACCACTCTCGACCAGATCATTAAGAACAGTTGCACCAATGTTGCCAGTGCCGCCAACTACAAAAATGCGCTCGTCGGTTTTATTCTCCATGCTTATTCGGTTGAAAAGATAAAAAAAGGTGAAGGAATTGGGCGTGAGAATGAGTAAGTGATAGAGGTCGGACAACCCGCAAACGCAAGAACAAGAAAAGGACCTTAAATAAGTTTTACGTTGCAAAATGGCAGGCCTTCTTTTCATATCGACAGAATATCTTGTAATTACTAAGCCGGCACCGAGCTCCGTTGGTTGATTGCCATGCTATAAACATATGTAAGTCAATACTGAGGCTTTTACAATTCTCCTTACCTAAATAGAGCGATATGGGAACATCTCTATACTCTAATATTTTTAAATGGCTTCATTACACATACCTGATAGACCTAGATTTTCTTACTGTTCTAACACTTTTTTCTGGTATGCAACTAATTTATTGTTTGATGCCGCACTGATGTTACCAAACTCACGTTCGATTCAAAGTTTAAGGCACCAGTGCTGGCAAAAAATTTGACATATGATGGAAAGAGGGTAGTAGAACATGAACACCAGCAACTCACGAGGTCAGTTGTTGTATTATACTGTGACCGGGACATTAACTACTTTTTTGTATGTACATATGCGTTACAATGGATACCTCATGTGAATAATTGGAGCGTATCACTGAACGTTCGCTGGCATCTCCACAGAACATCAGTCCCTTTGATATTGGTGTACAGTATAAGCCCGATAAGTTACGTGGTTAATATTCATGATATGATTTAGATTTGGAAAAAGTATCACTATTGGTCACCAACGTTATCATGCGCCTAATGTAACAAGCATCATATGTGTTTCATCTCGAAACCGGTTTACCATGGCATAGAGCCCAAGCACTTGACCCTTGCTTCAAATAACATGACAAACAATAGCGAATATATATTATGCTACTATTTCTTAGTAGCATCAAGAACATGAACGTAATTTATCATACATGTTTGGGCGATTTCCTAAGGATTATCATCAAGTGTAGAGGGTAAACACAACTAGCTTTCATATTGTTATGAAAATCAACGTGAAACCAAGATGCTACGCCTCAGTAATGATAATGTAGCTTTTATTAAACGTTGTTTGTAAGATAAGAAATGGTTGGGAAGTTGAGTACAACAACTACAAATACCAATAAGAGCGGGAACACAACACGCGTACGGGAGAGTGACTCCGTGACGAAGTGTAAGCTCTATCTTTTACGACGACTTCCGTTTCGGTATAACTACAGAATGCACTGCCGACAACGACAGCATCAGTAATACCACTTACAGCATCAAGTTGTAACGAGTGAATTTCGTTAGTGATTCGAAGGCGTTTCTCTACGACTGATTCATTCTTGTACAGTTATATTGACGCCAATGTATACATAGTACAACTTAATATCAACAGTTGCGGTAGCTCTCCCAAATGCATCAGATCTTGGTTCGAAATGGACAAGCATGATATGGTGCAGGTCATCCTAAACCGTATATTTTTAAGAAACGGCCAATTTTTGAATTTCAAATTCCGCTAATGTATATGCATTTTATTCCATTATTCATTTACTTTGACTCGACGATGCGAGTTGTATTTTTTTACTACGTGGAGCGCTTCTCGTCCTTGAAAGCCCTGATAATAAGCATCTATAAATCTCCATGCTTTTCGTTCAAAGTTATGTATCATCGTTAATGGAATCTCGTCAAGGACTTTTGGAACAGTTACTTGTAGGCTTTTTAGGCTATAGTCACACCGCTTGCGAACTTCGCATTTGGCAGCACCCCAATATCTTTCGATAAAATTGCATTCACAGTGGTACTTTGGATAGCGTTCTGCGATATGGCCAGCCTTGATAACTACGTCTTCGATTGCGCTTCTCATAGAGGAAAAGTCAGGTTGAGATCCGAGTAGGCATATAACGGCGCGGCTATATCTTTTGCCGATATAATGACGTCTTTTGATTGGCTGCAGGGCTGCATAGGGATGGCCAATTTTAGGGCGAACTTATAAACTACCCAAAACTTTGAACCACTATACTCTCTCACAAATATCACTCTGAATAAAAATCTGGCGCGTTAGAATTATTCTCTAACATCTAAAAAGGCGTTTTAACGCATTAAAATTTGATAACATACATTTTTCGTGACTAGTAGCATTTCGAAAATAAGGTCTCAGCATATACGGTTTAAGGTAACCTGCACCATAGTCCCACTTGCTTAAGGTACTGCACGCGTTCGAGTGATGTCAGGTTCAAGGATGTGGTACTTTAAATATGGTTGTGAGTCAATGAACGTATACGGCTATTGATGATCACCAAAAACACGTGAGTACCGAGACATTGCAACCGTGCAGCGCCGTTATGTCTTTTTCAGGAGGTGGGGTCAGTTGCCCTGGATAGCGCTACATATAGTTGGCCATGAGCGAAGACATATTCTGCACGGCGGACACCAACATATTGCAGGGTTTGCCCTTGCGCTTTGTGGATGGTCATTGCAAATGCCAGGCGAACAGGGAATTGCGTGCTTTAAATTGGATAGGGGATTGCGATGGTGTGAGTGTTATGCGAGAGATTAAGACGATGTTGCCGGCATGAGGTTCAGTGGATATTTCAGCTTCAAGTACATATCGTTGGAAAGAGCGTACAATCAGTCTTGTCCCATTGCAGAGACCACTTTGGGTCCGCAAAAGCATAACTGGGCAACCAACTTTGAGTTTTAGCAAATGGAATGGGAGGTCAGATGGACTCAAGGAATTGAGCATCTCTGGTGGGTATGTAATTTGATCCTTGGATCATCCACTGTATCAGCGCTCTGGAAGTCGTGTACAGTGCCTGGCAAATGGTCGAATATCAATTTGTTGATTGCTGTAACGTCGACATTATTTGGAGTCAATATAGAGCGACTGATGAGGTAATTACGATCCACGTGTGGTGCGTTGAGGTTGCCGTAAATCGCTTCTACGAGCTCGTACGTGTTGTAATGTGGCATGAGCATCCGATCTGGTAGCCGGACTCTGTCATCAGTGGTTGGCACCTACAGCTCAGCACCATCACCGATGCAAAGTAAATACTGCATAAACTGGCCATGCTCGTTTGTGTCATTGGTGTTGGCAGGTTGTTGGACGCGCATGTTGGTTTCAAGGCGGTGGACGGTGACACTGGGCCAAATTGATGAACGATTTAGATACTACTGTACGATTTGCGAGCGCGATGCATTTGGTATGATATCATAGGAAGGACCTATCAACAGGTTTGATGCAGATACTTTGATGTAAGTACTACCGCTCGATAGTAAAAGGATGCAAAGTAGAAGAGAGGATACAATGTTGTATACCTGGCGAAAGGCAACACCAAAGACCATGATTTCTTATCAAATGGAACATCGGCAAGTGCGGGATCGTCATGTCTCATGGGATCTTGGATACTCCTGTATACATAGTGTAGTGAATACGTTGATACTTGTATTGATACTTGTATTTAGCGTGTTTGAAGCGACCAGACTTCTCGGACGATAAAGAATAGAAGTGAGCTTTATATCGTGTTAGTGACGGTTATCCCCTTGAGTCTTTCCTCGATGCGATACCCGTCTACTCACATAGTCATACATTCGTGTAGAATATATTTTCCGATCTGGAGGAGCCACACACCTCGGCGCGTAATAAACGTGAGAGAGTAATCTGATTGGATAGATGAACTGGCTCGAATGCCGCGTAGCATGTGTGTTCATTACTACTATATAACCGCGCAGCCGCAGCAATCATACCGCTCTTCTTCCTCTTCGTCAACTTTTCTAAACCAAAGCTATTCAGTTTGAGTGTCATTGGAACGGATTAGAGAATCGAAGAGTGTATGATATGTTCATGGTGGTGAGTGAGAAGAGCGTATGCAACCGGTTGTGAGTATACAATGATTTCTCAAGATCTGTTTATCTCAGTTTCTTTCTTTTTTGACATAGACTTTCTTCTCGTCTTATACCTGGTCCTTCTCTCCTTCACGTTGGCTCACTCAAAGCACAAATGCAAGTGTAAGTACACTATGGAAAGAGTGACGTGTACTTTGAGGTTTTGCATGTGGATGTGATATACGAAAGAAGATCTGAATTTTGACGTGTCCAAAGAAGTGTGTGTACAGCATACAGCCGCTAATGTTATCCTCCTTTCTTCTCTGCTACTACAGAAGGAATTCTGACTTTATGATACGGTTGTTTCGGCTTAGTATTTGCATACCACCCATAAGCACAAGCAACAACTGTAAGTACGGTAGGGAATGAAATGTGAGCATGAGCTGGAGAGAAGTCGAGTGTCTGTTGGAGGTGCTGATGCCATGACGTGTCAAGAATAGTTGCATATTAAGAACAGCCTGCTCATGATCTTTCTTCTTTTCTTTCTACTTCAGGTTCCGTTTTATGCTGGTTGGGTTCATCGTGTCCGGCGGACAAGTAACATATAGTAAGTATAAGCAAAAAAAGGGGACGTGAACATTGGTAGGTGAGTAGGATGGCCTGGGTGCTTGGGATGACGTGCCAAGGGTGTGTAGTGTGCGCAGCAGCGTGACGGGAAAGGGTTCCTGACCATGACGTGTGCAGTATGGCAGTCTCTCAAAAAAAATTCTTTCTCTCCTCCCCTTTCTTCTCTTATTCTTTTTTTCAGAATTGGTCGTGCCCTTCTTGCTTTTCCTCTCTCTAACTCAAGGCTCTCTTCCTCCAAGCCAAGGATGTCATAATAGTAAGTATCGCTGTGCTTGTGTTTGTCTTTGCGTGTTTGAAGAACCAGGAAGATGGCTGCCGTGACATGTCAAAAAGTGTATGCAGCTGCTCATAGATGTTTTCGTTTTTCTAATAGAGGATGGCTCTGCGGTGATCTGTTTGAACTTGGATTGGCTTGGACCCCATCTCTCTCTGTCTATAACTTTGCTGTGAAACGACAAAACAAATGTAAGTCAGCTTGGGATGGAGGAGGATGGTAATGCCGTGTCAAAAATAAAGATAGCACAGTGGGTGCAGCCCTCTAATGATCTTTTTTTTATCCAGCTAGAAGAAGTGTTTCTGTTCTGGCTGCGATTCTCTGCTCTACACTGGCTGGGTGTTCGGTTCTCCTGTGTCTCATCGTAGAAGTATGGGTAAGTATAGCACGATAGAATCTTGTATGTGTGTGGTTTAACAGTTTCCCATTAACTGTTCATCTCTTTCGTTTCTCGGAATGGCGATAGTGCACAGACATTTCCATGCTAGTCAAGATTGATGCTCCACTGTCATCCCGCTCCTAGAAGCCGACCTGTCAAGTAGTCTATCGGCAGTGGTCAAGATCTATCCATCCATCTGGACGGTGGCGTGTGCTTTTTGCTTTGACTTGGACCTGAGGAAGTCGTTAAAAGCCTCATATTCTCCTTTGCATTCTTATAAATATCCTCCCTCCCCTTCCCCTTGCTCTGACCCAGGAAGTCGTTAAAAGCGTCTATTGCGTTTTTATATAGTTAATCCCCCTCCTCTCCCCTTCCCCCTTGCTTTTCTTCCACAGTTCCAAGTAACCTCTGTCTCGACCCATCTTCGAATGTTGCATCGTTTCACGCGAACGGCTGTTTTTTTTTCACTCAGGCTGCCTCCGGGCGTAAGTCCTGCTTTCCTTTCATATTCCCCGTGCCCACGGGTAAATAGTGCGGCGTAAGTACTTGCTTTCTCTCTCTCACTCTCCGTGTGCGGGTGGAATTATGTGGAAAGGGTAGGGTTTCCTTTTTTGTGAGTTATAAATCGTAAAACTGAACATGCATAATCAGCTGAGAGTTTTCAAGCTTGTCTCGCCCCCTTATATCAGTACTTCCTTTAATTCACAATGGCTGGCAAATTGTCTAATGGACGTTGCCACTCTGTTATTTTCAACCATAAAAAAAAATAAATATTTTTCGAAATGCATAATCAGCAAAAGTGGAACTGACATAGTAACCATTGAGTCATTACAACAGCAAGCTTTTCTGTCGTAACTTCAACAGAGGATTAGAAAGACAGAGCTTTATAACAGAGCTTTATAACAATTACAACTATATATACTTAATCTCTATACATGCTAAACACTACATACAATTCATTTTGCTGCACCCGCAAGTTTAAAAGCTGCATCGATGATGCGTCTACGGCGCGAGATTCCAAGACTCAGTAGTCCGATCATCGCGCAACTGAAAAGGAAACGTTTGGCGCTGAAGCGAGCGATCGCGCCTCCTCCGCTGCCACCATCGCCACTGCCGCCGCCGCCGATCTTTGGGCTGTCCACAAGCACCGTTTCCTTCATATGCTGTGTCCGGATAACCCGTCTTTCCTGATCCAAGACGAGCCGTAAATGCCGCTCAAGTCCGCTGTATCCACCATCCGCTCGCTTTTGTCCTTCATATGGCTTGAGCGTTTCGCCTCGCAGGCCCTGGCCGAAGAATCCAACGCGATCCAGTCGAGGGAGATACAACTCATAAGCCGGCATATACGTATCCACAAACGCACGAACGCTTTCGTCTGACATGCCATCTACACTACGGGTCGATTTCATATGATGTTCTTGCTGCAATCGCCAGTTGTACACTTGTTCTGGATCCGCCGGAGACAGATGGATGAATATATCGAAAAATGCATAGAGATCATCCTCATACTGAGCCAAGTTGCGATTGATTTGTTCCAGACTTGCGAGCGGCTGCAGTGCCATTCGTCCTGTAGCTTCTTGATACATGCGTTTGAGCTCGGCCGGTGGCAATGGCTTGAATCCTTGCGACCATCCTTCAAACAAAATAACATCGTAGGGAGCATAAACTGTCTTCCACTGAGACTTGTCGCGTCGATCGCCCAATCCTCCAAAGCATGACTTGTCATAGGATGGAATAGCGACAGACGTGGTCTCTGGATCCAAAAGTTGGGTAAATGTAGACCGGGCGAGTGGAAGATCATGCGAACCCGGTTGGCCACGGACCTGCAGGAGCTTGTTATTAGGGTTTGTAGCTGCGAGGTTGGCCTGGTCGTTTCTCGTCAGGTAAAAGTCGTCGAGCGAAAAACTGACGACGCTGAGGTTGTGTGGCTCATTACTGAGCAAATGCACGAGGGTGTCGCAGAGTGTCGTCTTGCCACTGCCCTGGCAGCCCGAGACACCAACAATGAAGGGCCGGTTTGGTAAATGGCGTTGTGCGCGATCTTGAAGATAAGCGTCACGGTGCTGCGAAATGTGTTTCAGAGATTGTTCGACCTGTGGAAGCATACTGTACGATTGCATAACGGAAAAACAAGCTATACGTTAACTCGGGGCAAAGGAGCTTTTTATTATTACGGAGAGAAGGAAAAAAATGTGGGGTTGCGCAAAAAGAGGAAGTTAAGCGTTACGAAAGAAGGAAGGGAGGTTACACAGGTTGGTTGCTGGTGTTGTCGTTGTCGTCGTCTCCAGGCATCCAATTTGAAGGAACAGCGCCAGCGCGTCGCAAGTGGACCACCATCTCCTCAAACGTATCTTCATAAACGCCAAAATGCCCAAACGCCATCATCTGGTCTGCAAGCTCGGTCAGTCGCATAACCTTGCGTTGCCGTTCGGCCTCTTCTTCTTCTGAACCCTGCTTCTGCTGCTGCTTCTTGTTCCGGTTCTTCTTTTCCATCAGCTTTTGCTTCCATTTGGGCATCTTGGCCGTTAAGCTACTGCCACCTCCCAGTTTACCAATGGCTTGATTCACATTTTCGCCTGGCTTCAAATACTTGACCAGCTCGCGATATACGTCAGTCTTGGTCTGTGGCACGTTGGCCTGTCGTTCTGCCTCTTTCAACGCTTCTTCCTGTTCTCGCCGCACCTGGGCGTCTTTAGCCATGGCCATATCTTTGCGTGAAACGCCTTCCATCCACCGATCATGATATGCCTGTGGATCTGTCTTGTTGATATGATAGTTTCCTTGTTGATCGAAACTGCCCTCTTCCATTTCCTGCCGCATATTGAACGCCGTCAATTTGGGCTCCTGGTTGCCTTCTTCATCACCGGAATTCACGTCGCGTGAATCTAACTCTTGTCCTTCAATTTCACCCAGCTCTAATAGACGTTTTCCTTTGCTGCCTTTTGACTTTTGGGGTTGTGTCTCGGCCGGTGCCGTGTCTGCAAACATGTCAAAATCGTCGTCCTCGGCTGTCGCAGCTACCTTTTTGCCTTTGTTCTTTTCTTGATCACTATCTTCGCCTCCATCGGAATCACTGCTGTAAGCACCACCACCCACTTCTTCGTCATCGCTAAGCTCTTCGGTATTGACAGCACCGCGTCGTTTTTTTACTGGCTCGAGTGCGTCTTCATGATCAAACTCGAAATCTTCGGCTGCATCGGATGATGACGATTCTCGTTGTCCTCGTCGTTGTTGTGGTTGGTTCTTAAATCGCACTCGTTTGGATGAGGATCCATTGTCGAAATAGTCCTCGTTGTCAAAAGATCCTTTGGTGCGTTTTGTACCAGCCATACTGTGTAAAGTGTGGTATTTATTGGGGTTTCGGATAGGATGAAAATATGGTCAAACTAGCCCGACGCGCAAACAATTTTTTATGCCGTTCTTGTATTTACTTTTATTAATTAATAATCTTCCCATTCCTCTTCCTCGTCTTCAATTTGCTCTTCTTCTTCTTCGTTCTTTTGTCCACCCTCGTATACGGGCAAGCTCGTTGACTCGGATGTCTTGATATGCAGTGACCGGATGTTCTTGGATCCACCATATACACCCTTGAGAATATGTGGTAATGCTTCAATGCAGTTTTCAAATGCCTGTAAATCGCTTTGTCCTGTAGTAGCAATCTTGATAGCACTAATCATTTCAATCCGATGTATCAGCGAGCCTGATTCTATCATTACTATTACTGGCTTTCTAGTAAACTTACTAGTAATTGCCATAGTTGAAATGCATATACGTTGATCGTACTGCTCGCAGAATTTCTTTTTGCAGATCCTCCTTTGTCAAATCTACCGGCATAGGCTCTCTTATAAAGTTCTTCAAGTTAGTTAAGCTTATTAATTTGTGAATCGAAGTGAACCTTTACCGTTACGTACTTTCTCTTTTTAAAGAACTCCTTGCCCAGTATCCGTGGTAACAAATGAGCAATCCGTTTATCAGTCAAAAACGCGCCATATTCTGAGAACAACTCTCGCTTCTTTTCCGGTGATGCGTATTCCTTCTTTAATTTGGAGATACCAATAACTTTGTGTACACCTTTAATCTTTTTGGCTATCAGTAAGTCTTTGTATGTCTTTTGTGGATCTTTGGTGAACAGACATCGTCGCGTATCCGGCGTTTGTGTTGCATGTCGAAGTGGTCTATATCACATCCATATTATTACTTTATACATTCTTTTCCCAGCTCTTCCTCCCTCTCAGTCAACCTCTTTATTTTGTTTAAAGTGAATGTGCTCAAGAAAAGTACAGAAAAGACTTACATGCTTAAGGGTGTGCTTTTGACAAGATCAATGTTCTTTTGAGTTGCGATCGTCAACCAAACTGGTTCAACTACGTTGTCGTCCTTCTTTTGTTGTTCATGTTTGTACAATGCTTTAAAAGCCTTCCGTGCCTTTTTTATAAGAGAAAAGATAATTAGGAACTAATCTCTCAAAGATATCGTGATCTATTTACCTTACTGTCATCGATCTGTAACATGCTGTCCGCAAAAATAAGTTGAAAAAAAATAATTTTCTCGAGCTGAGCTGCTTTGCTGCATCATTTCCCTCCTTTCTCGTTTTGAACCCAACAACTCACACAGCACACCTACAAACGAACAATGAAAAGCAAGCGACGACTTGACGATCAAGACGAAGACTTAGTCAATGTATTACGGCAACGATTCAAGCAAGACGATGATCAAAAACAAGCAATAGGTAAAATAACACTTGGGAGTATGGAAGCTACCCCTATGTTGTTTGAGAGATTCCTATTGAGAGAAAGAAAAAGTTAAATACTTAATATCATCCAGCGAAACAGACGTTTGGAATGCTTATGAACGCCCAACAACAGCAGCAACAACAACTAGCATTGGCGCCACAGGGCGACAAAGAGCCGTCCTATGCATTGTTCGATGATCCAGAAACCTACTCAAGTCTCGGGGCCGATAACGCATCCTCGTCACGACCATGCTATCGATGCAATCGCGGGACCGCGTGTGAGAAATGCGCGTTCTGTGAACATGCTATATGCGGAAACTGCATGCAACCGTGCAGTGTTTGTGAACACATTTTTTGCGGAGGATGCTCAACTATAGAGTAAGTGTGTGCCGCCCGCTATGAGTATTTGTGTGAGGATATATGCGCTTAGTATGGTGTTGAACTAATGAGACTGAGCTCTTCTAAAAAGTTACTCGTCATCATTTGAGCAAACATTTTGCTTGTCATGCAAAGCTGGTTAAAATCAGAACATCAGAAGGAAAAAGAAGGAAGTCGTGGTTGAACACCTCTGCTACCATTTTCATAATGCATGTGGCTGTGAGGATACATCTATACCATTTCGAACTCACGATAATATAACAAACATAGAGAGGATAAGGTTTTTAATGAAGTTGCATATAATGATAACAAAGGGGATGGAGGGGCATATATTTTGCTGTTATTAAAGACAAGGAAAACGATTGGGGATGGATGAGTAAAAACGGGTCATAGATGGTCATGCGTAAGGGATTCATATATAATAGGCCACCAGTATAGAAGCATAAGCAGGTAAAAGGAAAGTGCATGTAGTGATTTGGACGATGCCTTGCTAGCAGCGCAGTAGTGCTATGCAGCTGTATAAATCAGGGTTTCCCAAGGATTGAGAGTAGAAGATATGCCGATTAGAGCTATAGTTCCGGTCCTAGGATGGATATGGAGGGTCCGCACAGGTTCGACTTGACAGAGCAATATAAGATATAGAGTAGCAGAAGAAGAGAGACGTGTCCGCCGTTTCGTTTTTTTCTTAGGCAAAAGCATGTAAGAAGTACGCATGCTTTGGCTAGGTTTTCTTTTTGTCATCGATCATCCATGGGTGAGCCTATATTTACAATAGCAATCTTTATTTAGTCTTTCTTGCTACCTTGGTGCTGTACTTGCACTAGAGCAGCGACGTTGCCAAGTGACGCATTATGCGACATACCTTAATTTCATCCATAGTGATACGCTTGTGGGGATCTTTGGTGAGCATACGATCCAAAAGATCCGATAACTTTGGATCAGTATCCTTGGGATAGTCGATGCTGTAATTTGAAAGATAACGTTAGTTCAAACATTCCATTACATCTATCCTATCCATTAAAATAGTGGTTCAACAGTACATACCTCTTGGTTTGAATCTCTTGATATAGCTCTAACAAGCTGGGTTTTTCAAACGGCAAGTGACCGTAACAGAGAGTGTACAAGGTGACACCCATGGACCAGACATCTGCAGCAGCTGCGGGTGGTTGTTGTTGCTGAGTACTATTGCGGCAACGGCGTCGCAGAAGCTCAGGGGCCATAAATGCAGGAGTACCCGCTGATGTCGTGGGAGGCATAGGCGACGTTTCAGTGCTGCTGATGGCACTACCAAAGTCAATGACTTTGATTGTATCATCGCGCGTCAAGAGCAAATTGTCTGGTTTGATATCTCGATGAACGAATCCTTGCTGATGCACTAAAAATAGCAATTGGTTAGGGTTAGTGGTCATGGGATCACCTCTTTGTATCTCAAACACAGTGGCAAGGGGAAAATAAACAAAAAGTGTACTTACAGTAGCCAATAGCATCCACTAGCTGACTAAAGTACTGACGGCATTGTTCAGAGGAGTAAGGTTTGACAGGTTTACTCGAGCCAAGGTCTATAACCGCTCCCTTTTCCGCCATTTCCATGACTAAAGTCAAAATAGATGATAATCATAAAAGGTTTCGTTTAGTGTAAGCTGTGAAGAGACTATTATGGATTCAGAAATCCTAATGACATAGCGCATACCAAGATGAATTGAGTCGGATTCAGGATCATCAATGACTTGAACGAGTCGAACGATGTTTGGGTGGTCGAGGTGTTTCAACACTTCCACTTCATTGACAGTCGGTGCCAAGCGTCGGCGTTTGTTCTGTTGTTGTTGTTGTTGTTGTTGAGACGATGGTGACGATGAGCCAAGAGATTCTTGTTGTGGACCTGACGTTACACCAAGTCCAGAGCAGGGCCGTGGTCCTGCCAGTCGCAGAAAATCATTTTGCTGCTGACGTTGCAAACGTGATTTACTTAATTCCTTGATCGCCTGTTATGTAATAACCCGTCCATTGTCAGCTTTTTTTTATCATGTGACAAAAATAATTCTTAAGGGATGAAGAGACAGAGAGAGAGAGAAAGAAAGAATTGCTTACGTATTGGACATTGTTCTTTTTATCGACAGCGAGATGAACAACACCCGTGGATCCACTGCCGATTTCGTGAAGTAAACGATAGTTCTGGACGTAGCGTCGGTTCGTGCTGATGACTTCTGACAAGGAGCGTCGATGGAGGCGTCGTTCGTGATGTTTCCAAGGTCGGTGGAACTGAATTGCAGTTGTGTTGAACCAGCGAGTCATTGTTGATTGTTGTATTATCTTGGAGAGATTGTGTGTTGCTGGATCGAAAGCAAAGCGGTTATTCTTGCAAGTGATAAGAAAAGAAAAAGAACAAAGGTAGAAGACTCGTCTTTTTATATTAGATCCTATTTTTTGTGTGATTCGTGGTTGTGGTGTTACACTTCCCCGGCTCCTGGGTTGACTTGCTTTTCATTTCTCTTGGCTTTAAATTTTTTCCTATTTAGGAGCGGAACCGATGCTGGTGCCGGGCAAGCCAATAAAAACATTGCGTCAGTGTGCATAGCATCCAAGTTTATTTTTACCAACCACAGCAGTCTTACCAATCAACTCCTTCTTCTCCCTGCTATATGGCAGCGCCTTGGCTGCTTCGAGCAGTATGTTTGTCTTCTTTGTTCATACATGTTGCCTTTTTCTCTCTCCTGCAGCAATTGAGGGGGGGAGGGTGAACGTGGAGAGACAAGAGGAGCGGGGCGCGTCAGTGTGTTACCCATACGTTGAATGACGCTTTTCTTGTTTCTTCACGTGAAAAGCTTTTTATCATTTTCTAGGCACTCATTGTTTAGATATGCACCCTAATTAAAACCATTCTTCTCTCTTTTAAGCGCGTGACACGTATTGCTTACTTATAGACACTTTGTGGTACTGTTGTCTTTTAAGTGACACGCCTCTTTTTGTACCTAGTAAAATACTGTTGGTACCCCATCAAACAGCTGCACTTTCAGTCCGTTGTTGCCTATTTGCTTCGATCCGTGGCACCTACACGTGGCATTCTTTGGCAGACCCACATATCTGTTGTTTCCGTGGCTACCCGAATATTGATCCGGCCGGCCACTTTGCTCCGATCTTGCCCCATCACTTTTTCTCCATCGTACCATTTCATTTCATGCGCAACACAATAAGCTTTATAACTGCGACTATGTTTTAAATACGAGGGCGGAGCACTATTCATGCATGCGCTGCATAATGTGCCACATTCACGCTGTATGCTGCAGAGGAATACAATCAATTTTCGTGGGGTTGTTGCTTTAATATATAGTACACACTTGCGCAAAATTATCACGTATCATACAGATGTCATCATCCACTACTTGCTTCATATCTGTCCATATTATGTCACATACAACAAGTTCCTCTGATATATCCGTGGTGTTCCCTGTTTCAGAAATAATATTGTCGATTCTGTATCAGAGCATCATACTGTTCTTCTTATTGTAAATAAATCAGCTGGGCGTCACCAGCTTCTTCTTCATTACCATACATCAAAGTCGCAAAACAATACTTAAACAGCACAATACTGAGCCTACACATATTCGGCTATCATTGTAATTATCGTTATTACTGTCTGGACGGCGTAGTGACGAAAATGACTGCGAGCCCACATTTGTAATTCAGACCGGGTCACTTGTTGCTTGAAATATGTGATAATAGTTAATCATATTCTGGGATTTCTAGCTTCTCCTGCACTGCACTATGTAATGTAGCATTACCAGCCACATTAATATGCTACTGCAACTATCAGAATAGCAATCGATGATAAAATTTCAGAAACAGCAGCCATCATCGAATCCAGGACTTTACTATAAGAGTATAATCCCCTACTCTTTCTTAGTTTTATTAATCTTTGTCTTTCATAATATACAAGTTAATCAGCAGAGCAATAATCGTATGTGGCACGTTGGTTCGCTAATGCATCCATTATCATTCGGCCCAGTTATTTATTACGGCTATAATTTATTACTGGGAATGAAAATGGGGAATGGGGAACTATGAAAAAGAAGCGGGGCTTTTTTAAAAGCATCGTAGAGTTTTTGCATTGACCGTGATGTCTCTGCCAGTCATTTACTACTGTATCCACATGTGTACTAACAAAAGCTGATGAAACGTCTACAGAAAGTAATGTGGAGCTCTTTTATCAAGCAGAGTTGAAATCCAAAATTATATTGTCAAGCGTGCACTTTTGATCTCCAATCTGGAAAGCGCCAGAAGATGTAGACTTCTCTAAACATCGGCTGTTCTGTTTTGTATACGGTTTGAATAGTATGGCTGGATGTCTTTTTTGATGCTTATTGTTGTTTTAGTCTGTTGCGATATGAAATGCGAGGCTGCTGCTACCTGGAGTAACGACGATCATATATAAAAACGACATAAGTTATTTTTCTTTTCATGTGACAAATTGTTCTCGCACCCCTTGCAATAGGAACCGGATCTGGCCGAAGTAGCCATGTGGGACTTAATTGTTGCTGTGAAGCAGTCGATTCATCGTGATGCCTAAAATGAGTTGTCTCTATACAAGAGCACGGGTAATTCGACGCTTACCAGCAGTTGTCTTCTAGACGACGGCAGCTGAGCGCGGGTATGCAGCTGCTATCGTACTATTTGAACAGCATACACTCCTTCAACTACTAATCTTTCTGGTATCATAGATCAGCGCGCAATATAAAGAAGGTGACAATGAAATACTTGGCGCCCAATTTGTGGGAAATATACAACTCCGCAGGCGAAAAAGAAGGCTTAAGAAATAGCAGTTTATACCTACTTCATTGGAACGGAGGATATAATATGCTACAGAAGATGAACGGTCTTGATCAGGTATTTAACTCTGTTTATATGTATAAAACAGAAAGTGTATAAACTGGTATCACAAATAATACTGATGGTTATTAATGTATCTGCAATAAGAACATGCTGATTGTAACCTTTTATTTTTGTGTAGATATATTGTAAGAAGGTTGTGTTTATACAGTTTGTGTCTCATTGAAAAGTATGCATGTAAATCTTTGTTGTTCTGTAGTACATTAAAAATAGCAGCTATGACAAGGCACCAGCGATAGATACAAATCGTGCTGTTTGCTCTTGTAACTTGAAAGGTAAGAACCTAGAAAACAGCGCTTTGAGCTCCCTGTTGAGATCACGATTGCGAATTATTTGAGGGCCGTGGTCTCGCTTTTGTAGTAAATTTGTCTGTCGCCTGCAGCGACTTTGAAGTCTTTATTTGATATATACGTTGCAAGTCAAATTTTGCGATAGTTGCATAATTTATGCTCTTTAAATTGACAAATGAAGCGATTTTATGAGCCTAAGTAGTAGATTATCGTATACGGGCTGTTAAGATCACTCGTCGCAACATCATAAATAGGTGGAATCATGTTCCCAACTGCCCTGAGATGTGCCAGCATGTCCTCGTAGTGCATAATTATCGTGTCTGTGGGCTCTCAGTTACTTTTTTGCTGCTAATCATGCTGGCTCCTTCATGAACATTTGAAAGATTTTATGGCACATCATAAAGGATGTTTCTGTAGGTTCTTCAGCGCCGGACATAGTATCCGTACAGAGACTCGAATTACAAGGTCACATAACATCCAATATTGAGTTCGTTGACGCTATCTTACGTTCTCAATTGTCATCGTCGACCGGGCATCTAATTATCAGAATCTATTCGGCGATAAGAAGCGTCTTGCTGTTGTGATTGTATTTTGAAATAGTGGTACTTTTTCGGTCGTAGACTTGTACTATACATTTAGAGAAAGTGACAGCCTAGGATGTTTGGAATAATCATCTTAACAGATAGGTTACTATCACAGAGTTCATCAAAGCGATAATGAATTCTCAAAAATGAGTAGTGAATTTTCATTCTATACCGGCTTCTCAAGGTCACGCCGTTGATTTGAGGTATTTGTGTTAGCAACAAAACAAACGTATAGGCCCGCCACCAGTGGTGAACGATGCAGCACAGCAAAACGACTCCGCAATTTTTTAGGCTTTTGTGTTTTTTGACTAGGTAGCTTTGCCACACTCACAAAGCCTTCTTTTCTACTACTATAACTACCCCCCTCTCTCTTTCAAAACTCGCACGATGCGCAGTCTTGAACTCCTAGCGCACGAATCAGCTCGGATCGCAGGCATCGATGCCGGATCGCGTTCTTTTCTAACAAGTGATCCCGAAAACGGTGTTGTCTACGCTGCGTTCGAAGATAATTCCTCGTGTATTCGGATCGCAGTTAACGGGATCGCACCCGACGATCCGTCAGCATTTGTGGAACTGGCACGAATCCCGGTTGAAAAGCAAGATAACTCTAATGTTTCAAGCATTGTCGGCTTTACTTTCTTGTCAGATCAACAAGTAGCTTGTCTGGCTGCGCGAAATGGTGACATTATGCTTATCAGTAAAGAACGCTTTGACAGTGGCGACGAAGCTGTAAGCATATATATTTAGCTGTTCTCTTAGTATTACTATGGTCTCATATAGTCTTGCAATGTCCATTGTATAGGTTGAAATTGTCGGTTCCGTCGATACTGGTATTTGTGCCATGGCATGGAGTCCTGATCAAGATCTAGTTGTCTTGGTGACAGGTAAGGGAGTTTTTATGCTACACTTGAATCACACCGATGGTATTAACACCCCTTTCAAACAATATGATGTTTCAACATGTAGGAGCAAAAAACGTATTGGAAATGACACAAGATTTTGATACGATCACCGAGTTTGCGTTACAGGTTGAAGAGGAAGGAGAAGGTGTTCAGCATAGCGTCGGATGGGGCAAAAAGGAAACGCAATTCCACGGATCAGTAGGGAAACAAGCAGCACTCAACAAAATCGACTCATCCAAATTTACTGTATCCGAAGACGACGATCATAATGCACGTATTGCATGGAGAGGCGATGGCAGCTACTTTGCCTGTTCAGACATTGATCCTCGAAAATGTAATATCACCTATATATTGTGTTTCAGGCATGGACAATGGTTTGTGCTCAGTGGGAAAGAGACTTACCTAGCGATCCTATGATAATATTATAGCTGCTCGTGTGGTGCGTATTTATAATCGTGAGGGTATTTTGCAGAATACAAGCGAGCCTGTGGATCGCTTAGAACATGTGCTTGATTGGAGGTAAGAAGGGAAAAGGGATTTGACTCTTGTTGGTAAGATAAAGAGCTTGGATGGTTTGTCTAAAATCACTCTATGTTATCGTCCAGACCATCAGGAAACCTTATTGTATCTAGTCAGCGACTTCCTCATCGTCACGACATCGTATTCATCGAACGAAATGGTCTTCGACATGGCGAGTTTACACTTCGTGAAAAGACCAACCATAAGCTTCTGGAACTTTTATGGAATGCTGACTCGACAGTTCTTGCAGTTTGGCTGGAAGCTGAAAACCCAGTAACTGGAAAACCTCAGAAATCAGGTATGGATTACAAGATACAAATGAACGGGAAAAGAAACTAAATTATATAAAATAATTTTTAGTGCAACTTTGGACGTCAAACAATTATTATTGGTACATGAAACAGCATATTGTGTGTGCGGATGGAAGTGATGTTCTGGGTTTCCATTGGGATGTTGAAACACCTTTATGTGCCCATATTATGACCAGCTGTAAGTGTTTGTTTCAATGGTAGGAAGGATTGTGGTCTCATATTTTGGGCATAAGAAGGAAGGAGTACTTATCTAATGAGTTTCTCAATTTTCACTTGTAGCTGGTCATTATCATCGATATGCTTTTGCTTGGGATGTACTTGCAAGCACTTCTATTGCTGAAAATAATGCAGGATATGTTGCTGTGATTGATGGAGGTAAAAAAAATAAGAAGTAGAAGGGGAGATGGTAAGGACTGAACTGAGTTTGGTTACTAATAGCGAATTCTGTATTCAAATGCAGCTTCGGTTCTTTTGACGCCATTTTCGTATCAAAACGTGCCTCCACCAATGTGCGCACTAACCATCACAGCAAACAGTAACGTGCAACAAGTTGCTTTTGGTCCAGAGAGCTCAGGAACCCAGTTGGCTGTCGTAACAAACGAGGCCATTCAACTGTTTGAAGTTCCGGCCAATGCCAGAGGCGAACCTAAGCAAATTGGAACTTTTGCTCTACCAAAGTATGTCGAAAACGCAGTGAGTGGGGGAAAATAGATTTGGGGTTTCGAATGAAAAAGGAATCAACCGTGTATGCTATATACAGATCATCCGAAGAATCAACCTCACATGCCGCTATTCGTCATTTGTGCTGGTTTGCCGAGAACAAAGCTGCGTACGTTCAATATGATGAACAAGAAGAGGCAGATATGTTGTTCCTGGTCAAGTTCTCGGAGGCTGCTGAAGGAAAGTTGGATGTGTTGAGCACTACACCTCTGGGTAAACGGGTCGGCAGACTCTACTACAACATGAGTTTCAATGATTTGATTGTGGAGACTATGGATGGATCAGTACGCAAAGGTAGTGTTTTTGACCTTGTTTTCTTTTCCCCGTTTTTCGAAAGTTAATGATTGAGCTAAAAAAAATGTTAATGGATCGTTTATAGTCAACGCTACTGATGATAGTAATATCGAGCTATCGGAGCTTGTCAAATTCCCCAGCTTCTGCCCATGGATCGCCACAACTCGCCTTGATCAAAAATCGGATAACCCAGAGGTAAAAAGAGACCAAGTGTGAATTTACTGGCATAAGATCAGCATATACTGACTTGTAAAGGATAAGCTTGCGGTAATTGGTCTTACTGAACGTGGTAAACTGTATGCCGGTGATCGACTTCTTTCTGGAGAATGTACATCATTCTTTTTGCGTAACGACTGGTTGGCACTTTCGACAACTAGCCATACCGCACGCTTTTTACCTTTGGATGTCAAGTTTGATGGTAAAGTTGCGTTAGTGTATATGGATATACTACCCTTATTTCTCTTCCTAACTGAATCCTTATGCTACTATCAGACTTTAAACTCTCTGATAACGCTCCTGACTCCCATGACGAATCATACCGACGCGTTGAACGAGGTGCTAAAATTGTGCTGGCAACGCAAGCTAAACCCTCTCTTGTTCTTCAGGTAAATATAATGAATATATCTACGAAGGTCAGTGGCTTTGTATATTAAGTTGTATGTACGTATTAGATGCCTCGCGGTAACCTGGAAACAGTGAACCCACGAGCCTTTGTTTTAGCACAAATCCGCGAAGACTTGAAAAAGTAAAGTATTGTTATATACTTCCAAAGAAGATTGTGATCTTGTGCCGTCCTATAATATTCTAACCAAACGAAATTCCACTTTTGGCTTCAGCTTGAACTATCGCTCTGCATTCATTATATGTCGCAAGAACCGTATCGATCTGAACGTGTTATGTGACGAGAACCCAGAGTCGTTCTATGAAAACATTCCTCGGTTCATTGAGCAGATTCCTGAAGTTGATCACCTCAATCTGTTTCTGTCTAACTTGAAGTATGCTACTATACTTTACTCTCCTTAAGATACATGTACATTATTTATGGAATCCTGAATAATGTTGTTATAGGAACATCGATACGACAAAAACTTTGTATCGTCACGGTGGCTCAGATAAACAAGAAAACAAAGAGAGTGCAAGGTAACATTACGGTACACGAAAATATAAATGAGATCATTGATATCTAACTAGTGTATCTGTAACTGTAGTGTTGAAGATAAGGTCAATAAGATTTGCAAGGCTTTCCGTGACGTATTGATGGAGAAGGGACGGGATCGATATATCCAATCCATCCTTTCGACCTACGTTAAAAGCAGTCCACCAGAATTGGAATCTGCACTGCAGCTTTTGGCTGATATCAAAGGTTTGTGTCCATCAAATTGCTTATATAAGTGCAATGGACTCACATAGCTTTATTATTGTTGTCATTTAGTACAAAACGCCAATGAAGCAGAAGAAGCTCTCAAATACACCATTTTCTTATGCGACGCCGATAGTCTATACGACGTGGCACTGGGCATGTACAACTTTTCACTCGTCCTGATGGTGGCTCAACAAGCACAAAAGGTAACAATGAACCTTAATCGTTGCTTGGAAGCGGGTTTACTCACTTTTTGCGGTTACACATATACTTTATCATTAGGATCCAAGAGAATACTTGCCCTTCTTGCAAGAGTTACAAAAACTTGAAAAGTTCTATCAACGCTTCCGTATCGACGATCACTTGAAAAGATATGCATCCGCCTTAAAGAACCTCAGCAAAGCAGGTGATGAGCATTTTGACGAGCTTGTCAACTATACGCGTAAGCACGTACTCTATCTGGTCGCACTCGAAGAATATGCAAACCATCCACAACAAAAGAAAATTATCCTCGATGTCTATGGTGACTACCTTGTTGATAACAATGCACACGGTGAAGCCGGCATAGGTTAGTTTCTCTTTCTTTTTCGAAAGAGCAGGGCAGGCAGAATGACCTTGCCCATATCAAAATAATGCGTAACCAGGTTTGATCTTTTTCTTTTACTTACGATCCATTTTTTTTGTAGTTTATCTATTGTGCGATCAAACCAGCAAGGCATTGAATGCATATCGTTTAGGAGGTGCTTGGCGAGAAGTCTTCTCGTTGGCCAAGCAACTGCAGTATTCTGCTGAGGATATACAAGGGCTGGCATATGATGTGCTTGGTAAAGGACTAGTGCTCGCACGAGGACGTTGACTAGTTGCTTAGCATCAAATGTTGTTAATATTTTGATCGCTTCTTGTATATAGGTAATCTCAAGGAAAAGAGCCGTTATCAGGAAGCTGCTGTCGTTGCTGTGGATTATGGCAAGGTAAAATGAGCAGAGGAAGTTAATTAATAAGACTCGGAAATTTTTAACTAATATTTTTTCTGAATAGGATATTGAAGAAGCTGTGGATTGTTTACTGAAGGGTAGCCACTGGCAAGAAGCTGCTCGTGTGGTATGTCTCGAAGGGGTTTTTACAAGCTAATAACACTTTGTTGGTTTGACTCATATCTTTTGAAATATGAATAACTATCTAAACGTAGAGCCGAACGCACGAACGATCTGATCTTATCGAGACACACGTCAATCCCGGATTGTATGAAGGTAGTTATTAAAATGAATTTGAACGGATGAACAAATGGAATAAGCTAACTAAAGCTTTCTTTTTGGTCAATGATGTATAGGTTACACTCAGGCCGAAGAAGAACTAGACAACATGACCAGTCAGTTCAACAAACAAAAGAATCGATTGAAAGAGTTGCGTGAGACTAAACTCGACCCAGGTAACTGTTGTTTTCTACTTGTCAAAAGGAATTTGGACCATAGATAGACATGTTTGATTCTAATATTATCATTGCTTTCATTATCTGCAGATGCAAATCTACCTCACGACGAGACGCTCGATAACATTGATATGTTCTCGGACACCACATCCATGTACAGCCAATTTACACGATACACACAAGCAACCTCTCGAGTTTCCACAGTCTCCTCTGTCTCATCTAAATCCAGCCGGTAAGTCACATCTTATTCTTTTGTTACTTGTTGGATATAAACGATACATTTCAGATCATAAAGATGTAACACTTTTGGGATTAGAAAAACCTCGAAACTTCGACGAAGGGAGCAGCGCAAACGCGAGAAAGGAAAAAAGGGTACAATTTACGAAGAAGAGTATCTGGTTACTTCATTGCGCAAGTTATGTGAACGTGCCAGCAATATGCAAAGTAAGCATCATGTGGGGGTTACGAAGAACAAGACCGAATGTTTACTAACTTTTTGAAATAAAAAAGATGATATGCATGATCTTTTACGAGCGCTGATTCCTTTCGGCTATATGGAAGAGGCGCGGATCCTGCAGACCAAGTTTGCGCAATTCCTTGTTGATATCAAGGCAGCAATGGACGGCATTTTTATTCCGTTGCAGTTGGCTCCTGGAAGGGTGAGTGTACAATCTTCTGCTACGCATGTATATTAACTAATTACTAAATTGGACTTGTTTTTCGTATTGCATAGTACGCTTCCCAGGAAGAATTGGATGCGACAAAACAGCCTGTTGATGTAGAGAAGCCAAAGGTGGCTGATGTAGACTGGTCACTTCAGCTTTTGGGTTAAAAAAAACACAATGTATCATACCTATCACTTCCCCTTCCCAATTGTAAAATGTCATTTCACTACTAAGTGGATCTGTCTTCTTTATAAAAACAAAAAAGTGCTTTATACAGACATAGGCTAGTATGCACTATACAATGTTCTTCTCCTCTTGGGAAACTTGCACTATCATCCTTTCTGAACAGTAAGGTAGTTTGTATATTGGATGCTCTAACAAAAACGCTCGGAATGCATCGAAAGACATTCAGCGTGACCAACGATTATGTTAAATTCAAGAAGTTTGCTCGCTGTTGGCGGCGATGGCGATAAATCGCTGCATGGAGTTATTTTCTCTGATTTTGGTGATGGCTCGATTTAACTGTTTAAATTAATGTTGGGGGCGTTCAATCAAGGAAAATTACGCCTAATCTCTCTATGTACCCTTCCTCATCAACTGCTGGTTGCAATTCCGCGCGCTCAGCTGCACACAAGTTCGAGCTATACCACTGTATGCGTGCTACCATAGGAAAGAAGGACGGTAACAGTACGCATGGAGCTGCGGAGAAATATGGAGCTTGCTGATTGCTGTCGAGTCACTCAGCGACGAAACCTTTGGACCTGATGCCCCCCGTTACTTTGCTACTTGATAGTATATAAAACCCTGCATTCCTTCCCACAAAATCCAAATAAAGTTTTTTTGTACTCTTCGCGATGCCCTTGATACATCTTTAAAGACTTGTTGATTGATTTCATGTCATTCACAGAGGTGTTGCTCAAACCAGCGTACTTGGTTGAACGGTATTATCTATTTTACATAAGGTTGGGTGACATGGATGACACACTATACAAACGCCTTACAGAATGAAAGGGCATGTATTAAGACCCCCGCCCTAAAGAATTGGTTAATTTGGCAAAGGTCTTTTGCTACTTTGGTATGTTTGGTATGGTCAACTCGAGACGTTAAATCATATCCTTGGAAACAAAAAGTTTTACTGATTTACAATGCTGCGACTCAAGGAGATCCTGCAGAACTACACTCCAGAACAAGGATGAGAAATCCAAAATCTGTCCTTGGTAAACGCCAGCGTGAAGACGACGACAATGGTGAAGATGAAGGGCACGAATGTCAATGGCGACGAGAGAGCGTTAGGAAAGAAAAAGAAGAGCGGTCAGCGAACAGGAAGGCGCAACGACAACGCGGTAAGGGGCAATTTATATATCGTTTTCTCTTACTGTGTATTTAGTATACTAATGTGTTTATTATCGTATTGTATATATATTACCTTTCATTGATTCACAAACTTGACGAAAAGCAGACGGAGCAGCTGCTAGGTGCTTATATATAATTATGCGCATCCCTGGATCTACTGTGTTCCCAATGTAGTAGCACATGCAAAGATGCAAATACCTAATATACATTTATTGTTGGCATTAGTAGTTATAGTAGTAGTAGTGCGACGTATCATATCGTTTCTTTTTCTGTAGTTTTTTTTTCTCTTATGTGGCTAGCATGTCTTTTTTGGTGGAGTCATTTTATCTAGTGTCTATTATATAGCTTTGAAAGAGTATCTCTTTGCTGGGAAACACAGCATAGCAGCAATCATATATAGAGTACCCGTCATTTGTCACAGTGATCGATATCGATGTTACTATCAAGCTATTACGTACAATCAGCAAACAATGAGCGCTGCACCAGCAATTTCTTTGCCGCAAAAATTCAGGCACGAGATCATTAAAGCGGATCTAATTATCCAAGTTCTCATTTATCAAACTCATAATCTGTAATCTCATACACCAAGTAGATGGCTGTAATTATACTACCCTTACTAAATGTACTTCTACTATTATTCTATTACTTTGTAAGTAGAGGAAAGCAGCAATAACAGTTATATTTTTTCCATAGAACTGTGATTGGCTTGATCACACGCATTTCATCTGATCATGTGAGAGAGAGGAGGAGGACTTCTTCCCTCTCATTTTAGTCATATTTGCTCTGTACGCACTATGTATGATATGATGTTGTGTCAGGAAAGACAAGCAATAGTGCACATCTGCTGTTGTCCGATATACATATTCCGCGCGTGCAAAAGCATCCTTTTTGTCCATACATCAACCCTGCGAAGGCGGAGAATACGACTGTACTAATACATGCAACAAACGACCAAGATTAAGAAATCAAAACGAAGCAGGAGGGGTCAAATTCAACAATAGATGTATCATCACAAAATTAAACAAGAAATCTTTGTCCTACCTAATATCGATGGGTAGTGATATGTACTATTCATACTAGATATAGAGCCAGTAAAGATCCTTAGACAGCGCTGACGAGTGAATGATGAGCAACGGATATTGTAGCAAAAGCTGTGGTGTGTCTTGATGGATATAATTCTTCATCACTCATGATTGCTAACATGACGACAGAAGGGCAATCTGTAGTTGAGCGCCGGACTGGGTTTTATCCGATTTCCGCCCAAAAAGATCAATTATTTTTTTTTCGGAGAAAAAGCCGGGTGTTATTATACATGACTACTTTACAATTGACAACGAAACGGTGGTTACATCAGTTTTCAAACAGTAAAAGTCCAGCTGTATAGATGAACGCACGCTACCGTCGTCAGTAATGTCGACCTATTATATGGTCTTGAGCTTATTTCAAGTAATAATGTAGTCTTCTCCTTATCTTCTATCTTCTGCTGCTTCCCCACCCCTTTAGGATTTCTGTAAAAAATGGCCACCTAGCTAGTGCCTTGTAGATAGTAGAAAAAGGACACTAAAACGTATAGACTAGGAAGCGTACGTTTGATTGGTTTCCAAGTAGGATTTTGCGCAGTTTTCTTTTGACGACATAGATGGTATGTTCCATCGTCAGAGGCGCCACACCTGCAAAAGGTACGATCCGCAGTAGCATATCATAGAATCATGCGATATGCAGAGTACATACAATACAGAAATAAATGTAATCGTGATAAAGAGTGCTCCTAGGCCCAAGACTGCTATTACAACGTACACAACACACCTCCAAAAGATTGGTGCTTCCAAAAGAGCCGACCATCTTTTCTTTTCCCAATCCAAATTCATTCTCCGGCATCACAAAAATCGTAAAAAGAGACAAAAGCATGGTTTGAGTGCCAGAGAGAATACAAGTAAACAAATGGGTATCATAAGGAGTTGTCACTGAAGAAGTGAAAGCACAGAAATACGCAATCAAGAGAGAGAGAGGGGGGGGTGTTAGCCATTCATTGTAAATGCGATGGCGAAGGAGGAGCGTGGTGTATATGTTCTTCTGAAGGAGGTGATCACGTAAGAATAATGGATCAGAAGCGTTGTTCTTTTTCCTTCTGCTAGCAACATAGAGCACCTATAGCGCACGCATACACCCTCAAGATAGAGTATTACGAGACCATCCATCATTATCATCAACGTTCGGGCTGACTTCCAACGGGCACACTGTGTGTGTCCCATTATCCCCGCAATGAAAAAAAATGAAAGCCCACTTCCCCTTTTCTTTTTTTGTTACTTACTTTGAACCTGATTTTCTTTTTTTCTTTTTATTTTCTGTGCTGCATTTTTTTTGTCTTTTTGAAAAAAAAGAGGACTTGGATTCTCTCGTTATTCACATCAATCCCATTAGAAGTTTGCTACTGTTTCTCTTGTCTTTGGCTACCCCCCACCATGGTAAGAATCCCTTCCACACTCGCTCTATCTCCTCTTGGTATCATGAAACAGAGGACACAAATACGAGGCCGTGGATACTTACACAGCACACATGTGATTCCATAGGCTCTATCATCAGATCCCCTTTCACCATCAAGCATTGCTTCATCCACTTCGTCTACTGGCAAGCGCCCACGCCGCACTACTCGGAAGAACGAGGGCTGCATACCCTCGCCTTCCAGCAGCACATTGGGTAAGACCTGCCATATCATTTTTGCTAGGGGGGGGTTGTGTGTGTTCTTATTGTCGTTGCTGTGCTGGACAAAAAGAATGTTTTACACCAAGTGGACCAGCAATTAGAGGATGGATTGGTAATAATAATGAGACACACCCAAAACAGAAGAAGATGACGAGCAACCGCAGCATCAGCAGAGACTAAAGCTACACGGAGGCGATGCTGTCGAGGCTGTGAAACTGACAGATGATGCTGCCAAGCAATGGTTCTGCGCTCGAGTGGTTGATACAGATGGCCCACTTGTGCTGGTCCATTACGAAGGATTCCCAGCCGACCACGCCGACTGGATCAGTCAGACCTTGGTGCGACCTCGACGAAAAGGACAGCAGCGAGCATTGCTGTATGGTCCACGGGGCAAAGAGGACTGGAGAGACTTTGTTCAACCTGTAAGCAGGACCACGGGCCTAGTCCATGATCGACGAATGGGCTTGCACACCTGTCCATGTACTACAATCAGTCATCCTGAACGGCCTGAACGCATCACTTCAATATTTGATGCCTTGTATCATCATCGGTAAATTGAGGAAAAACAAACAAACAAATGCTGGCTGTTGTTGAATAAATGATTAATCATGGATGGGCTGCTTGCTATTGCCTGTCTTTCCGCTGCCAGTGTCTTGCGCCATATTCGGCACATCAGGACACGTGAAGCGACCTTTTCAGAACTCTCGCATGCACATACAAAGGCGCACGTACGTAACTATTGCCCAAGCGACGATGTTAACGATGACGACAAAGAAGACGACGACAACGACGACGACGACGACGAGAATAGCGATCCCAATCCACGTGCTCGTAAAATCACTTCAATTGCAGCACTCCTGAACAATACCGAAGAAGAAATGGACGACAAGAATGAACAGCAACACCAGCAGCAGCAGCAGCAGACGAAAGATTGTATCATCAGCACCACAGCTGCTGCCACTGGTCTTAAAGACGATGGTCGGCGGAAAATGTTCTGTGGTCAAATCGGCATAGGTAATAATAGAATGCGTGTGTGTGTGTGTGTGTGCTACAATATGAAATATATCCCCTTAACACAACACACACACACCCTTGCCTGTTCTTTTCAAAGCCGGCGATACGACGTTTCACCCGTTGCATACAAGCTTATCAGCCCGAGTGGCTGCAGGCGCTCTCATAAACTTGACCGACGCCATTGTCGATGGTCGGATCCGAAATGGCTTTGCTGCCATTCGGCCGCCAGGTAAGAAGAAAGCTTTTTTTTGTTTGAGGAGAGGAAAAGAGAAGACTCACATTGAAATTCACACACGCGCACGCACACAAACAAAACATAGGCCATCATGCTCTAGAAGACTCGGTGATGGGATACTGCTACTTTAACAATGTTGCTGTGGCAGCACAGGCAGCACTGCAAAAGCATCCTTCCAAGATCCGCAAAGTTCTTGTTCTGGATTGGTACGTTTCTTCTTTCTCGAACCATGTGCATGCTGTGTTGTAATATTGACTTTTCCGCATTATTGAACATGAATAGGGACATACAGTAAGTCATACTTGCACAGGCTGAAAAGAAGAATAAGGGATATGCAATAACAACAACCTTAATTTGTTGTAGCCACGGCAACGGCACACAACAAATATTCTACGACAATCCCAACGTGCTCTATGTTTCGATCCATCGGTGGGACCAAGGCCGCTTTTACCCGTTCAGCGGAGCACCAGCTGAATGTGGACGTAGCGCTGGCCTCGGACGGAATGTAAACATTGCCCTGTCGACTTGCAAAGAAAAGCCAAGTAAGAAGTAGTCTTTCTCCCGGATGTTCCTTTCTTTTGTGCGCCGTCACCACGAACTCATCCATCCATCCCCCTCAATTCTGCCATATCTGTAATAGAGCCAATGGGTGACACCGAATTCATGGCCGCAATCCATCATATTGTGACACCAATTGCGCGGCAGTTTGGGCCTGACTTGGTGAGTGGCATCTTACCCGTCTCTCTCTAAAAAGCGTGTGCATGTTGTTGACATTAAGCAATCGTGTAGATCTACGTATCGGCTGGTTTTGATGCTGCAGAAGGCCATTCTCATCATGTAAGCTTATATGAACTTTATTTCACCTCGCGCCTTTTGTTCAGATAGCTCACAATTCTACACACCAGCTTGGTGGATATCAGGTTACACCACGAGGCTATGCCCTTCTGACAAAAATGGTCAAGGAATTGGCTGAAGAACTGTGTGATGGACGGCTGGCGCTTGTTTTAGAAGGCGGTTACGAACTAGAGCCGCTTGCCAACTCTGCAGCAGCCAGCATTATGCAGTTATGCGAGATACCAGAGCAGTCGATATCCTCGTTCAAGGGTGCGCTGACTTCTATCAAACCTAATCGCGGCGCATCGGCCTCGTTCCATCAAGTGATCGAGTGTCAACGGGCTTACTGGGACTTGCCAGAACTACCCACAGATTACCGCTTTCTCCTGCCGCAAGAATGGAGGGCTGTCAACAGCATTTCAACACGTTCGCCCCGCAACCGTCAACAAGTACAGCAAGCATATAACAGCAGCAAGCAATCATTTATCCATGGCTACTAGACAGAACAGCATCTACCACTACTACTACTATTATTACTACTACCACTACCTCCAACAACAACAACAACCGTGTGCAATTGTTTCTATATCTTCCCATACCCATTTTTCATTTTGTCATCATCACATCAACAAATCATCCATTCATCGTGTCTTTTCGCATCAAACAAACAAAATACATGAAAAATACAATACAACATGCATTTTATTTTTCATTCAAGCTTAGTGTTGCTGTTCATAGGGAATTTGGCCTTTGAATTATGTGAAAAATTTGCGCCATAATCGCGTCGCCAGAAGTGGTCAGCCTAGTTTTGTTGATGACAGCTGTTAGCATATGAGTTAGAGAAGGAAAGAAATGCTTTGATTGCTTCTTGCCTGTTTACGGGCCTCGTACAGGTCATTTTGAACGGTAGACCGACGTCGAGCCATAGCATGTGGAGAATTGTCAACTGGTTTGTCTTGCACTTGCTGTTCTGCCGACGCAGAATTTCGTCGCTTGTTCATCAATGCTGCGGCACCAGCAGCACCCACTGCACCCAAAGTAATAAAAGCTCCTGTGCTTGGCATGGTCTTGGATAGATAGATAGAGAGAGAGAGAGAGTGTGTGTGTGTGTGTGTAGAGTAAGAAGAGAACAAGAGCTGTTTGCTTGCTTTTTTGACTTGCTATAGGGAGGGGACGGGCTATTTAAGCATGTTTCGTGTGAGAAAAATTATCGAGTGAGAACATCTGACCTAAACATGCTGCATGATGGCACCCCAATCGAACTAAAATACTGGAGCAATTAGTAGGGCCATAGCTCAAGTTTTTAAGCTATCCAAACAACCCACACCCCCCCAGATATGGTATATTTACGCCGCTATGTAAATTATTCCCATGGCACTTGATATCAATTGCACGCCCTACAGTCTAGTAGCAGTGATCCATACGTTTGTAAAAAAGGAGATGATGAATGGGGTGGATGCATGGTGATGCTGACTGTGGGATCGTTATTATTATTATTATTATTCAAAAAGTACATAAAAATGGGTTTTTATGGATCCCAGCTATCCAAAATACTGGCTAGTTCGGCCTTGTAGTCAAACACAATATCCTTTTCCTTTGAGAATGTATATTTGGATGCCAACGATACCCAGTGCCGCAGGTGCAGGAGCTGTATTCGTGTGTGTGAACCAAAAGTTGACAAACTGTAAGTTGAAAGGGAAAAAGAGGAACAAATATACCCTTCGCACCACTATCGATCGTTGTAGTACTTTACCTGTACAGTGTTCTTGGACAGTTGAGCTTTGCGAATGTCATTGATCGCCACTCTCATTAATCGATTATCCTTTACTGGCCACTTGCCCTAAGAAGGATCCTCGCAAAAAAGCGGCGAATTTAGTGCCCACACACAAACAATATCACACATCCTTTTCCTCCACGCAAAATCCCCCCACTGGAAATTTACCGGACGATGTCTCTCAATCAGTGTTTGTAGCCGGTACTTTATGATGATGGCACGCTTGAACTGCCGTTCCTCTGTCAGCCGCTCATCAGCATGACTGGTAGTATAAGCAGCAGTGTCATCGCTACCGTTGGGAACAAGGACAGATTGTTGTTGTTGCTGCTCGTTTGTTGGTGTCGCTGCTGTAATCATCGTCGTCGCTATCCCAGTTTCTTCTATCACTTCAGCAACTTGTTGTGGTGGCGATTCTATTACTGCTACAACGTTTTCGCTTGTAGTCGTGGTAGCTGTTGGTACAGGAGTCTGGATCTCTTCATCAACTTGCATGGCTTCTGGTTTTTCTTCGATAACTTGGTCGTTGTTGACGTTGTCGTCGTTGTTATTGATGGTCACTCTGGAGTCGTCTTTCGGAAGTTCCAGTAGATGACGATTCAATTCTGCAGCGGGCACCCGAGCGCCAGGTGATAAAGGTACTACGGCCACATCAGTTGGGGATTGTCCTCGTCCAGGCTCTTGTTGCTCTTGTTGTGGGGTGTCTGCTTGCTGCATCTGTACATCATCATCATCATCGTTATCGTTGGTAGTACGTCGCTACAACAGATAAAAAAAGATTAATCAAAATCGTGTATAACATTGTCGAGATCTTCATCCCAATCTCTTTCTTAACAATCATGAAAGAGAATAGCATACCACTCGCTTTTTCTGAGGCTTCTCGGCGTCATCGTGTGGTTCTTCGGCTTCACGCTTAGTAGCACCGATGGAAGGCGTGCCTCGTCGCTGTTCCTGTGGTCGTTGGGAGCTCTCTGATTTCTCTGGACTCAAGGATTTCCGCCGACTCCTTCGTTCCATGTTTTGCTGTTGTTCTTGGAGTGGTTGTTGATGAACTGACTCTTGAGGAAGACTTTCCGATGCCGATGCCTGATGCTGCATGTGTTGTCGTTGTTCCTCGTTTTGGATGGGTTGCTCAGTAGCAATAGTAGTAGTGACTGGTGGAGATTTGACATGATCGGCTGGAAGAAGCTGTGCTGCTTCTTCATCAACAAGTTTCTGTGACTGGATAGATGTTGGCTGCGGTTGTTCAGTCAGCCCAGGTTTAAGGCTTTCCTGCGACTCCTCAGCTGTTGTTTGAGATGGCGGATCGGTTCGTGTGGATTGCTGTGATTCTTCGACCGGTTGCTGCGTTTCTGCGGGTGCTGGTGAGTCGTCGACGGTTACCTCGACTTCTTCTGCTTTTTCTTGTTTTACAGATTGCGGCTGCTCGACAACAGTTTCGCCTTCATGCTTTATGACTTGTTTCCGCCTTGTGCTTCGCGCTGGTTGCTGTTTTAGTTGTCCGGTGGTGCTGCTGCTGCTGGCTTCGACCGTTTTGTTCATTACATGTCGTTTTCCGCGTCCTTTCGCTTGTTCCTCATCTTGATCTCCTTTATGCTGCGTCTCGTTTTCCGATCGCCCTTGTGTTTCTTCTTTTGGGGCCTGATTTGTCTTTTGTGCCGGCAGTGTCTTTGTCGATGGTTGTTGTTTTTCAGAGTCGGTAGACGGCATCTCCATCAATTGGGCCAAAAGTGTTCTCTCGACTGCTGCCCGTTTTCTTCTTACTTTCTTTTGCTTATTGTCCCAAGCATCAAATTCCATTTGCGATATCGTTCCACAATCACGCTCCATCTCCTTGTCGATAAACGGGCGGTGTAGGGATAGAGCATGCTCTGGATCCAACGCCAGACGCAGTGCTGCTCGCAGATCCAATCTTTTAATCAAAGTGTTACTAAGCGCTGCTTGGGCCTGTGAATGATCGAATACCCGTATTTTTTCGATCGGAACACGGCCGCTAAAACGTAGCAAGTTTAGTCGCAATGAAGAAAAGAGTACGAAAATCGCGATAAAAATTTAAAAGACGTACAAATCAAATGAATGAAGGAAGAGAATGTAGTATTGTTCGCTAGTTGGGTTCTCGTTAGGTTTTGCAAGACTTTTAACAACATCGGGTGTGACTTCATCGTCGGCAACGATCTATAAGTCATTTAGAAAAAATCTGTTAAAGATCATTCTGCAAGGGACAGAGGTTTCTTGAATCTACTGATCTTACAATAGCAGGCCACCAAGGCCAGTTTTTAACTCTGACAAAAAGTAGCTCTCCGGGAGAGATTGTCGTAGGTTTTGCAAGACGCTCTGGTTTGTATGCTTCAGGATTTGATGCTGTGGCCATGGCTGTAAAAAAAGGCACAATTGAAAGGAGGGACGCGTTGCTATGTGTAAAAGAGTTCACGTTTGATTATTTTTTATGCTAAATATCAAAGGGTCACCAAGCTCAGCAGCACGTCATATACTTCCACAACGATAATGAACGCGGATTTCATTGTTTGCATGTACGCACATGAGCAATTCTTACGCGTCACACACGCGTCAGATTCCCATTTTTGTGTACATGTTTATCATGATACCAGTTTTCATTGTTTTACGCTGCTCAGTGCGTAAGGAAAAAAATAAAACATATACGCAGTAATAATCCAGTTCCGGGCACGCTTTTATCCAGGCTAGCAGCAGACTTCTTCATCGCAAACCGACGTCATTCCTAAAAAGCAAAAGCGCTATGCTACATGCAAAAGCATACAAGTAATATACTGATGAATTTTACTATATTTATGACATAAAGAGGACTACTGCGATGCTGAACTGAAAAGATGATGAAAAACAAATAGGGAAGGGGGAGGAGAGAGAGAGAGAGAGGAATTGGTATACAAATAAACGTGAAGAGCGATCAATATCCTCTTCTGTTGCTGTCACAACTACTAACTACTACCACGCGAACGGAATATGTTGGTGACATATTCGTTTATTGAATTCAAGAGTTCTCCTTGTGGCAGTGTTTGTTGTTGCTGTTGTTGATCATGTGTATCGACTGCATCTTGGAACTCGTCTTCCTGATCATCATTGCATGTAGATCCTCTTCTCTTCTTGCGTGCAGGTCCTTCTTGTCGCATAGTCGCACTCATATTTGATATCTCACGCTTTCTTCCCAAAGAAGTTTCTGTATCCTCGTGGTGCTGTTCTGTCGGTATATGAACCCATGGTGTAGAAGTGGCTTGTTGAGATGATAAAGGTGATGATGAAGGCGTTGTTCTTCTCTTGTTCTTGCCACTGCTGCCACTACCACCATCCCTAGAGCCGCTTGGACCCGCACGACTATCATCACAATTACCAAACGTAAACGCAGTGCCATGTGTGTTACTTCTTATCGAATCCGCTGCACGACCACGAGCAAGATCGGCAAAACGTGCATGTTGCACATTATCATCCAAAGAAGCCCGCGTCTGCTGTCGATTTGAAGAAGAAAGCACAACATTAGCACCTGTTCCTGGTGGTGGTGGTAATGATGATAATGATGATGAGGGAGCGGCGAGCGTTGCGGCGCAGCAGAAGATGCTTTCTGTACTGAGCTTAATGCAAGTGGCTGGATCGACAAACCAGCGAGCGATGGTATAAACGGTCTTGGTGATACTGCTTTGGCTTCCAAGTTTAATCTTACGTTTACGCCTGAAAACGTTGCTGTGTTCTCAATTGCTGTTGCTGCCAATGATATACCATTTTTTGAAGACTAGTAGATAATGGATAGATTAAGAGTGAGTTGAAAGAAAAAAAAAAAGATCAAACCTCTTTACGCGCTCATAAGAAAACCCCTCGGAAATCTACCTATATTTGCATATCGCGTGGGCAACTTTGTTTGAAATACGCATAAGCGCAGTAATCCAGGGATCACCAGTTTGTGAGAGCTTCATCAAAATAGAAACAGTATCAATAATTAGTAAGAAAAGCAATACCGGGTAACCCCCGCCCAGGCCCTTCTTGACGTTTTCTTTAAAGGTTTAATCTTACCCAAACAGCACGAGTCTCTGCTTTCTGAGAAATTGTCTTCTCTCTGAGTTCTGTCAGCAATGGATTTAAGATATAGCGGAGAAATCGATGTTTGTTGGTCAAAGGCTTGCTGTTCAAGACTAAATAACAGATATTGCTCAGTACTATTAGCGGGAAACAGTGTAAATAGAAAGATGCACAACAGAATAAAGACAATATACTTAACCATTCACTACAGATTCGTCTTTGGATACTATAGTGAGTGATTCATTTTTTGGGCATGCGTCGAGTGCATCTCTGACAGCCTAAAATATAAAAAAAATGGGTTGAGTGGATCTATTGAAACTTCTAGAACGTGGCCCTTTTCACACACAAACTTACAAAAAGCCTAAAGAGAAATGCGCCAACAACCGAATCTTTGTGAAAGCCAGTCTGAAAAGGTGAAGTAGGATCGGTCCATGCACCACAATATGAGCCGCTTATGAGACCGTTGGGAGTCGATTTAACGAACGATCCTCAATAGTTTCTAAACGTTCTAGATTGCAATCAACCAATGTACGACGAAGCCATTGTGCTTGCTTTACAGGATCCTTTGATACTTCTGGATCTGTGCATTTCATAGATAGAAAGGAAGTAAGGGGTTGTGGTATTGAATTGTTAAAGTTGAGGACGGCGAGAAAAGGCTAATGAGCAAATCAATCTTTTTACTTTTAAGTTGTGTAAGAGAAAAAGCACTTACCAGCTGATTTCTTCTTTGCCATTGTCAAATAAAAGTATGAGAGAGAGAAAAAGACGTTGGTTATGTTTTCGAGCTGCTGCGAACTATAATATTCGTGTGATTTCATTCGCAGTGCGGTCGTGTAACGTCAATGCATTGGCATCAATGCCCCGACCACGCATTGTGGAAATAAGTTCAAACAGCAAGCACTCTTTTGATCGTCAACCTTTGATAGCACAGTTTTGCATTTAATACAGGCGACACTACTAGCAATATTATAATATAGCTCTTCTTCGCATAAAGAAAATGTCATTTTGAAGTTTTCTCCGTCTTTCTGTACGCCACATTTTTGTTTATCCTTTATCATAGGCACTTTGTCTCTTATATTAGATCGTATGCTGGTGATGCTTATACTGTAATCTACCGCGCATTACAAATTTCCACCTTTCGTACGCAACGATTAGATCATGTACTCATTTGTGTTGCTGTAGTGGCATTTTAGTAGATATTTACGTATCAATAATTACATATAGTATTACACTTTCGCCATCCAACTTCTACCCATTCGAAACTTGAGAGCTATGGCAATCAGAGCGCAAATACCATTGATTCCACCTCCAATAATCTTGTAAATTATAAACGCATCGTTACCGCCAATCCTAACACTCGTTCCAACAATACTAGCAATCACTGGCAGCACAATGTCAAATGCCATCAAAAGCATGATAAAATTGGTAGCTGAAGGGTATCTACCGGAATAAGTAAATTACGTATGTATCAGTTGTCAAATCACCAACACTACTTTATTAGTTCCTTTTTTCCAATTAGAAAAAGCATGTGTGTAGAAGCTGTACCCATCACCACATATACTTTCGCTATTTTTGTAATCGACAACATACCTGTCCATTCCTACTATGCTTACAGTTACAGATGGATCTAACGAAAAAACAGTTTAGTGTTTCTGAACTTTGGTGATTTGATCCACCACTACAGTATGCATACTGCACTATTGCTCTCACACCTCTAGGACTGCTTTTTTTGGAACGACATATAGCATACTCACGACTGGCCACTGTCCGCAAAATAAACCATAAACAATAATGAATCCAAGAAGTGTTGCAAAGCTATACGCAAACATCCAGATAGCAAAGACGGCTATCACAGAGACTGACATGCTCACCAGGTACATGTTCAGGGGACCGATGCGATCTGCAACTGTGCTAAAGTTTGAAAGAGATAGACAGTAAACATATATGTAACGAGTTGCGTTTGTCCCCATACATGTGCTTTACACGTTATGCTCACCCTAAAGTCATTCGACCAAAAAAATTCATAGCAGATCCAATTGCTGATACGGCTGCCACTTGGGTATCCGAAAGGCCTAAATAGGTCCCGTACGCTAATGATTTCGGTGGCTATTACTATATCACATCTGTATGTTGTGCATTCATTATTTTTCCAAGGAGTTCGAATAGTGATTTTCTTACATGGTATAAAAGTAAATACGATTAATCGAGCACTGACAGAGAAAAATCCAGCTAGCAACCAAAGGAGGGCATTTATATTTCTGAAAATGGTAAAGTCGAAATTTTTAACCTTTACCGCTCCCTTTTGTTTCATCTTCCTCCTTGCGATGGGTTGATCCTTAGTGAACGCAATGGCTATAGCGTTTGTTACTAGCGAGATGAACGCTAGGACGCGAAAAATCCTACTCGTTATTGCATTATCATGGAACTTCTGATGTAGAGTAGGTCTTTTTTCTTAAATGATATAGTATGGTGAACGCATATGTACCATTTATGACCGAGGGTATTGTTCACGGGTATAATTATAAATGGAAGTATCAATCCTGCAAATGGATTACAACTTGCTTGGATACCGAACGCCGTTGCTCGTTTTTTGACAAACCACTGCGGAAGACATCGAAGTGCGACCTGTGTATATGCGTAATTGAGTGAATATTGAAACTGTATATGTGTTTTATCGTAGTACTTGTTTGTTTCGCCTCAAATTAGCTTTATACACCATGTACTTACGCCATACATAATCGATACACCTAAGCCAGTGCATACGCCTAGAGATAGTAGCATTTGCCATATCTACGGTTTATATATACATTTAGTGCCTCTTTGAGAATTTGGTATGCCCATAGGGCACACGAGAAAAAGAAGCATACATGATGGTTCTGTTATTGTGGGTAATTACATACCGCATTTGCTTCCGCAGTTAGCATGAGGCCAAGAAAGATTAAAATGGATCCAATAATCGTCAGCTTTCTAGGTCCCCAGGACACATAGAGCATGTTGGTTGCAGGAATAAAAATATACATGCATCCTTGATTCAAGCTTCCAACTAATGTCAGCAAGATTGTTAGGTTCGGTTCCGAAAATACTTGATTCTTCAAATAAGTATCTTGAATGACACCTGTGATAGCATCAATGACAATCATATTAAGTACAATTGTATCGAGGCCCAAAATTTGAAAAATGATAAGCTGTTCTGGATCCCTTACCCCTAAACACAAACAACCAGGAATAGAAATTAGCCTTGTCTCAAAAAATTTAGAATATCAATTTACTGCGTTGTAACACACCAAGAGAGTGGAAGGCCCGCAAAGAAAAATGCAGATGTTGTCCCAATAGCCACGAGCCATGCAATGCCACCATCAACAACTGGGTGTGGCTCTAAAGCATCCACCTCGTCGTCACATTGGCGATTATTGCTACAAGTCTCATCCGTCGCTAACGACGATGAAGGTCCTTGTTGATATGTATCCTGAAAACAGCATCTTGGTTACAGGTCCCCACATTTTTTCCCACCTTTCTTGCAGAACACAGCCCAGTACTGCTTTTTTTCATACATTAGGATTCCTGCTTTCGCTAGTTGATCCACCTTCAACGTGTTCTTCATTAATGATGCCTTTTTCCTCCTTAGACATTATTTGTTTGCGATTCGGTAATTTGACGTTGTGTACTGTATGTGAATGCTCAATTGTCAAAGTATACCCTTGATAACCTTATAATAGATATGAGATAAATCAAAGGAAAGGGCGTGACAGAACGGCGGAAAAGAAAGTTCGGGGAAGAAGGACAGGAAAAATAAAGTAACTTTGCTTTTTAGTCATCCCATTTATCGCAACGCGTCAGAGACCACATATTTGGTAGATCAATCGAGCGCATGCAGATAAGATCCTTGAATGTACGATACGCAGCACCCACAGCATCAAAAAAGACCGTACATAAAAGTAAATATAATATCTTTAGGATGGGTGGCGTCGCCTGAATGTGTGGTAAAGAAGTTCCAAGCAGTAAAGAGAGAAACATGTTTCTCCTAACCTCAGAGTGAATTTTTTTTTCATTGCAATTGTGTATGCAAGCTGCTCTGTGGATGACTCATTATGCAAGTTTCTCTTATAAAGTTTTTCAGATGATGATTTCGGTTCATCGATCACCCAGGATCAAAGATTACCAACAATCCATTCAGTATATTTTGCCTGAGGTGCTGACTCATACACATAGTCTTTTTTCTACCTTTATCGTTTTTCCTTGTTCCAATTTACTAAGTCATGTACCTCCTACAACCATTATAAATAACTGTAATGGAAAGAGGAAGAAAAAACGAACCTTTGCAGAGAAAACCCGTTGTTTATCACTCTTATAATCATAACTAAGCTGTCTCAGCTTCAAAGCACGCTTGTGTTGTGTTTTGTGGATAGTTAGTTACGATAAAGGGCTTGAAACGATATCGCCGATTTCAAACGCAGCATAAGACGGTGGATTTTGCGCAGCAGTAGCTGTTGTGCACCCTCTCTCTATCACTCATGCTCAAGTTCAAGCATCCACATCGCGTACACGCACTTTTGGCATTGCTTTGGAAGTATCTGTAGTTGTTTACTGCGACGTTTGCTTTGCGCTTCTGTCGTGTTGCTTGGTGATATATCAAGGAAGCGCGTTACGCATCTGATGTCTTTGCTTTGGTTTGCTTCAATCATTCTGGGATTGATGCTGTTTTTATAAAGTGGTAAGCAATATTTCAATAGTTTATTGTACATCTTACAACAAAGAAAAGAGCTGCACTCTCTTTCTTTAGATTGACTATACAATGTCGTCGAGTAAGTGAAACCATTCATTATTATATGGCGTTTAAAAGATTTAACTGCTAGAAAGTGAGCTAACTGTAATGTTTTCGCTCTTAGTGCACTTGCTTTAGCAGGTGCTTCTGTCTTTTCTCGTCTGGCGTTCTTTGTGGTCGCTCGTTTGTCCGGCGATGTTCGCGTTCGTGTACGTGCGCTCTGGTGAGTTGATTATCTGATCTTATCCTAAGCTCTACTTGCTTGATCTGCGTAGATACTAATTAATGACGCTCTCATATCTTTCTAAATAGGGCGCACTCTGTTGCTCGGTGTTGTCTGGCGGTTTCCGCCTTCGTCAGGCGTTGGGGAGCGGTCCGGTCATCCCAGTGGATGTTTCTTTGAGGTAAAAGTAGGATTGAGTTGGCTGGGGGGGGGGCACATGGGGATAGCGATGATGGTGGAGCCGGTGGTGGGGAGGGGAACAACGCTCTGGTTGTGTAGGCAGCAGGAATACACCATCGAGGCACATGTGCAGCGGCGATTCTTGACAGCAAATGACAACCCAAGGCGCCGAGCTTGTATAATTACGGTACGTACTATGCTTTTTTAGTACCTGCGACCATCTCAATTAGAATAAGCTTACTAACTGATATAACCTTTTTCCTTTTCTTGTTACCTTCTTCATATCTCATTCACCTCGGATGTGGTTTGAAGAAGGCTACTAGAAACTTGGGAATTTATTCCTTTCCCAAGGTTGTCATTCCAGTCAGTTCCAGCTCATGTGGATGGTGTCCCTGCAGAAGCCCTACATGTACCAGAGCAATGTTGTTCCTCCAATCCCCCCCACTTTCCGCTCAACCGGAGTTATCCTCGCCCTTTCCATGTCGTGGGTCCCCCACCGGTTGTAGTCAGTGTCATGTCATGTAAGTCCAACTCCTTCGTTCACCTTTGCCTCGGGGATTCCTGAAGCTGGGGTGTCCGGGCTGGGGTGTTTGGCCAGCGGTGTGTGTGGTACGCCGCGATGGAAAGTGTCAGCTTTCCAGGCTAGCCGAGTGAAAACTTCGGGGTGTTGTGAGAATCCCGTCTTTGGCTTGATCACATCGTCTCGTGTGGTGTTGGTGGATGAATCATGGTGATTATGCTGCTACAGGTGGCGTCAGATTTCGAGGCTAGCCGAGTGCAACAACCTCTTTTACTTGGTGTCGATTCGAGGATTGACAGAATCCCGTCTTTGACTTGACCATGCCGTCTCCTGTGGTTTTGGTGGATGAATCTGACGAGCAGTCATGGTGGTTCTGCTGATACAGGTGGCAACAGGTTTCCAGGGCTTGGTTTCGAATCGAGGATTGGCAGAATTCCGTCTTTGGCTTGATCAGTCTATTGGCAGCACATTATCAAATACACAACATGCGAAATTTCTTTGACGGTTTTTTTCTGATCTGACGTTCCTGATCATTACAACAACAGCAACGACATCGACATCGACATCGAACAAGCGTGCGTCCAAGGACCAGCAACATCCAATGAAACGGCGAATCGACATATTAGGAAAGGAGCAGACTTACTATCTAGTGGAAATGCTATGGCGACAAGTACTCTTCGAGCGGATGCGGATATCTGTACTCAAGATCCCCATCAAAAGGCGGTACATGCATTCAAAACTTGCATGGGCGAATTAACTGCAAGTCATCGTGTACAAACTCTGACATCAACTATTGTGGGTGGACAAAACGACCGAGACAAAAAGACGACACGTGTCTTTTGCGCGAATCGGACAGCAGTCGTTGACCTGTGAACACCGGCATGGAAGGAATTCTGAGCTGGTCAATAAAAATCGGCAACAGTGGAATATGGCAATTATCTCAGTCCGTCGGAAATCAATAAGGTGGCAACAAAACAATGTCATTCGAGGCGACATCTTATAATATGGTGGCTATTGGAAGCATAGGACATGAACTTGGAAGTCGGCAACAGCACGCATGATATGATAGCTTGTCAAGCTGGTCAACGATCTTTTTCTTTCCAAAGATGGCAACTTTTATCTATCCCTGCTTATGACAACGAAAACAACAGAGAGCAACAACCTTCAATCAAACCAAGAACAATACTGTCTTATGGCAGATAACCTGTGGCTACCGGTGTGGCGGAAATCATACACAAGAAGCAAAAGCGACAAGGAATTACGAGAGCTAGGCAATGCACGATATGATATGACGTTATCTTAGCGAACCAGAGCTATTACAATATATATACGGCAAGAATACTCATGCATCAACAATTTAGGCGGCAACACAGGGTCAAAACAAATTATCGACCTTCACTGTGTGACAGCACAAACAAGCGGCAGCAAGGGCGGAAATGGTGACAAATCTACAGGGAGCCGTAATTGACAGCAAAAACAAGGAGTACAAAATTCAATCGACAGAAAAAGCAATACTGACGCACATTCGAAATGACAACAAAACCAAAGCTTTCATCAACAGTTGCAAGCTATAAAGAGGCAGATATGACAACAAACGCGAGCGACATGAATCGCACAAAAGCAATGACAGCAAAAGGCAAAAGCATCAGCAAGATTTGGGTGAAACTGACAACATTTCACACGACCGTTTAGTGGTTACAAAATAATAGTAAGTGTACAGTACGTGACTATTTGATCAGGCCAATACTTAATCAAATAGGGAATGATACTTATATACATCTCCTCTTAGTAGACAAGGCGGCAAAGTGGCACAAAAAGTCAGCGATGAAGATTCATAAAAAACATCGGCATGTGCAGCAGGGATATCACGGACAGCAATGCTCAGAGCTTTTTGAACAAGCCAGAATTCATATTAGCCAATATCCTTTTTACTTTGGTGGTCTATGTAACACGGTGGCAAATGAACAAGCAGCAGGCAGTGGCAGCAAAAAGAAAAAAAGGTCCAAGGGCTTAGCTATTCAAAGGGCATCAAACGAGACATTGCCTCTAAGGACAGTATCAGCAAGTGATTGATGGAACGACACGACGGTACTATGATAATTACGACGGCGGAACGAAGCTGGCACGTCATCCATATACAAGTGTCAAATATACAACAACAAGCAAGCATCGACATTAAAGCGCGTCCGAAAAACACTACACGACGAGGGAATCAATCAAATTCTCTTGACGCACAGAAGAACAAGACAAGACATGTGCTCAAGATTTACACACTATGGACTTCCAAGCATACTCATTGGTTTGCGGCAGCAATACAATCATTAGTAGGAGAACTACACAGGTAATTTGGATGTCGATGATGTGAGGTTAACAGAAATATGATGCAATTTGTACCACTGGGATTATATACTTATTAAGCTCGAATGAAAATAAAAGTGAAAACAGCGATCAATGTAGCCGGGCACGATGCAGACAAGGAAGGACACTTGTTATCATCCTTTCCTTGTCATGCGTTGGCAGCAACAAGAAACATCACTAGAGAGAGATGGTGCCAGTCTCTATTCCAGTCGTGAATAATAGTGCAAATCAAAAAGGAGAAAAAGCACGTATAGTAGTATCGTGGTAAGGAGAACTAACGCACATTATGCTCATTACTTTTGTAAACACTTGTGCTCACTGTGATTTTTACTCTATCTTCAATATTAGTGAAGGTCTCTTCTCACAAAACAAGATCCGCCAAAATTTACACCTATTCTTTGTCTGACAGATTGCTAGTAAGTTATTGTCTATGGTAATGATGGCCCCCAAAAAAGCAAGAAATCCAAAAAAAAAAAAAAAAAAAAAAAAAAAGAAAGTAGTGTTAGTGTTAGTTTAGAAAAGTATACAATAATTAGCAAAACCAATTCCGTGACACAAAACGCGAAGCTCAAGGCAATGGAAAAAGCAAAAGCCAATGTCAAGAAACGAAAAGGCGTCACTGACTTTTGATGGAGCACGAGGCCAAGAAGGCACACAAAAGAGGACAGCAGTCGTATCATCAAATGAGCTTTTTCAAATCACACGCACAACAGCAGCGTCAAAACAAGTCTTGCAGATATGTTATACAAGCAACATTCAGGAACCATCAACAAAACAAGGAGAAATCAACACGCAGAACAGCCAATTCTATTATCCACAATATACACAAAAGCAACGTCAAACCATGGACAACACAAACACGCCATTAAGTTAAACTGCACAGGACGAGCGGAAGGGATTAGTAACATCGACAGTACGTACAAACAAGAAAACAGCAATAAGTGCTCATATTACATCCATAGATTCAATGCAGAGGAGTTTAACTTTTAGTTGAAACTCAGAACAACGCTATCTATGCAAAAGAGCGAAGTCAAGATGATCAACATAGTGAATACGAAGTTACGATGCGTAGCTCGAAGTAATAATAAGGACAACAGGCCAACCAGCGATATGGACTGCTAAAAAATTGATAACACGTTACGACAGAAAGGCAGAACCAAGCAGCGAAGTGTCTGTACTAGTACTTTTGTATAGAATTTTTAAAAAAACAAGCAAAAAAAAGAACAGGGGGCTATCATTACTTAGGACCAGCTTATTCCTCTTATTTTAAACCCGAAATATCACTTTGGTAGAAACAGATAAAAAGTTCATACATACATTTAAAATAAAACTTTCAAGTACAATACATACTATCGTGCATCAATTGTATGATTTGTACAACTAAAATTATTTAAGTATGTAAGCGGCCTCAGCAGGACGATGTTTATGTATCTTTTCTCAAAAGCTCATGCATATGAAGCAGTCTACCTCCTTTTTAGCTACATAAACTCGCGCTGTGTTATTTTCTGTTATTGTGGAAAGTACAACTATGCTGCTGTCGACATGGCTATGACAATTATCCAATTGTTGACTCCCACTTCCATTATATTAAATAATAAATTAAATAAAAAAGCGATACAGTACTGTAAATAAAAAGAAGCTTAATAAACATGAACCATCTGTTGTATACATGTCAAGTACGTAGAGTGTATGAAGTACATAAAACAAAGCTATTACATACTGTGATTTAATGTGCTTCAGCGGAAAACAGCGAATATATAATAAATATCGAGAATAAAAGAGATAGAGCCAAGAAATAAGGTGTAAGCGCGGATAGGAAACAAGAGACCCCGGGAGAGCGACGGAGGCCGGTGGTTGGAACTAATGAAAGGTGCTGGAGTTACTGGTGATACTGTTCGATCTTCCTTTTTTGGAGTGAGTAAGTGAGTTTGTATGTGTAGGTGTAAGAGAGAGGAAGGATAGTAAGTGGTAAAAATGCGATACTTCAAAGTTGATGAGTGGCTTAAGGGGGTTCATAGGATAGTAAAGGACGATTACTGGTGATGAGAAAGTGAATATCACGGCAAATGGTGTCATGGATGAAAGGTACTTGGTCAAATACATAGCGCCAGTGAGCAGATCATAAGCCGTGTAAAATGCATGCAATAATGACTTGGATGCTCACGGAGGAAGGGTTAAATGGGAAGGCGAGAGAGAAAATAGCATGGTGAACTTGGTGAAGATGTAGGCGAAAAAAGGAAAAGATCAGACTATATGTGGATATTATGTTGCAAAATCAATCGACGACCGAAAGTTCTGGTCCTAAACATTGAATGCGATGGTGCTTAGGCCTGCTATCTGAGGACAGAAAGTATCGCAAACGATTGGGAACTAACGAAAAAGATCATTTCTAGCGAATAGTCCTTCTTTACTACAGCAATACTATATGCTACAGTATCTTAACCCATCCCCCTTTTTGACTACATATTCAATAACTGTCAAGAAAATAGATCAGCGCAATGACTTCTGTTGATTATACAGTCTCCCAATGATAAATGCGTTTTAAATCGCATTTGTTCTATGCAACACGGCGTATCCATTTTAAGTGTATGTATGAGCGAGTAGAGAACAACAGCTTTATTTTGTAATGAAAAATCCAAATTTTAGCTACACGGAACTAGTAGTACGTGATACTAGTAGAAGTAGTCGTGTTAACCGTGGTAACGTAATTGCTAGCATTATTATAAACTCTGCGGCAACTACGTAGGTTTATATTCTTGCGTACTCCACTCTTACTCAATAGGAACGTACTGACGCCTTGCTCGGTTATATCATCGTTGCTTGTTATAGTAAGAAGCTGCAAGGATTTAATCTCGGCAAGACAATTTAGTACAGTATCCGTGACGTGAGGCACATACTCTAGCCCAAGAATGCGAATTGAATTGGATTCTTTCATATGCGCCGCACAAGCAATCCATCCTTCTTCGGTTATAAGGTTCGGTACTCCACCCCACTTTAGGCTGAATAATTCCAGCTCTTGTAAGTGTGGCAATCTGCCCAAATTTTTCAAGCCTTGGTCGGAAACTGGTACGTTGGCAAAGCTTACTTTTTCCAGTAATCGTGTTCGTGACAGAAAATCGAGGTTGTAGAACATGGGTTCAAACGAGAGTTTCATATAACCGTAGTGGTGCAAGGTGAGACATTTGAGCCGTACTAGCATACCGATAGAGGTCATATAGCCGTCTAAATTTTCTGTTGCTTCGCCGCGATCCTGGATCTTTAGGTGAAGATATTCGATGTCCTGCTTCGTTGTGAAGAACTGGTTCCAGTCCTGTTGAGACCACCCGACGTAATCAAGATTCAGAGACATCGAGCGAGCAAATCGTGTACTTGTAAGAGAGTCCAAAACGTGCATATTGTTACGATTACCAGCAACGCTTAGCTCCTCCACTGTCTGAGCATATTCTTTAAGTAACGGGAATAAGTCCTTGTGATTGCTTGTTCTGGCCAAGCTGTTGTTGCAGCCGATGCTTTTATCCGCAGACATGGACCACCATTTATTGAACGTTTTTGAGTCGAAATGGTTCCACATTATATAGCGCACGGATGGGCACGTTTCGTGAATCGTTTGAATTATGCTTTCCGGCACCGTACGTGGGTTGTATTTTCTGTCCTTGGTAGGCGACAACAATAGAAACCTGAGATTTGGACATCGATTTAGTATGGGGAGAATACGATATCTGTAGCTGAGTGCATTATCGAGTTGTAATAGAACCAGGTTTTTGTGCAGACGGTGATTTGCATGTCTTTCTCTTCGTCCATCGAGATCCCCCATCGCTGTAGGCAGTATCATAAATTCGCTACGAGCAATGGCGTCAGAAAATATTACTGAGAGGCGTACCAAGTTGGGCAATGTGTCAAGTAGCATTGACAGTGAAATATCGTAAGGGTGAGCGTAGATTGATAAATCGGTAAGCGTAGTTCCAAAGGGCATGATCGCGACTGGTAATTTCCTGTCGTCATAATAGGCTTGCCAGCTTCTAAAGATTTTCCGCGTGTCGTTCTCAATAGCTGGAGAAAACATTGATAAGTATTTGATACATCATTGAATTAGTGACGTCCGGTCTTACAATGCTATCTAGTTGTCATTTATCTGGCTGAAACCAGGAAAGCAATATAATCAACGGAGCAAACAGGAGTAGCATTGTATGATCTTACCAAGAGCTTTGATATTGCAACTAAGCTGGTTCAGAACACTGAGTGAATCTTTAAATTTGATGGACACTGAGCTGACAACATGTTTTCCGAGACACTGTAGCATTGCGATGCTACTTCGATTCCAGTGATAAGCAGAAATCTCGAGAGTTTTCCAAGGTACTGTTGCCGACAGTGGTATCACGTTAAACCATCGACGACATACGGTGACGCACTCGACGCAGTCCTGCTGAGTCAAGAGCGAAAAAATATAGTGGATAATTTCAGCTGGTAAAACAAAGGTTAAGTCAACCATAGAATGGGTGTAAGCGGAGAGAAAGGGCAAGAGAAAAAAGAAGAAAAAGAGGAAGAGGTGGATAGAAAACTAGATGCAGAAAAATGCGAATACTAAAAGTTGTTTGATAAACAAGATATAAACCTGATTCAACCACGATGATTCCTTACAATGTAAAATTATGCAAGCTAATATGCATGTACTTAATGCTGATTGTTTCAATATTATGTAAGCCATTACCTGCATGATATTATATAATGGCTATTGCTGTGAAGGCTCCAATGGAACAAGAACATAAGTTTGACAATTTTCGAATTTTCATCTTTTCTCAAATGCTGCTATTTATAGTCATTATTTATATTCTTTGAGGAAAGAAGAAGAAATGATCGTACATAATCTATGTGTAATAAGTAGGGTTTGATAATAGTCAACGAGTGTTAAGCTAGATGCAGATTGAAAGCAATGAAAAGGAACATAGTTGGTTCATACATTAGCTTACAGATATCATAAGCTAGAGTGAGGCAGTGCTAGGTATATAATGAAGCGAGAGTCATAACCGGCCTTGCCTGATAGAAAGCTCTATTTGACAAATTACATGGTATCATATTCACACTGTTGCGGCTTGATCAAGCATGACGGTGGAGCGTAATCGCGTACAATCTTTGTAAGAATCTGGAATTCGCCTTTGAGAAAAACACACTTGAGCGAAATGAACAACAGCAAGCACATGTGCCACCAGATACACTAAGAATCCTATTCCAACGCCATTTTTCTACGCGGAAAATACGCTCCAGCTGCTCGATTCTATGGCGGCTGGAAATTTTATCATCGGAAACTTTCCAAAGCTGGACATGGCAGTCAAATACATGGTACCAATGCCGGGTGAAGACAATGCTACATACGAGCTGACAGAAGCACATAGCCATCTATCAAAACTTTGCACAAATCCTTACATGTCAGCTATCACTGTAAGCTAAGTTCTCTTATACTTTCACAAAAAATTACCTTTGCATGATACATATGTATATATATATATATTCACTACTAGACGCATATAAAGAAAATCAATGGGTCGATACCAAATAATACCGTACTTTCTTTTGACGTCTTGGTGCAGCGCACTATCGAAACATCTACGCCTATCCAAAGATCTTTACGGGGAAGATGCAGTAAATGCCGTTGAACTGAACAAATCGGTACCCAAGGCAATCATATTCTCCTTATTCATCCAATTTTATCACACAAAATATATACTATCGTATTAGAAATGAGATGTATACCGGTAAGAGCAACGATGCCTAATAAAGATGACGACGATGTGATCCCCCACGATGAGAAGACAAATCTATAAAATCAAGCAAGGTCAAGTGCAAAAGTACAGCCTTGTGAATTATTGATCAGTGCTGTAAAACGGATTTTAAATACCCACGAAGATGTCTTTCCATGTAAGTAGTGATGTCTTAAAGCATATGGACTAACGGGAAGAGAATATGTACAAGAAAACAAATATACTAATAAAGAGAGTATACAGTGCATGTATTTCTTCAGTCATACTGGAGTTCATCTCAAGATTATTATGTACAATGCTTAGCGTATCCTGTTGCTCGAAACAAACCTTTTCTACCAATTTTCGTGAAAGGTTTGGCAAATGTTTTAACGAGATGCGCAAGGTGTTTCCGGCTGTCAACATTGTACCTGCATCGGCATCACCGCTTATTGCATATCATCGTACGCTTCGACTTGAAAACATTGACGTTTACCAAAAGTATCCCCTTCCTGGATATGCGCTTCAGGTCAATTTTGTGACATCCGTCCAGAAATACTTGCAATTGAATCTCTTCCCGTTCATTCAAGAGCTACACTATAGTCTATTAAACCATTTCACAATTTTAGCCTTATATGGTAACTTTAGTTTAGTTTCATGGAATAAATTGATGTATTCTCGTTATTTCTTTTTGCTAAAGACAAGGAGAAAGTAAAGAAGGGTTTTCTAATACATTATCAGGAGATGAGCAGTATCTGGGATCACAGGAACACGAACATTCTGCTGCTATGACGATTTTTGTGCTACATACATTAGTCCAATGACGACAGTCTTTTTGCTGACCAATGAAACTGTAAAGGCTGAGGCGACGGTACGAAAGAATATCATAGCTCTATATTTTTGAAACATATGTAGCGTATTGCTAGTACGTAGAATATGCATGGTCAATTCATTATGTTGTTTTTGTACTTCTTGCTCTTGTCATTATTATTTTGTAGCATGAAACTACACAACATGCAATACATCCTAAATTATCCGATATAATATGCTTTGGACACTAAATAGATAGTACATCATAACGGTAGTTATCTGAAACATTGGTACATTATGTAGAGCATATCGTTTCTGTTGCTATCGTATTTACAATGGCCACAGTAAAAAGAGTTGTATCTGTTCTCAAGGTAACACAATTTTGACACGCTCTTTTGGGATTACGTATATGCGAGCTCCCGCCATTTCCAATTCCGAAAAGAAAGGAGCGCCGAGACAAACTGCCAAGGGAACTCTTCTTTCCCAAACCCTTCGCACAGTCTTTTATTATCTTTTCCTTTCTCTTTGCAAATTCTCGGACATAATGGTCTCATTGTGGTGGGGACAGAGTGCACTAGACGAACTCATTGGTAAGACAAAAGTTTACCGCTCCTTTGCCGCTTGCCCACTGGAACAAAAACAAAAGAATAACACAGGGTCTTGCTGCACATAGAAAAGGCGACCTCAGAACTCTTGCCTGCTGGACAAGAAGATCTCGCCTTGCACCTTGAAATTAGCGATCAAATTCGCAGTAAGAAGGTCAATGCCAAAGATGCCATGCGGTCACTGAAGAGGCGTTTGGAACATTCCAACCCGAATGTCCAAATGGCGACTTTATCGGTATGTTCCACGTTTCTTTATTATTATTATCAAGATACTTACCAATACCTTGTATATGCTCAGCTCGTGGACACTTGTGTGAAAAACAGTGGGGATCAGTTCGTTAGAGAGGTTGCGAGCAGAGAGTTTATGGATCAGCTGACATCAATGGCTCGTTCACTGGTATAGTATCATTATCCAATTGATTACTCTCCTTTGACCTCTGAGAAAAACAATAGGATGCTTATCGTTTATTTGCCTCCTTAATGGGTTTTATATAGACGGAGTGCAATCCAGACGTCAAAAACAAGATCCTATCCATTATTCAAACATGGAGTTTTGCCGCGAAAGGGAATCCAGGATTGGCATATATTACGGACACCCATCGATTGCTGCAAGCGGAAGGCCATGTATTTCCTCCAATGAATGCATCTGTTGATCCCATACTCTTGGAAACATCTGCTGTAAATATCTATTATGTGATAAAAGAGAGACTGACATTGTTTATGCTAAGTTAGTGGCTTGCGCGCTTGTTCATGATATGCTAGATACTGATACTGAACTATATCTCTATTAGCCGCCAGAATGGAGTGACTCGGATGTTTGTGAGCGTTGCAGAACTGCATTTACAATGACAAACAGAAAGGTAATGCATTGTATTAGAAAGGAAGGAAGGGTAAAAAGGTTGTTAACGATGACACCTTATACTTACTGAGTTACTGTGTGTATAGCATCACTGTCGACAATGCGGTAAGACATTCTGTCAGGAATGCTCGGCAAAGACGATGCCACTACCCCATTTAGGCATTGATGAGGAAGTACGCGTGTGCGATGGATGCTATATCAAATTGAAGCTGGCCAAAGCTGCCAGGAAGGGTGGATTACCGCCATTACCGTTCTCACCTCAATCACAAGTCTCTCAGCAACAACAACAACAACAACAACAGTATCCTGTAAACAATGGCCCTGCGCAACAAACCACATCAGCACCTACAGCCTCTGCTGCTGATGATGATTTCGATGATGATATGAAAAAGGCAATTGAAATGTCATTGAAGGAGGCAGAACAGCAGAAGAATTTTGGCAGAGGATATACCCCATCGCAACAACCAGTTCAGCAGCCATCACGATCGACGCCTACTTCGGCTACTCAGGTTAGTAATGCACAGAAGGCGCTAGATGTGGATAAAAGGACGCGTGAAGTGAAGCATGCTGAGTGGGGGCCTTTTTTTCTAAAATCTATTAGGCCAATCAGGAAGAAGAGGACGATCCAGAGCTTGCTGCTGCAATTGCGGCCTCGTTACGTGAAATGCAATTGTCCACACCTACGCCTAGATCGGGCGATTGGGAGCAAAGAATAGTACAGCCAAATCCAGACGAGATCTCCCGAGTAGAAATGGAAAATATCGAGCTCTTTTCTACCTTGATTGAACGTATCCATGCACGTGGCGGTGACATATCCAACGATCCTCAAATCAACAAACTGTACACTCAAATTGGCGCCCTGCAGCCCAAATTAGTCAAGACTCTAGCGGATGTGATTAACAAACACAAGCTTCTGGTCACTCTTCATGACAAGATGAACCTTGCTGTAAAGTCATATGATCGACTGTTAGAAGAGCGTGTTGCTGGAGCATATAATCGATCATCGTATTATCCTGCAAACCCATCACATCAATCTCAGCAGCATCAGACCAGCTATCCTAATGGTCCTATTGCCACACCTTCTCCCTCGACAGATTCACCCATATACCCTCAGCAACCACAACAGCACGGCGGAATGAACGGATACCCTCAGTACCCTCCTGCTGCTGAACCAGCGTACCCCGCCACTACGATTAGCTATCATGCATCTATCCCTTCTGCCCCTGCGCCGGAATATCCACCAGGACACGGATATCCCCCCGCCGAAAATCCCGTAGCGCAACAGCCTTACCAACAACAGCAATATCAAACACCTCCTCAAGACCAGAATAGCTACTATCATATCCAGCAACCTCAACAACAAATGTATGGGTACCAACAACAGGCACAGCCACAACAGCAGCAGCAGCAGCAGCAACAGCAACAACAACATATTCCTGCTCAGAAACAGCCTTTTGATGATTCTCCTTTGATTGATCTTTCGTGAAAAGATTTTAAATAAAAGACCAAATTCGTTGTTTAGGCAACTTAATAGTCCTTCCTCATTGTCTTCTATCAGGAACAAAGAAGGTGATTAAAGGAAGTTGCTTCTTTCTGAGTTTCTCTGCGCGTGCGCGGGGAACGGGCAGCATTCCCGTCGGCACCTTTTAGTGATTCATTCAGGACAGGGCATTATAGTTTATCGGGTTATTGAGAAATAAATCTCCTCTCTTTCTCTCTTACTTACTTTCCATATTGTTGGTGTGCAGTGTATGACCCTTTGTGTTTTTTGCTAAATGAGGCCAGCCATTGCCGTTATATTATGGTTGGTACTACTATCATACGTTTATGCAATACAAGAAGAGGAAAGCGCTTTCATCACTACTACGGCGGAAGCAACACCGGCCCTTGACCTGATAAAGCGTCTTCAACTGCCGGACACCTACACCGACAATACACCCTACAGGGGACTCGATTTTACTTCCACCAACGTCACTGTTCCTTTACGTACCCAACGCGACATTGGCCTCAATGTTACTATTGATCGTTGGCTTTGGCCTGCCATTGACCTCAAAGGCGCATATTTCGGCAATGACTATTCTGCACAAAAACTAAGTCATGTCGAAGAAGTAATGTACATGGGTTACCGACGATTGGTCGTGGACCTGTATTGGGATCCAGATAGGCGTACTTGGCAGCTTTGTCCAATCAAGCTACCTTCGTCAGCATTTTCAAAACGTTCCAACAACGAGCATGCCAGCACCAATACTACTAATGGAATGTCTTCTTCCACGACACCGATTGGAGCAGCAGCAGCAACAAGAAAAGACAACAACAGTGCAGCAAAGCAACATGAAGCAAGTACATTCGGTCACTTTGTGAACAAACTTGTGCCCATTTCAACGGAAGACGTCGATGTCGGACAATACAAGTGTGCGCCCTGGTACACGTTTCGGCATTTTATGGATTCAGTCAACCATTATTTACAAGCAACGGACTTGTCGACGCTACCATCTGAGACAAATTTAATGTTCCTTATACTCAACTTGCATCAATTCGACAGCAGCAGCAGCAGCAACGATGGGGGAAGTGACGATGCCAGTAGTCTACGTGATGTCATTCGGTCTGCAGTAGTAGGCACCGACCGTAACACTTCACGGCTCTACACACCCAATGATTTGATCCGCGACCGAAGTAACCTAACAGCTTCATTTGGCGTCCAGGGCACGCCCTATTACGAACCCTCCATTGACCCAGAGACGGGAGCATTAACAAGCGCAACTGCATGGCCGACACTCATCTACCTTATTCAACGAGATATCCAGTTACTCGTTGGATTCGGCTATAATGATCTTCCGAGTAACACCAACTACGACGTCGCCCGTGATCAAGATACGCTTTTCAATGCAACACAACTGGGTGCCGGATGGTACATGAACGAGGTCAATTTGACGGACATGGATGCAATGGGCTGGGCCAATTGCGCACGGCCTGCAAATAATACATTTGTCTTGCCAACAGGCAATGAAACTACCGTATCCCCTTCACATCCTGGCCCCAGTGACACTCTACTATCGTGGTCTTGGGCTTATATGAACGATCGTTATAATGATACCCGATTCACATACAACAAGACACTAGAAGCTGTAAGTGTTTCCCACGACTCCTTTCTTTCATGAAGCACAAGTATTAGGAACGTTACACAAAAGCTAAATTCATCATGCATGAACTGTGCAAAAATAGGTGCAATGCGGGTACTCCCCTTACTTTACCAATCATAATTATACAGACGATAATGCAGGATATTCTGTCAATGACACGACCCATCTCGCCGACAACATACTTGGTACCATTTGGTCATGGGACGTCGGTGAGCCAAAGATAAACAACAACCCACATTGTGCCATGATTCAACGTTCGAATGGTCGATGGAAAGCAGGCGATTGTACCGAACTACTTCGCGTAGCTTGTCGTCAACAGAATGATCCCAACAAGGTAATTGCTTATACTCTTCACGTGGATGCTCCTGTGTTTGTTGCTGACAACGACGAAAAAATATACTACATTTACCTAGTGGATGCTTACATCGACCTACGTTTCCTACGATCGTGCATTTTCTGCATGCCCGGACGACTATGTGTTTGACTGTCCACGCATACCACAGCAGAACCGTATGCTCTATGACGTGCTTACACAAGATCTCATGCAGAACGGCCCCCAAGACAGCGACATAAAGGATCCTACGCACCATGTATTTTGGATCAATTTGAATTCGGGAAACAGCGGCAGTTGTTGGGTCGTTGGTCTATTTTCAAAGTGTTGGTGGCTTAATGATGTAATGTCATATTCTATATTTATTTATAAGCGTTTTAAAGAAGAAACTACTTCGTTTACTCACAAATACATGTATCTATAGAATGCAAGCTATTTCCAACGATTGATTCGAACATCTGCTGTCGCTGGTGTTATAGTCTTGATCCTATTTGGAATCTTTGCCTGGATCAAATGTGCTCGTTGGTGGCGTAACCGTAAAGCACGGATCCGTAAACACTTTATCAAAGATCTGCTGGCCAGACGTGAATATGTTACCGTACCCGTAAGTTTTTCGGTACCTTTTGACGGTTCATTGTGTGTAACCAGACAATAATCATCTTTCTTTTTTTTTCACGATTCAATAGGCTTAATTTTACATAACACTCCATCCCACTTTGCAATTAGAACAAAACCTTCTTTAGATTTCCTCTTTCACTATATGTACAACATAACGCATGCATATAATGTAATAATAAGAAAGTCATACACAGTACAACATCGCCATCGTTAACTTTTTTAGTGAAGATACTGCTACTGTTGTTGTGAGCGTGTAAAATATGTATATAAAAGTTTTTGCTTTTGTACAAGTATATAAAAGATGCTATCCAGTCATGGATGTTGCATGTTTTTATGCAGAAATAATTTTAAGGGCGGCGACAGGTGAGATGGAGGATTACTTGATTTCAAATGGTCGGTTCAGAAGGTTTGAAAAAAGAGAGAGACAGAGAGCCAAGACAAATGCAGAGGAGAAGAATAATATGAGTAGATGATAATGTTATCGAGTGAATATATGTGTAAGTGGCTGTGTGTGTGATTGCGGTGAGGAACGATAGGAAAAAGAACGACAAAACAGTGGGATTTGGATCGGATGATGTATTTAACTGCCCCACCAAGAGAGCAAGCCAAGACCGTCTTCTGCAATAGTACACTATTATCATTGACGGGATAGATGTTAATGATGGAGCAACCTCGACCTAGATCTCCTTTCCTATATTCACATAGAGAAACTTACAGTTAATGCATAAGGTGGTATTTTAGCAGAATTAGCTTGAAGATCAGATGTTGCTGAAGTATCTGCAGCAGACTGTCGTCGTCCAGCGGTAGCAGCCATGTCGGCCGTAGGTGTCTTGTCCGTAAATACTTCTCGCAACACACGGATTCGAATAGGTTCTTCAATATCCATGTACATCTTTTCGCCTTCATAGTTCCATACCCAAACTTGTTCAGCCGGATCACTTTTACCACAAAACAAATTAATTTCTCTTCTCATGTGACAGATCTACCAGTTTCTCGATACTTACAATTCTGACCCTGGTTGAAGCGCAGGTGCTGGAATATGGATATCGTCGAAAAATCCCAAGGTAACTAAAAACATGTAATTTCATGCATGAATATGTGTGTACGAGAATAGAATAATCGTAAACCACACTTGAATTCTTACCTCGAACACCAGCAGGAGAACAGCTCTTGACGCGTCCGGTCAGCACTTCACCCACATATGGCCGGAACATAATCAAACGGAACTTGGCTTATAATAACAGTATAATTGTTGTCAGTACAAGCAAGAACGATAATGCACACAAGCCATGTGCGTCCAATGCGTTACTTTCTCCTTTGCATACCTTTCATGTAGCTGCAGCCGTCAAGATGCAAAATCATGCCTGGAACTGTTTCGAGAATGTCGTGCACACAAATGCAGAGACCAACATCGGGGACGATCTATTGAATGCATTACAAAAGAGTTGGATATGCGTCAATACTATTTCGTCTGGCTATTTGTACGTCTCTGTGGATGCTATTTTGTATTGAAAAATGTACTTTGTTTGCGAATTTGGTATTAAGCACTTCAGTAATGGCGTCATTATCCGACTTGCCAAAATTCCTTGGCTCGATTTTCACAGTGTCTTCCACCTGAGCTAACCAGAACATTCCGCGAGAGAAAGAGTGAGACTTGAGTTATGTGTGCTCCGCTTTTGGAGACGACGACGACTTGATGCTGCATAGGCCTCAGACTCCCAACCTATTTGGGTGGCTTATACACGTGAATTGCTGCCCCTGAACGCACTTGTTATAAGTCATGATTGGTATAGCAAGTTATATAGTTTTTCTTTTGATAGCACTTTAAAATGATAATACTAATGGATGTACAGGAAATAGTAGATAGAAAAGAGGAAATAGGAATTTTTGCATGGAATTGTTGTGTGGGTGAGAGTAATTTTTTTTACATGATCTTGCCAAAAAGTCCTCGGCTTGATGAACCACTATCCGACGACGTTACTTCAATACGTAAGCGCACTTCACCTGTGCCTTGAGGTTCAAGCGGTACCCAGCCATCAAACGACTGTCCGGACTGTAACAGATCTGCCACATCATACGAGCAGTCGCCGATATCCACATCGTTCAAAGTGTTCTTATCCTTGATCTTGATGTCCAACAAAGTCTTGCCATCGCTGATCTTGGCCAAGAACGTCTCGTTCCAATCCGGCTGCAGTGTCTTCTTAATTGTCTTTGTCTTGTGTACAATGCGGCCACCGATACGGACGCGTGCATAAGGATCGCTTGTGTTGCCTCGATCCATGGCCTTCAAGTTGCGTGCACCGACCAGAGTCACATTGATAGCACCTGTGGCATCACCGCCTTGGGCTGCACGTGGTGACATGGATGAATCCATGCTGCCGCGCTGATCGACTGTGCTTGTGGTACTGACTGTTGGTACAGGTGCTGGTGCAGCAACAGCAGGTTGCTGTTGGTTGATGGAGGAGGAAGAGTCCGAGTCGCTGGACTTTTCACGCTTGCTTCCACCGCCGCCAATGCGACCGATGCCACGAATACCACTGCCAATACCGCTTCCAATGGCAGATACGCCACCGCCAATACCGCTTCCAATGGCGGAGACGCCACCGCCAATCACCTTACCACCTGTACCAAGAACTTTGGTACCGGCACCAAATCCAACACCAGCAATGTCCTTGCCAACGCCAAATGCGGCTCCGGGTGCAGAAGTGAAGATTCGGGTCGTGGAACCGAGCAAGGATGTGCCCGTGCGCTTGCGTGCAAGCAATTGTGGCTGCCACAACATACGCAGACGTAAAGAGCCAGAAGGTTTGAGAGAAACCTCAAAGTCCTTGGCAGCGAAACTCTCGAGTTCTTTGCCAGTAAACGACACTTCACATTGGCCAATAATTGAGTCCTTGCCAAACTGATCCCAGTCGTAGATTTCGGCCACAAGGTTGACCTTCGTACGGTTTGGCTGGTGTATTGAATTGTTTTAGTATCTCCCTTCCTTCATATCCCAGTTTTTGTACTCGTTTCTCATAATAGAAATAAAAGACATACCACTGGAGCAGTGAATTGTTCGTCCTTGAAAACCGGGTTCAATGTCTTCTTGTAGGTTTCTGTCTTGTGGACCTTTTCGCCCGCAATCGAGAATACAATGAATGGATCACTGGTGCCAGATCGATCGGCGGCGGTCAAGTTGGTTGCCTTCAGCGGAGTGACAGTAAGGTTGCCCTGGTCTGTAACAATAAAAAATGTAGTTTTGCGTCAATTGATCTGCTGCTACTAATGCCTTATTGTCGAATCCAGTTGGCGTAAAAAGGATGCTTACTCTCAAGACTTTCGCTTGGGTCCAGCTTGAAGTTTACAACTGGGGTAAACCTGAAGCTCAAGCGAATTGAACCAAGATCACTATCGAGCAACTTGAACATTTCGCCCTCATCTTCCTCATCGGATCCTTGACGCTCCATAATCTTGCGCACGATATCACGAACTGAGCTTGTGTAATACCCAATGTGCGAGTCATCCTTGTCGCTATCCTTAACAGGCTGTACACGAACAACAAGTTTGGAAAAGTCCATTTCTTTGACAAAGGCATCGCCGGTCTCGTTGAAGGGCAAATCGACACCCTTGATAGCAACAGTGCGGTATTGTGGATCGTTCGAGTCCAACAGAATACTAGCAGAGGCCTTGACACGTTCAGGGAATTTAGCAGTGTGAACAGAAACCGACAAAATACCAGACTCGTAAGCGAGCAGATCAATCTTGCCCTTGTCATCGGCAGTGTATTTGATCAATTCACCGTGGAGATCCTTCTCAGGAGGAATTTCGGGTGCAGCTTCAGCTTCTTGCGGGGGAGTAGCGGGTGGGACTTGGCCGTTGCCAGCAGGTGCTCTTTGTTCCTGGTTCTCCTGTCCTTTCTTCTTTTCACTCTCGGGCTTGGGAAGCTCCATGGCAGGGATAAACGAGGCAGCAAAGTGCAACTTGCCCTTGCCCTTCTTGCGTTCAACACTGGTGATATCAACCCATCTACACAATCGCGGAAAGAAACAGTAACAGTTTAGCTTTGGTTGTACAATGTCCAGATAAAACATGTCTAGAAAAGAGACAAACTTACTTGTCAATGGCTTCAAGTGGCTCGTAGTAAGCTTGACCGTCTTCAGTCTTAGATTCTTTGACAATGTCCTTCAACAAGAAGTCAAAGAGACCGAGCGACTTGTCCTTCTGGATGTCGTTGTAGTCCATCACCTCAAAAATAAGATCCTCACGAATCGAGTGAACGGGCACGTAAAAGGTGGCATCCCAGTCAGGATCCAAGTTATCGTCGACACGCTCGCACTGAGCACGGACTTGCATTCCGGAAAGGACGCGGATGTAAGGATCAGACTTGCCACCAGTCATGGCTTCGACGTTCTTGAGATCACGGGCACCGAAGAAGTGGAGGCGAACCACACCAATGGGAGGGCGGTAATGGCCATGGCCAAGACCTTCGGCAAAACCGGTCATGACGATAGGCTTCCACATGGCACTCAAGTGGATCTTACCAGGACCATCCTTCAAGTTCCACCAATCCAAACCTTGCTTGATATGCTCGTCTTCCATGTTGGCCAGCGACATGCGCCAGCGACCAATGACATCGTCGTCCGTGAATTCCTTGCTGTCAATAACGTTGACGCCCAAATCGAGCTTGGTCTTGTCGGCCACAAACACTTCGATGAACTTGTCCCAACGAGGGTTGACGCTGCGTTTAAACGGCTTGGTGCGCAAACGATCTTGACCATTGACCTTAACGACAGCATAGGCGTTGAGATCGTCCTTGCCACCAATGAGAGGAAGGCCAATGCCACTGCCGCGTTTACCGTCGCCGCCGAGACCTTTGCATTCGTGTACAGTGAAGCGCAAGACACCGCTGTTGGATTCGGCAGGTGGAATAATGGTACCGTCTTCCTTCTTTTCGGGCTTGGACACAGGGAAGTATTGCATATCACATTTCACTTCACCCACAGGTTTACCAGAGCGTTGGACAGACAAGTTCAAACCAGACACGGCATTGTCGTTGTTGGCTAACTCCTTCAAATCGAACGAAGCGACACCGACAGCAGAGTCCTTGCGACCTGAGTTTCTGTCCATGACTTGCAAGTAGACAGTCTCGTTGGTGTTGTTGAGCAAGACAAAATGGGTCTCGTCCCACTTGGGGTTGTTGGTATCCTCGAATGCAGATGTGCGGCCCATTTCAGCATTGTGGGCGTTGCCGATATGGAAGGTGATGTAGGGGTCGAGGCTGCCAAACAAATCTGCAGCCTTAAGATTGGTAGCAGAGTAGACGGTGATGGCCAGGACGCCGTTGGCGGCAGTCAGATCGGTCGTGCCAGCCATCATGCCAGCCACATCGACCGTATACACGTTGGGAGCATACATCATGGGACCCAGAGTTGCGTGTACTTGTTCTTGAACAAAGGTTTGGAGACCAGGGATCTAGATTTTCCGCATTTAACCATTGATACTGATGATTGCAACCCGCATCATCTCTTCTCGATGACTCCAGGACTTACATTGTTGATATCAAAACCAAAAGTCTCACCACCAACAGGCTTGAGCGAGTAATCAAACAAGGGCTTCTCCAAAAAGCAAGCTTCGACGGTCTTGACATGAGGGAATTCATTGAACAGCTTGAACTTGAGGCGCATGGTGCCCTTGAACGCCAGATCCTCGAGCAATACGGGCATACCAGCACCAATCATGCCTTTGCCAACACGAATAGTAAGCACAATCTTGGGGTTGATCTTGGATTGAAGTTCACGCGGGGTCAAATCCAGCACATCGTTGGGGATAAACGACACGGTCCAGTCCATGACCTAAACAAAAGACAAAATGAAAATCAGCCACACATAGTCGCTACTAGCAGCACCACCGACTACGAAACCATATACGCATATGGGAATAGTTTGTTGTTGTTTATAACTATGCGAGATTATGTCGTACCACCACATTGGGCTCGGTCTTGGGATAGGTCTTGATTCCGTTGATGCGGAAAGGCTTTGTGCCTAAAGTGAAGGTGGTCAGACGGATCGAGTCCAAGAACGAAGGTGTGTTTTCGATCAGGATGGCGTCGGCAGTGCCAATGATCTGAGCAGATAGGACGGGCTCGTAGATCAGCCAGAAGCGTGTAACAAAGTGGTTGATCCAGTCAGCGGACTCAATATCGGTCTCGAGCCTATTGCTCGACACTTCACGCTCCATGTCATCGCGGATATTGCGTCGTAGTCGGCGAATCGATGTTTGATAGTACGTTGCTATATCAGGGATGAGGAAAGATGAGAAATGGAGGCGATCTCGATCACATACATCATCGGCCCAACCATATAGGGCATATACAACCAAACGCTCTTTTTCATCCCAGCTCTCTTGGCGCTTGTTTTCTCCTTCCATAAAGATTCTTTCCACCGTTCCACTCTCCGAGTCCCCTTCCACGCGAGTGGCATAGCCCAAATAGGAAAAGTTCCATTGTGGTTTCCTTTCCTCCTTATATACAGTATAACCAAAGACTGCCCTCTTACCTGAGAACGCTCCAACGACCAAGCACGCCATTAACCCTCCGCCAAGCTTTGTGAGAAGCCAGGTAAACACAACCGTAAACAAGATCACGGCCGCGTTATGATACCATTCACCATAGTACGACTCTTTCATATACTGCGCCAGCAGGTCATTGTTCAAAGCATGCGACCCGTTCGAGTCGCGCGATCCCTTGAACATTTCCACAAGCGCGTCCGTGTTGAACGCTTTGGATAACTCTTCCATGGCCTTCTCGTCACCCGGATTGGGCAGTTTTGAAAAAGACGTCCATCCATTCTGTGCGGGTTGTTGTGGTTTGTTTCCTCCAAAAGCGCCTGGTGGTCTGTTTGATTCTTGAGGTGGGGACGGTGGCCGAGCAACCGGTTTGGCACTGGCATTAGCAACAGCTTGCATGACCTGTGCTGAATCGCTCGTTTCCAGATCCGTAGCGAGCTGTCCCTTGGCATGCTTGTGTTGACCATTTTCGAATGCTTTGGACAGACCAGTGCTTTGTATGCTTTCTTTGGCCCTGGCTGCCTTTTCAGCTGGCGAGAGTTCCTCGGTAACTGCAATGGCAGGATTTCCGTCGGCGGTGAGGTTGATTGCTGCTGCATTCTTTTCGCTTGAGGTTGCTGAAGGCGCGTTGTTACTACGCTGTTCTGAAGGTAGTGAGGACATGCGCTTCGGTACAGACTGTAGCTGTTGTGGTATTGGTGACGGTGCAGAACCGTTGGAGTTGGTCATGGAGAATAAGAAAAAGAGGAGGAGGAGGAGGAGGAAAAGAGAAAGATGAATAAAAAAAGAAAGAGAAGAAAGGGAAAGAGAAGGAGGTGAGTGCAGGTAGAATTTCTTTTTTTTTTTTGACACGACCCGCTGGATGTATGGTACCTTACTTTATACGTTGCCCATCGCCGTCATCGGCTCTCTCTTTCTCTTACACCCTTCCAATGGGTAGCACAACAGAGAACCTTAAATCCGTGCCCCTCCCGCTCTTAAATACTTGTATTACTCACTTCAGCGAGGTCCTCTAGTCTCGCCCTATTCTCTTTATTGTATGTAAGGTAAAAAACAATTCCCAAGAAAAACCTGTTGGTTTTTTAGGCGCCGAACAAGGACGTGCATACAGTGAAACATTTTCCTTGCAGCATAATACAGCAGTGCGTATGCTCTTGACATACACTGTACGCTTGGCTCTAGTATCAGAGCAGGACTACTATCAGAACAAGAGAGCATCCAGGCTAGTGGTCTCGGCTGGGTTTCCCGAACTCACGGACCAGGAGGGTATGACAACCGTCTTTTTCCCAAGAGCATCATTGGTTGATCACAACATTTTGTGAGCCATTATCTGCTCTTTGTTACCATGGTTAGTATGTATTGTGTGTGGACAGGGTACACCGTTGTACGCCCAGCGAATCTGCATTTCCTTATCGGGAGAAAAAGTGTTACGGCGATTGCATGTCAACAATAACAATATCAACAGCAACAACAACAACAAATATCAACAGATGCCGTGGGTGCGTGCGCTACATGTGCGTATCTGATTCTCTGTGGATGTGCTTCGCTGCAGCAAAACAAGACAGAGTGCCACTGCTAAACGAGTCACATAAATGGTTTATTTTATTGCGGCATTCACTAAACTATTTCAAGGAGCTTTGGCGTACGTCGGCAGGGAATTTCTTGTCGGCATTGTGGCTCAAATTGATTCCGTTATTTCGGCGCCAAAACAGTTCAGCCTAGTAGCATACACAACCCATGTGTTTTAGTAAACTAGCTGCGAAAAACACTTCTTTGGAGAGCAAAGACTAGGAGCGATCAATGTGATACAGCAGACAAAAAGTACAAGCAGCAAGCTCACCTGTCCTCTTGGCTCATAGCCATCATTTTGGATACCACCTGATTTCCGACGACCCATTGCAAGGGGTGTCATATCATTGATGCCTTGATCCATGGATGACGAACGCTTGTTCTTACTGTTTCGGTATGCAGCAGCACCGGCAGCACCTGCTGCTCCGAGTGCAATTAAGGTTCCTGTAGCGATAGGCATCTCTTATAATGTTTACTGTGGTTGGATAGTGATGAAAGAATGGGTTGCAAAGTTTGTTCTGGATGTATGTTGTAATCAAAGGTTAAGAGAGGAAAAGTGTTCAAGCCATATACGTTTCTATACTAGAAAGGTATTAGGCAAGGGTTACGTCAATGCAGCCCACTCGCGGTGGCACTGACGATAAATGGATTTGTTTGACAAGAAAAACTAAAACTGAGGCACTGTGACGACACAAACCAATCGGGCGTTCAACCAATTGTCCTTGGCTTCATTGGTCATATGGCGAGTGAAGACAGCAGTATTCGATCACCATGAACAAATCCATCTACTTATTAAAATCACCTTCTTGACGCTTCTTTTTACGAGTGCACCAATATTTAGTTTGGATGGGGCTGAATTAGCTTTGACTCTAAAACGCTGGTGCCGTAGGTGTGATCAGAGAGAAATCTACTGGCATAGGGAAATTTTTAGGGGGCAAGAAGTAGAGCGTTCAAGTCCTACCATGATGATAAAGCTGTTTAGTGTGTAGCTGTTTTATTTAGATAGAATAGTGTATTAATTAGCGATTGGGTTAGCTGTATGATACTAATCTAAAGTATTTAACCTGTTTTAGCTTATTGCTGTTCATTTTCGTGTTGTTGTTGCAGTTTTGCTGGCGACAATAAAGCAAATGTGTGTTACCAGTAAATGATTCGAAACAAATTTATTGAAACGAACGGACTCAACAAAACAACAGCTAATGAATGTGCGAATGCTTTTTCGTTTAGGGCAGCTTCGATATTCTCTACTTGAAGATATTCAATACACGTTAAATTCATTCCTCCCTTGCATGAACGGTAAAGCTAATCTAATGATGGTTTGCCTTCAAGTAATAAAATTATGGGTAATAATGGTCGTTCCCCTGATGTTTACTTTGCAAGTCCGTGTGTGGTGTCTGAACCTTGGGTTCCTTTCCGAAAACCTCCCTATGTTTCGACTGTTCATATAATCCTCAATTTACATGCTGCCTGGATCCAGAAATAGAATCATAGTGTCCCACGAGCGTGCTTTCCCAAACATGACAACTATGAGCGGGTAAAAGGTACAGTATAGCAAAATTGTATTCCATAGAAAGATAGGGTGCGTAGGTACCATGATACGTGAAGAAGACGCCTTATAAACGAATGAATTCATACAAAACCCATTATTAGCGCGTGAGGCATGATTTCGCATTTTTTGTTCTGATCATCCTCCCGCGTCGCACTACTCGTTTTGTTTGCAACTCTGACTTCCTTGAATCAAACGTCAACTCCAGTGCCTAGTTTGGGCACGGCAAAAAGGAGGTGAGCCACGTACTGTTAGCACCTCTATAAATCATACCATATGCTACATCACCAAAAGCTTATTTGACGCTTTACATTAGTGTCAAACGCGTTGCATTTAACGATTACGACAATAATAATCATTGCACCATTTACGTTGAAGAAGTAAGATCTACTTTGACCGGCTTTCTCGTCGTGTTCGTTCCGTGTTTTCGTTACACTTATAAAATAATATTAGGTACTCGATGCTGCATATGGTTGTTACATTTGGCCATCAGCATTGGTACTGAGTGATTATGTATGGTACCACCGTGACGCATTCGCCTATAGTACGATTTTAGAGGTATGGAAAATACAGTTTTTTCTTCCCGTCCACTTATTTGCTAATATACACGTTACTTAGATTGGTGCAGGTAACACACAGCATAGGAGCGCGCATGTACACGAATTAGTTGAAAACACACTGCCAACAACCATGCAACGCAAATAACAATGGGAAAAAATTTTCATAGGGACATCGTTGCCATCGCTGGTGCTTGCCAAAGCAAGTCAGTCAGTGCGTCTCGTACTTTCAGATATTCCGAGTATATTACCTGTTGTTCGCGGATGCCTACCACTGAATGGTCTGCATGAATCTGCTGAAGCGCTCTGGGTCCGTGAGCTACTGTGGGGCCAACTGGGGTGTACCAACAGTGTGGATCAACTTGTCAAAGATATCGAACACAATTGGAATACATCCATTGACTACATTTTGGGCAGTGATACTTTCTATGATCCTGCAGGTAGGTGTTGAGCAAAACCTTCTTTTATGCGCGCAGTATTCATGTGACGACCGCTTTATCATTATTATATAGATTTTGAAAATCTTTTGGTAACAGTATCTTTTATTATCCATCGTCATAATCCAAAATGTAAATTCATTACAGCTTATCAAGAACGAAGGTAAGACGAGATATCTTTAAGGTGTATATTTTGAGAGGGTCTGATAGAAGGAGGAACTTAATAACTTCTTATACATAGCGCCAAGCGTAGCATCCAGTACTTATTGGACAAATGGGGTCTGCAATGCTCCTCAATATCCCGTGAATCTTTTGAGTTTGACGAATTCCGTTTTACTCATAGGGATGATACCAGTGATAAAGAAGACGGTGATGGTGATGAAGATAGCGATAGCATCCCGTCAGTCAGAATGAATGCGGGTTCATTATCAAGCGTGTTTGTCCTCGTTATCTCATCAAAATAAATCCATTTGTAATTTGCTGCACCATCTTTTCATGAACAGACAATTACTGACGCGCTTGCAAAAAAGGTCGAAATTCAAGAGAGACATATGTGGAGGAAGTCGCAGCAAATCAGGAATAAAAGAAGAGGCAGGAACAACTATTGTCCAAATGTTATTTTTCGACCTTACAGGACGAAAGTAGAAGTACAGTAGAAGTATCATATGTGATGTAAAAATGGTATACATTACAATCTATCTTCCAGGAAAAAGAATGCCAACTATTAGTGTCGATACGAGACAACGTAAGGTAGGATCTTTGACATTTTCTTTTGCTTGTTGTGAAGTTTGTTTTAGAAAGAAGTGGTTAGAGAAGATAATGACCATTTTTATACTGGGCAAAAGCAACTTGGCCCAGCAAGATTGGCAAGACAAGTTCTTTGGCTATGATAACACGGAAGCCTTGACTAACGGTTTTATTGGCGGTGTATATGACTGACAAGACTAAAGGACGTTTAGATCCTAAGGCTACTAGCAGGTCCACCCATACCAGCAATATTGTCGACCTATTGTGTGATTCCCTCGGTTCCTTGAACAGCCTTGTTGACCGTACCAGCGGTTTCCGGCTTGGAGGATTCATCCTTGCGAGTACTAGCATCATTTTTGGCGCCTTCGGCAGCAGTACGCTTAGTAATACCAGCGGGAAGACCAGCACCACCGGCGAGTTTACTTGCACCGGCAACAGGACCACCAGGGCCACTAGTAAGTCCAGTAGTAACACCACTGAGGTTACCACTGGCTACAGCATTGACCGGACTGGCTGGGGAAGCAGCAGCACCGGCATTGTTGGGAGGAGCAGGAGCAGCTTGAATACCAGCAATGAGGCAGATAGCAGCAGCAACGGAGATGACAGAAAAGCGCATCTTAACAGATCGTTTGCTTTGGTATAGAATATAGTGTTTAAGCAACGATGCAGTGATGAGGGTAGGAAGGTACTCGACGGCTGATCTCCTCCACGGGTATTTATACTGCTGGCTTTGTATGACTCGCAGGAAACTACCTCCTTTCTTTTTCCCTTCATCTACTTCAATTATATCTCCTTCGCATCTTTAGCGCATTATACACCCTATGTCTCCATTAGGAGTGTACAAAAGATTAAGAGTTGGTGTGTAAAAAGATAAGGAGGACCAAACCAAACTGACTTGTATTATCGAGAGTGTCAATACATTTAAGTAAATGAACTGAGTGCCAGATTTAAACTACCGGTATAAGACTATTGAAGACAGAGAGTGCATTTTTATTGTATTTCCCATTTTTGCTAGTTCTATTACGATCGCTATGAGGTATTTTGCTACATACGTACCCGCTCCAAAGATGTCTTTGTGACTTACCATTCGCTAATCAAAAACACTATGTTGAATGTGAGCACCTCCACCCCCTTCTTCAGGAGCTCTTTGATGCTTTCAGACCACTCCCAGACTTGCTACCCGACGATGTACAACCACTGGATTACATTCTGAACCATCTGCTTCGCTCTGATGCCAAACTCTTGGAAGAAAGTCTGGCCAACTCTGCTCCGTGTCCTGCACGCAATAGACCGCCTCAGCCATCCAGGTGTTGTCTATGATGCATCATATTCAAACCTGCTCCAGAGGATGCCCTCCTCCTAGACACACACACACACACGTACCTTAATCCTTACAGCATAGTTCAGATTGTCTATCTTATCGTTTTCATTATTTGTCCCCTCTTTCTTCTGTAATTTCTTTTATTCTCTTACCCAGTCTCTTATCACTTTCAACATCGATTTCAACCTTCCGCAGTCTCTCCTCTACCCTAACATTTTCCCCATAATACGGGATTTTTCAGTTGTGGTATCCCTCATTTGTAAATATTCTCCTCCTGATTGTATCGCAAGGAAGCGACCAATTACATAAGGTCACTAAGTCACCCATAAAAAATCAAAAATTCTACATTTGAACTACTGCGACAAAGCTCCTCATATAAGTCCGTAACCAAAAGTAAAGCTTACAATAAGTAATACATATGCATATACCCTGTTAGTGTTACGATTCCACACTAGAAAAGCTGGGAGAAGTTCAGGGCAAGAAAAGCTTGAAAGGCGTGCTTTCAGGTGGTATTGCCCAGAGTTTTGCAGTGTTGTTTGATCCTGGGTTTTTCTGGTAGCTGCTTAAGTGACACCGAGAAGTTTTGGAGGTTTACTAGGCAACAGAATATACAGTGCGGCCATGCCAACTTATGTAGGTAGCGCTACGCACTGATGTGCACCAAGTCATTGCACTTGTTGCATGAGTAAAGGGGTCAGGGAATATATGTGGCATGCTTATTACATCAATATGTTATCATCTTTCGTATTAAGCTCGATTATTCAAGTATAGATAGAAAAGAGAAATGTCGCAAAATAAATGTAGACAAGTAAGCCTTCAGTAGAAGAAGGTTAAGAGAGGGAAGAAGACGAGATGAAAAGAAAAAAAGTACACAGGGCCGTTCGTTTAAAGATGGAGACAGAAAACAGATGGATAGTAGATAGGGGAGATATTAAGCGTCTTTGACTTTAAATGTTTTTCTTCATCTTCCTCTTTTTTTTTGCTCTTGCTTAAGAAAAAAAAAGGTAGTGAAAAGAAGGTGGAAGCGAAGAGAAAGGACGAAAAAAAGGGAGAGGTCATGATGGTTTTCTTTTCCTTAGTTATGTAGTAGGTATTCGATAGCTGCCTGCACATCGCCACCCGTAGCCAACAAGGCACGGACATTAGCTTGCCGCTCCGAGAATCCCATTTCTTCCAACTGCTCGAGCTGTGATCGGAATCGGGTCTCTGGTGGTTCAGTGGGTGTAGTAGATAATGTGGTAGAGGCCGCTGTGGATCCAGACGTTGCTGCATTGCTGCCTAAATTACTAAATTAAAGTAAAGAAGGAAAATCACGAATTAAGTATTTGACTTTTCATCGAGAAAATAAGCATGTGCCGTGTGATGATACTTACCCAAAGTTCCACGGGCCTTGTGAAAAAGGGAACATTGGCATCTGTTGCTGCTGTTGTTGTTGTTGCTGCTGATTGCCATCCGGTTGATTTTGCCTCTGACTTTCCATCATTGCTTGTTGTAAGCGCATACTAGCTTGAATGAAGCTGGGATCAGCCCAGAACGGCAGCTGTTGCTGTTGCTGTGAATTGTTGTTGCTGTTATCAGTAGTCGTTGGAGGAGTAGAGGATGTTTCCGAGTTCTATGTAGTCGATTTTTACATCAGTAAACCCTGTTAAAGGAATCACAAATGTGTCTGGAGAACGCCTTCACTTACTGATTGCTGCTGTTGCTGTGGGTTCAAAAATGAGGGAAACATGGAGAGACCTATTTCATCATAATCATTAAGTCGTATTAGACTAGGTGTGTGATATATAGAAAAAATAACACATCCTTTGACTTAAAGGTACATACCAGCAAACGGATTGCCCGAGTTTCCTCCGCCTCCCATACCGCCCAGTCCACCCATTCCGCCCAAAGCGCCCAATCCCGATGGATCAAATGCACCAGCAGCAGGAGAAGACTGCGAGTTTGATTGTTGGGAGCGAGATGCCCAAGGGTTCGGCAATGCCTGAGTATTCAATTGATTTTCTAATGGTACGTTGTAATATTAGTATACACATTGAATATCCTTACACTAACGGTCAAGCACAACGATAAGTTATCTTTTGCTCTAGGCTATCTACCTGGAATGCTAGTGACATTCAGTTCTCGTGCAAGTCGAGCATTGGCTTCATCGGTGGAGCGGTCATCTGGTCTGGCAGCAGATTCTAAAGGGTCTTGGAAGGCGTTGTACATTCGTCGCAGATGATTGAAGCCTCCAGGAAGAGCCTACAATTTGCCGTCGTTCGCTATTTGATCAGACTAATTTTCATAACCCCACCTTCCTCTCTATTCTATTTTCCTCAAATGAAAAAAAAAAAGATTATCCCTACTTTACCTCAATGTTGGATAGTGCGCGATCGTTGCTTCGTTGCATTTGTCGCATCATTTCCGGATTTCTGATACAAAAGAAGAGAGAACTTAACACGGCGTTCGTTTCATCTTAACAGTTAATCAAAGTGGCAATCTTGTTTTCTCATCCAACCTCATCATTTCTATTGACTGTCGCAGGAACGCAGGATCGTTGATAACATGGCCAATCTCCGGGTTTTGCTCCACTAATGTTCTCATTTGAGGATTGCTCATAATGATCGATCGTACCATATCTATTCAGTGAATAATTTCCAAACGTTAGAACAATGAAAGACTGATAAGGAAAAAGAAGAAGTACTAAGACCATAGACACAAAAACACACATACTCTCTCCTTTCTAATCCCACCCCCTTTTTCCACATCTTTTGATTTTCTTTCTCTCGCTTTACCAGTGTTGCTCAGCAAGTTTTGCATCATGGGCGAGTCCATTAATCGTCGTATGGTCTCGGGTTCCATCATGGGTGCTCGCATATTATTGCCGCCCCCAAACATATCCATTGGATCCTGCTGTCCTAATCCGCCCAAACCGGGAAACCGTGTCATATTCGAGTCATTTGCTGTTGTTGCTGAAGGTGTAGTATCAGCAGGAGTAGTAGAGGTAGTAGTATTAACGGCTGAAGGTGGTGTTGTTGTCGTCGTTTCAGGAGTTTCTGTTGTCACTGTGGCTGTGGTCGACGCAGTTGAGGACGATGTGTTCGAAGCTTGTGCACTGGGCGATTTCTTGGAATGGGGTCGAACCACATGAATAGTATGACCAAAGTCGATATCTAAAAGGGGATGTTTTGCAGCCAATCAGTTAACAATTTACAAAGCCCTCGGTCGACCTTACAGTCATTCTCTTTAAATGCTTACTGTACTCATGACAAAGGTGGTCATCACTCAGTATCCGTCCCGAGTGGACAAGTTTCAGTTCGGCGGGATCAGCACCATCCATCTTGTCGCCGATCAACTCTTTGAGTTGACGAATGGTAGTCGATTCGGGATCAAGCGTAACGTCAAAGAGTTTACCATTGGATGGTCGAACTCTCACACTGACAGATTTCCCCATGGTTTCTTCTTCTTGTTTTATATAAGTTATTTATGTATTCTTTGTGACAAAGAGGAAGAGGGAGAAGAAAAGAGTGGAAAAAAGAAACCGGCACTGCCCCACACACGCAAACTCGCTCACGCACACATACACGCACTTTGGCGCGGTTGAATTTTGCGGAGATGCGTAATAATTGCTGAGACATACGTAAAGTGTTCCAGTCAGCACTACTTTCCTTGATTCTTTAAGAATACGCTTAATCAATAATGAATTTTGAATAACGAAACTGGTAGCTATGTATTATAGGATTTCAAATTACCAATATCTGTATCAATCTGCAAGATAGTGATATTTTGTGGCATACTTCGGTATTGCACCTACTACTAATATCCATGGAAATCAATGTCGTTCATGAGTGAATCTGGTCGTCGCCACGTTTAAAGTGCTCGTTGCGTGAGCAGCACTCTCTTCGTCGTCGTCATCGTCGTATGCGGATAGACATGTAAGTCAAACGATGGAAAACGCTTATCGAAGAACTGAGAAACTCCAGTATCTTTGGTATTTTGTAAGGGTTAAGGGCTCGATCTTTATACATAAAATAGACGAATGTTTGAGTGCAATCCTCGCTGTAAAATCTCCTCTTTTGCCTTTTGCAGCTCTTTTATGATTGCAGACAAACATCTTGCTCTTTTGGCATAGAATGAATCATGACGTAAAAAAAAGCGTTCCAATACAGAAGAGTAGTATACGTTTCCAAAGCAATCCTATTCCATCATTTGTCGAAGATTAAAAAGTTGACTTCAGTCTCATGACGAACGCAGGTCGTCGATAGTTGAGCGAACGTAAGATATGTTGCTTGTTAAGTTTTGATTTTGAGAACATGTCTTCAGCAAGCATCACACATCTTCCCTTGAGTGTTAAATTTGCAAAGTCTAAGAGCGCTCAGCGTTCGTCAAATGTTAGAGAACTTCTTTTCGAGCTGTTTGAAACACCTGACAGTAGCTGCAACGGTCAATAAAATGAATTTGACCGACAATTATCAATGAGGAAGGGGTTGAGGTATCAACGAAGAACAAAGAAAAGACGAAATTGCAAGCTATAGCTGAAAGTGAGTCTGGCAAATTTGGGGATGTTAGCGCAAAATAGTCGATATACGCGTATTAAGTACAAGGTAAGTGACACTTTGGGAAGAATAACCATCATAGATTACACCGCAACAGCATTAATCGGCCTTGCACTTATGTCATGTGCCGGCGCGTTAGGTGGCGATGATGATGGCAAGTCCACGAAAACATCCAACATACAAAAATAGAAAACGAAATGCTTATTAAAAAGAACCATCCTCTTCAAACAGCCTTACTATGCCAACTCAGAATGAAAATTATATTTCCGTTCCGCTGCGCGCACATCAACCACTTTTCTGACCTCGTTACAAACCGGAAAATGGCAACCCAACAACGCATTCTGAATCTTCGAACACTGAATGCCCTGCAATGGGCAACGCGACGTAATCCCGCGAGAACCACTGTCCGAGCAATGCATATTGCTTTACGCCCAGCATGTGTAAGACCTCGTGTTAACACCAACAGAATCACCACCACTACTGGCCCATTCGTCAGCAGTTGCAGCAGCAGAGCGCAACAGTTACGAACATATACTATGGAGCACAAGGATGCAGTTGACTTTGAACAAGTACAACGGATTGTCAATGATAAAGATACTGTAAGCTGTCGCTGTGTATGTGGTGTGTATAAGGAAAGGGATTTGACTTTTTAACCGCGGTGTATGGAAATAGGATTACATTTTGCTCGATGTACGCGAACCGAGCGAGGTCATGCAAGGATTCATACCATCTGCCATCAATATCCCCTTGGTACAAATATTAAGGAGGAAGGCTCCTCGATACAATAGAGCCGATGCATGAAAAAATAGTTTGCTAATTCACGTGGTTGATCACAAATTTTATTGGATGATATACAGAGCAAACTTCTTCCTGCGTGGACCATGTCTGCAGAAGAGTTTGAAGAAGAATATGGCTTTGAACGACCCAACGAAGATGACAAGATCATTGTTTACTGCCAAGCTGGTATCCGTAGCGCGAATGCAGCAGATTTCCTGCGTGAAATCGGCTATAAAGTGTAAGTCTGCTATGCCTGCGGTACAAGCAATGTGTGTCCGGCAATTACTAACGAGAGTACCCGCCTGCGATATGTATATTAGAGTACTGAATTACCCTGGAAGCTATGCCGATTATGCTAGCAAATCATCAGCCCAATAGAATACTTGAATGACAATAAAATGGTCCAAGCGGAGGGGAAGAGCGCGGACGTGCGCATTATAGAAGGTGGTAGATGTGGGTGAATACATATGCACATACATGCTACATGTGCTGTTGTTGTTGCTGCTGCTGCTGCTGCTGCTGCTGCTGCTGCTCTTAAGTGGCTGTGCATGTATGCACAATATGGACACGTACAGTACGCTCTTTCACTTGAGTTCTCAAAATAAACAATAATAGCAGTCAAGAAGAAAGAAGGAAAAGGGAGGAGAGTGATTGAGAAGAAGGAGGGGCAGCACCTCTCCATTCTGCCCTGAGCTGCTCACACCCCCGCCCCAAATGCTCCTCCTAGCTTTTTTGTTGCTTCTATCCCTTTAAAAAATCGCCCAAAAAAGTTAACCATGGATTGTCTTCGCTTTTCCTCCTTGACGTACTTTTGTCTTCCTCTTTCAAGTCTCTCTTTCCTCTAGCAAACTCTTTTCAAGTCCACTCCTTTTATCTCACACACCGCAGCTGCTCATTGACTTGTTCATTCATCGTCAACCACACACTCATTGTAAAATCACACAAACGAAATGGGCTTATGTGTATCCTCAGACGAAAAGACGGAGAAAGACCGCAGCCAAAACATTGATCGCATGCTCGAAGAAGACTTTCGAAAGCTTAAGCGAGAGTGCAAAATTCTGCTACTAGGCATGTAATGTATATCAGATGTTCATCTATACAGAGAAATTGCTAATTAATCCATTCATCAAACAACAACTCTCTTGCATATGCGCCGTCCACCACCCCGCTTCTTCTGACACGACAACAGGCAGTGGAGAGTCTGGCAAGTCAACGATTGTCAAGCAAATGAAGATCATCCATCAGAATGGTTACACCACCGATGAATTGATGGCATGGCGCACAGCTGTCTACAAAAATTTGATCGAGTCCGCTCTTGCATTGATCGCTGGTGTTCGCAAATTCGACTATTCTTTCGAGGAGGAAAAAAATGAAGTATGACGCTCAATCCCTTTTCTTGGCACACACACCACCACCATCACTGTTTTGATCAAGCTAATTCATTATCTAATTTTATTCTCCAGTATAATGCGCAACAGATCATGGAATATAAACTACACAACAACAGCGACAAGCCCATCTGTCCCGACATTGCAGCAGCTGTTGCATGCATTTGGAAGGATGCGGTAGTAACGCGTCTTCTAGATAAAGAGGGAACAGATTTCTATATGATGGATTCGGCATCTTAGTGAGTTGTTTTGGCGAGTCAGTTTCTTCTTCTACCACGACAACATGTGTAAACACGCCACTTGTTTATTAGTTACTAATCGATGTTGATGACTTTTCTTCTTAATCTGCTTAGCTTTTTTGAGGAAGCGAATCGGATAGGTGAGCCTGATTACGTACCTAACGTGCAGGACGTGCTACGTGCGCGATGCAAGACCACAGGCATAACGGAGACCCGATTCAAAATGGGACAGTTGAATATCCAGTAAGTCACAATGAGCAGCAGTATTAGTTAGTGGCAATAGCAATAGCAGCAGCAGCAGCAGCATTTTTTCATGCTGCAAGCAACTAAATTAACAACAACAACAAACCTTTTTTAGCATGTTTGATGTCGGTGGCCAACGTTCGGAACGTAAAAAATGGATCCATTGCTTTGAGGCAGTAACCTCCATTATATTTTGCGTTTCCCTGAGCGAGTACGATCAGGTTTTGCTTGAAGAATCTCGCCAGGTAATTAATAGCAAGATACAATTTCGTCTCCTTCTGCCTGTATGGCTGCTCTCTTCCCCTTGTACTCCACGAGATGATTTTTTGAATGTCGAATACTTTGTAACCATACATCAATTTTGATACAGAATCGAATGATGGAAAGTTTGGTCCTCTTTGAGTCAGTCATCAATAGCCGATGGTTTTTACGAACATCGATCATCCTCTTTTTGAACAAAATTGACGTATTCAAGAACAAATTGCCAAAAATACCATTGGAGAAGTATTTCCCCGATTACGGAGGTAATATTATGCTATTCGACATGTGGTGTTATTCTGCTTGGCAAATAATAGTAATAATAGCTACTAATTATATGATCATTGTTGCCTACACAGGTGGCCAGGATATCAATAAGGCTGCCAAGTATATCCTTTGGCGATTCAACCAGACCAATCGAGCCAAGCTTCATATATTTCCTCAGTAAGTTCTAGAATTTGTAGTGTTTGTAAACCAAGTCGATGCAAGAACAATACGTCACCGATCATCATTAGCATAAATAGAAGAGTTTGATATCTCGCTACCCCTTGGCATCTCCGGCTCATTCTCCCTCCTCGTTCTGATCACCCTTTGCTAATCAACTTTAACTTTTTTTTTGTATATATAATAGCCTTACGCAAGCAACTGATACACCCAATGTGAGTCCAGCTGTTGTGATTTATAGTCAGTCTTACTGCTAGTAAGAAACTAACGGGAGTTTTATTGCTACTAGATCCGCCTCGTCTTCTCTGCCATTACTGATACCATTTTAAGAAACGCATTGAAAGATTCAGGAATCTTGTAAACAAACTTCTACAGCGTTTTCTTCTACATATACATCCATACATACACTCGTCGTACAAATTATAATTATCATCATTTTCCTTATACACTCGTGCAACAGCAATCTATACATTAAAAAGGCATACATCATCCCTCCACACTCACAAACTCACCTTCCCATTTTCTGCATTTTCAAATCATGTGTTCGCATAGAACTCCACCTTTTGTGATATTTTAATTATAATTACTTCTACCATTAAAAAACTTCTGTCTTTCTTCTCTTGACATACGTGACTCTTCATTTAAAAATATTGATAGATATGATACAAAGGTCATAAATGTTAACAAAGATGTTACTGTCGTAATAAAGACGACAGCAGAACATATAAAAAAGAAGTGTATCGATGAATTGAAAAGGAACCTTCAATGATAACAAGCATAGTAATTGTTGTACATAAATAGACTAACAGATGTAAGATAAAGATTTTAATACATAAGAAGAAAAAGTGTGTGCGTGTATCTGTGCTTGTGCATATGCACTTGTGTGTGTGTGTGTGTGTGTATGGATGTGTGTATGTACATATAACCACTAAAATGTGGCATTTTGTTTTAGCTATTTGTTACATCTTTTCTTCCCAAACACTGTTTCAGGTGACGCTCCAGCGCCTCAGGTCGGGTATACTTCTTTAGCTCATGACAACCGTGGCAGTAACGTGTGATAGGATCGTTGTTTACATGGTCATGGGTAAAAAGATGATCGTCCAAGGATCGTTCGCTAGTGTAACTCTTGGCGCATCCTGGAATACAGCAATGATAAGAGTTAGGCTGATTGATAATTGTGTACGCATTTGGCGGCAGTGATGGAGATGGTGTTCGACTCGAGTTTTGTGATGGTCGTGATGATGATTGATTATGGTGGCTCTTACTCATCTTTTGCTTCTTTTTCCAGCAAATCTTTGCATGACGTGTCACTGAATCGATGCGGGATTTACATTTCTTCATCCTGCCACATATGTTGCACTTGTAGTTAATGTAGCGATTGTTCATGCGATCGTGGACGCTGTGTATATGGCGTGGCAAGTCACTTTTACGTCGACAGTGTTGATTGCATCCTTGAAAGAAACAGGCATAAAAGCCATCGTTCTTTCCAGCAGTAACACGAGGGTCTTGATCCAGTCGTCCCTGGTCTTTATCACTGAGCAACCCGTTATCATGAGCGTTACCCTCAAGTGGCAATGTCCTTCCTTGTGTAGCAGCGGTCTCGAGTTTATCGTGTGTTGTTTGAAGAGACAATAAATCTGTATGATAACCGAACCCATTGCTTTTCCAGCTGTTTGGAGGCGTAGGTAAATCCTTGCTAATTCCTTGTTCCACTGCTGATTGTGGAGTGGACTTTTTTTCTGAGGATTGATACACTTCGTAGGATGATGATGGACCTCCGTGCGGCCCATGTTCAAAGGTTGGTAGATACTGGTGACGGGAGGGCTATAAAATGAACGTTACAGTACATAACATTAGCTCACTACTACTTTCTGACGATAAAAGCTTGCCATAACTTTATTCAATGCATACAGAAATTTCGGTTTGGTTTGGCGGTTGCTTATCAGCCTGGCCAGAGAAAGGCTGGAACCATTCATCAATGCTAGTCGATGACGGTATGTCAAACATTTGAGTTGCATAATGCTGGTGCGCATTGCATGCGGCTTCTAGATAGAATTGTCATAAGTGCGTTGCAACGATTAGTCGTGTTATAAAAATCTTATAAAATTAGACAGTGGTGTTTTTCTTTTGGCATAAACCTCACAAACTACCTGGACCGCTGGTACTGCCATTGAAAAAAGATGAATCAAATTCCATAAAAAGTCTGTGCCCACGATCTAAGAGATGGCTGCTATAGCCCCCTGCGTTTTTATCACCACGGCGGATATACATGTCATCATGAAATTGAGCTGTGCCAAGAAGATGAAGGTTATGCTCAGTAAGTGCTTTCTTCTCGTATCGGTTTATCTATAGTAATGGTAAAATATGATGATGGTTCTCTTACATGAATACAAATCACCGTCATGCCCTTTGAAAACAGCGAAATCTTCTACCGTCAACTCTGAGATACCAACCATAGGTCTTGTATCATTTTGTATGACATTATCATGCTGACCGAACTGTTGTGATGGGTTGTTGTAAGTCGAGAGAAAAGACCACGATGAGCTCAGCGGCTCATATTGCTGTTCATTCCATTCGCAGCCATTCGACACACCATTGGTAATGATCTTCTGTACATAAACAACGCATGTATTTTTTATACAGAGTATATAATTACTTTCACGACCATTTTTCTTTCGCTATAATGGGGATCTTCTTTAAGGCTTATCGATCGGTAATTTACCAAATTTGGTTCCGCGCCGTAGGTGCCGCCAGCGCCACCCCACGTGTTGGAAAAATGTTCTAATCTGTTATAAGGTACATTGCCCAAGCTTTCTTGCTGCTGTTGTTGTGCAAGGGACGGTGACGGTAACAGAGATAGAGGAGCAGCTGTAATACTTCGTTTCTCGTTTTCTTGTAGAGCGACAAAGTTTCCGGTAGCACCACCATCACCACTTGCGAAATAAGTCAAAGATGAAGACAACCCTTCTTGGTTGGTGTAAAAAGTATCCATTGAGATATAAATATGTATAAGTAATATAAGACAAAGGAAATATAAATAAATTAGTAGAAAATACAGTAAAAACAAGGTAAAGCTATTCCGGAACAAAGAGAGAGATAGGTAGGTAAAGAGAGGAAGAAGAACAAGCTTCCAATTTGCTGGAAAAGCTCAAAAGTAATGACGTTCTTATATAACATTCATAGAAAGAAGCAGTGGTAATGACAGTCCCATTAAAAGCTGATACCCATGACACCAGTTCAGTGGTGGTATAATCAGGTAAGTAACCGACGCAGTGCTGATTGTGTCGATGACCAGGGTACATGGTGGAACACTCGCCGCTGTGTTGTGTGTCAGTAGCTATTATATAAAGTTTCACTACTAGTAATGGTGCTTATTCTATTGACGTAATAGAAAGAAAAGGTAGCGGCGCCCCTCTTCATCGTCTTCCTCCGGTACCTTTCTTCTTTCATTAAAAAAAGTGTCTATTGAATAACTACTAATAACATGAATAAGAAAATATCAATAAAGCATTAAAGCTCTATTGGTTCGTCATCCTGTTACCGATTAGATCGATCTGCCAAACTTGATGTGTAGTGCGACTAAGACCGGAATTGATGTGTTTATTAGGCTAAGAAGGTGCAGCCATATAAGTGACGCTTTTACAAATACAATAGCAGGAAACTGCTTCAGCATAACATCCCCCTACTCAGCAACAAAGTTTGATTTCAATTCTTTTGTACTCCTTGTTATTGTATGCAGAAAATGATTAATGATCTTGTATATCCTTACACCCAAACGCCTACATTGTATAATAAACGTACAAAACCATTTTCAGCTCTTCTTACTGATAAAAGGATGGTAGGGTTTCATGCTTAGAATTAAATACAGTATAATGTAAAGTAGAAGAGAATCGAGATATGAATCTTATCGCCCTTTTCCCACATCAATTACTAACTGTCAGCTGGTGTAAATCACGAATTGCTACGCAATGCGTAAAAGAAGACCTTCAGCAAGTGTGCATTTACCAGAAGGGAAAAGAGATAGAGATACCAATGTTAGATAATGCGTTTTTGATGTAGGATCCTGCATTCACGTTCCCGTGAAGATCGGAACATCTCTGTGCGCCATACGGAGATCAGGGTGCCGCACACTTGTCCTTGTTTGCTCTTAAACGCCGATGCAAATAAATTATGCAGTTATATGGCATCAGCACCAATTGTATCGTCTCGTTATATTTGTGCGGCGCGCTTATAGATACATACTACACTTGTGTTGTTGTGTGTGGATACATAAAATGAAAGGGAAGGTCTAGATTTTGCTTTTGGGACGCCAGAGCTTACTAACTTACCGTTTTAAAATATATACTTGAGCTACGCATGATCATGATCACATGTTCGTTCTTCTGCACCGCACATACACCGGTGAAGGAGTGGAGAAAACGTTTTCATGTTTCAATTTACAGTAGCGTGATCTTAGACAGAAAACTTCGTAGAAAGGTCACTGAACTGTCTACAAGATGCTGTAGGGAAACGCAAATATATCGCTTAACAGCATTTTTTATCCCATAAAAGCGTCCTGGTCGATTCATCATGTAGAGGAACGTGTAGATTTAAATGAAGTCCAACGCGCAAGAAGAGTGGGCACAATCCTACTATACGCCTCTAGCACCTAAAACGGCCTTCCAACGTCATGTGAAGGTCCAAACGGTGACCTGAGATATTGGATGCAGTTGATCAAAGTATATTTCTGTTGCATAACCGGTCATGGTGCTCAAGATAAATACGATGGAGAGAGGGAAAGGAAAACTAAATGGCAATCATTAATTAGTAGCAGTCAATCCCATCGATCCTTCAGCTCTTCATCTTTGATAGTGGGAGCTGCCTCTCGGCCAGAGTAATACACGAAAATGACTATCAGCGAAAGTTTTGGCCCGACCTGCTCCTCCCTTTTTCTCCTAGAAATAATAGACCAACTCTTCCATTCGTTCGTCGAGTATGACATCTTCTGTTCTGTGCTCGCGACTGGATTCTGGTTTTTACTGGGTACAATGGGAGTTTTTGATATCAAATTATGCCAAGAGCACCTGCGGCAATTTGAGAGGCTTTGCCCACATGCAAGACGCTGCGTATCCGAAATGACCGTGCTTGTCGACCTCGACAAGGAAAGCCGTTATTACTGTGCGGTAGATGACTTCCAATTGTGGTTTGGTGCCGCATGTACAGAATGGCTGCTAGTCTCCAGTGTGGTAGACTACATTTTATAGTAGATGCTAACCCAGAAACCTTGCGGTCCTTGCTTCTACCAAATAGTATCTTGATATCTGCAATCTGGGAGAGATAGCGTTGCAGGTTACGCACAGATATTGGCCGTTGATACATAAACCGACCATCAGCGTGCCGAGGTGAAATGTTTGTGGGTTTGTACCGCAGCCTTCGTATTTACAGTCATCTACTAGTAGTATATAATAGCTATCATGTTAAATAATTTGTAACAATCATTGTATAAATGATGGCCACAAGCTACTGATTGGGGTGATGACGATGATGATGGAATACTGTAGATAGTCATCAATTAAATATTGTTTGTCACAACATGTTGTATGGTACTATACACTTTCGCCAGAAAAAGAAATAAAGTCTTATGCTCTACTAACGTCTGAGAACAAGACAAAGAAAACAGTGACTAGTATATATCTATGGCAGGATCGAATCTACAAAAATAGCGGCTTCTACTGTACCGTCGTAGCATCATACTAATGATGACATTGTTTGATTTTTCTTCATAAAAGTAGAAACAGAAAGAAAAACAGAAAAGTGATCTGCAATAAGAAGAAATTAAGGGGTATCATACAGCATACATGCATATGGCTTGTGACCGATCTTCAGAATTTCTGCGTCGACAAATGCAATGTCGCCACATGTACTGCTCCCACGTGAGATATTCTATAACTTGATAGTATGATAAGTAGGTTGCGTTTCGCCCTCTCGAAGGTGATCAAGTAATCACGTGTGGACAACAGTGCGGTTTATGTATAAGCATGTACTTATTTTCGAAACTATTTGAAGTTCCAACCCTACTGCTGCAAGGCAAATGGCAACATTTACATCAGGTAGTAAATACTAATTTTGATATACATTTTGGTACAGGAGTTGGCTCATCTCCTAAGAATATAAATGTAAAAGGTGCAGCTAAAAGCAGAAAGCAAGCAATAATAATACAAAGCCAGAAGAACCCAACTTTATCGAAAAGAAATCCACCTAAAAGAGGCCCAGTGATAGCGCCTATAGTAAAAATATTTATCATCAGCATCAATTTATTTGTCACCATTATGTTATGTACGAGTCGTTCTCACTGATAATACGAATGAAAGAGAGAAGACGAGCCATTTTTTTTTAAAAAAAAAAACAAGGGTTATAATGTTCAAAGCTTATGATACATACCGCTAGCAAAAGCAACATTAAGCAGAGCATAACTGCTTGCAGTTCCATCTTTACTGCTGTTAGTCAAAGAATTAACTGCATGTGCGATTTCTGGGAATGCTGAAACAGTAAATGCCGCAGCAAAAAAGCCTTCGAGAGCAAACAGCACAATTAAAGGAACAATACTTCCAAGTGTTGAATGGTTTGGTATTCCCATCAGACCGGTGCAAATTCCACAGAGAGTCATGGTAATGGAAGTTATCCACTTGGGACCGAAACGATCATAGGCATATCCGCATATTGGCGTGGCTACGAAGGATGGGATCATTTGAGCTAGGAAAACGATGCCGATTTGACCAGAATTGTAGCCCCATTCGCTGGCTAAGCGGATCGGCATGGTGGGCTAATTAAAAGAAACATACTAAACGTTGAAGAGACTTATACTACCATAATGGATCAGATGCAAGCTTTATCTTACCTCAAAGACATTGAATGCAATTCCAAATGCAAAGCTGGTGAGCATTGCTACTAGAGCCCTTGGATACCGCATAAGCTGCACTACGGTGAAAGAGCGAGAAACAGGGGGGGATTCTTCATTCGCCAAAATCTCTTCTTTGGTGTCAGCAGTAGCATCAACATCAAGGTGCGATAAATTTTTGTTATTGCTAATATGGGATGAAAGATGGTTCTCCGTTGCCGTTGTTGTAATAACTTCACTGTTGATAGTCGCTGTTTCATCGCCTTTCCGGGAAGAATCACTGTTCGTAGCGCTAAGAATGTTGCTATGTCGACTCTGTGCTTCTTCGTGTTCTTCTTCTTCAATAGCAACGAATGCACGTGGTGCTTCTGTTGTCACTATTGCTTCATTGCCGCCTTGATTATTGCCGCACTGAAGAATGCTATCGGCTGACGGCTCAAACCATTCTGCCGAACAGTTTCGACGTTCAATTACAAAAATCCGTAGAATCAAGTCGATGACAGTAACGATGAGACACAAAATAAACGGTGCACGGTAACCATAACTATGGAATAATACTGTGCAGTTGAATTTGCTGTATATCAGATATCTGCTCTGAGCTATGCCGTAATGTTAGCAGATATATCCCGTGATTAAATACACATACCACCTGTAAACATACAAAAATGTGTAAAATCAAACTTGACATCAGTATCAAATAACAGATGGAATATATTAATTTCACGCAAATTACTTATACTATTTAATAATGGCAATATTACCTCCAATTGGTGCGCCGGAAGCTAGTCCAACTGTATGGAATGTCACTGCTTTGCTTAACTAAGCGAATCTTAGTGGATGTAATTTTCCCCAAAGTGATAATGTAGTTATTCGATTACTTGTATACACGTCATAAACGGCGTACCTGAGCTCCGAGGACTTGTGGTGGAGAAGTATCAACGATGAAACAAAGACCAAGTGTCCAAATACAAGCATCTGCAAAGCCTTGTAAACAGCGTGCAACTCCAAACATCCACAGTTGATTTCCGTAAAGGAAGAAAAAGATGGACCCAAATAAGGCTACCATTCCCAAAAGCATAGGGTATCTTCGATGAGGTATTCGATCGCCTAGGTAAAATTTGTTTCATTTTGTTGTTGTTGTTGCAGATCCCAGGTTAAGATCGACAACATTAAAGAGCACTAAATCAGCGATCATGAAACAATGCGGAGAAAACATTTACCCATATAACCAAGGAAGGGACAAGCAACAACCATTGCAACGGCAAAGAGGGCGAGCAGTATACCCGTCTCTTTCGAAGTTTCTCCAGAATTTTGTACACCGTTGCTTTCTTGTCCGGTTAAAGATCTTGGGTCTTTTCCTTCATGTATCGCTTCGATTACAAAGGGCACTAGATACGAGGATTTTTATTTGATATCTCAAGGTTATCATAAATAAATATTTATAATTTTTTCCTTTAAAGCGGTAGAAGCAATCGTATGTTCTTGTCTGCTTCTCAAGTCTTCCAAAAATACTTACTAATGGGGATGATAATGGTATAAATAAACATCTAATAAAAAGAGGCCGTTGATACAGTATCATTATAGAGATCACGGTTATTTTTGTAGCAGGAAAATACATATACGACTATCATCTTCTAACAAAGCTTACGTTTGTAAATAATCCAATGCCCACCGTTACCAATACAAAAGCGTTGGATGCTCGAAACCTAAGAAGGATTGGCTTTTTCCGTGCGTTTGTGCAAGCGGTTTGACGGTTATCTTTGCATCGTAGTAGCTTTGTCATCGATTGTCCAAACTGCGATTCACTTTTGAATAGAACACTAAAAGAAACAGTCGAATTAAAATGCTTGGAGATTCTCCATCTTAAATGCATTTTCTACTGTAGCCTAGCCTACTTTAGCAGTCCCCTCTAGTGCTTCAAGTGCCTGATCCATAGCACCAAAATCAAACTGAAATGGATGTGCGTGCAAGAATGAATAAAGCCCGCTCGACTCGACCACGTTCATTTCAGTCACACAGGGCCACGCTGCGACGTTCAATGCATTGCTTTTCCTGCTGCCTTTTAGACATTCACTCACCACTATAACACTATGGGTTCTCGACGCCCTTTGGACGAAGAATATATCGACATTGATGATACCCTCAATCAAGACGACGAGGCCGGCAACGGAGGCTACGCTTGGGAAGAAGAGTACAAACGAAGTTGGGATGTTTTACAAGAAGACGAAGAAGGGCGATTAAGTAGTGTCGTCGCGCAATTACAGCAACAACGAAAACGACGGAGGTATATATACGATTTTACCATTTACAACCGATCTTACTTGAACCAAGTCTTATATATTAGTGTCATTGAGATGATCAAGGATTCTTACGTACTTGCTATTTTCTTGCTAGGTTATTGAAAGACACAGCCGTGATTCAACGTGGCATTATTCGACACTTGTTCCTGATACTCGATCTTTCGGAAGCCATGAACGAAAAAGATTTACGGCCGAATCGGATCGATCTCACCGTAAGCTACGCCAAACAATTCGTCATTGAATATTTTGATCAAAATCCCATCTCCCAGCTGGGCATTATTGTCACACGCGACGGCATTGCGGAAAAGCTAACAGAACTGAGCGGCAACCCAACCGACCATGTTACCGCTTTGGAAACAAGAAATAATATTGAAACGAGCGGCGAGCCGTCCTTACAGAATGCACTGCAGTTGGCTCGATCAAGTATGGTGGGTGTACCCAGCCACGGTTCCAAAGAGATACTGCTGGTCTTTGGCGCCCTCACAACGTGTGATCCATCGGATATCCATGATACTGTGAATTTGCTTCAAAAGGAAAATGTGCGTGTAAATATTGTCGGGTTGGCAGCAGAAGTACAGATCTGTCGAGAATTGTGCACAAAAACAAAAGGTAATGAAAAAAAAGCTGATGATTAAATAAAAGGAGAATTGGGTAGATAGACGCAATAATTAGGTGGTAATGATGACGGTGCGTATAAGTGATGAAATCAATAACTGAATCGTGTAAACACCAATAGGAACGTATGGAGTTGTTTTAAACGAAGCACATTACAAGGATCTCTTGTTTGACGCAATACCGCCACCGGCGATCGCACCTACCAAAAACAGATCAAATCTTGTAATGATGGGCTTCCCTCGTCGGCAGAGGGAAAATCAGGCGACGTTCTGTGTATGGTAAGTGGCGGTAAACAACTCAAGTGACTTAAGAAACGTAAACAAGATTAACAAATGATCTATCATTTTCCTCTTTATTCTTATAACAAAAGCCATTCAAAGCTGACGACAGCCGGTTACATTTGTCCGCGATGCAAGTCGAAAGTATGCGAACTGCCAAGCGACTGCGATGTTTGTGGACTGACACTAGTCTCGTCACCGCACTTAGCAAGATCGTACCATCACTTATTCCCCGTAGAAAACTTTGACGAAGTCAGGGCCAGGTAAAGGGATGAAGAGGAGTAAGAAAGAGGGGAGAAAAAAAGATCGAAAGGAAAATGTTATATGAAGCAAAGTAATGACTCATTGCCCTTGCTCGGTCTGCACCGACATATATTGTACATCAGCAATTTACAGTCCTTGCATTGCTTCTCCTGTCTAGTTCCGTTCGATAAAGCAGATACCGGCACCACCGCAACCACATCAGCAGCCAGTTCGGGTCAGTATGCGTGTCCAAAGTGCAAGCAGGAATTCTGTATGGATTGTGATATATTCGTCCATGAAGTGCTTCATAATTGTCCTGGCTGTTGGAGCACTGCAAGCAGCAATAACAACGTCAAGGCCCAAAATAAGAGCCTTGCATGAATTTGGTGCCAGGAGGCGTGCGGAGGTTGTGCAAGTGGTGAAGGTGGTGTACAACCTCCTCCCGCAATGGTGGCCGGCCAACCTGATTCGCTGCTGCTTACCCGCTTCCTGTCATTTTCGGATAAAGAAAAAAAAAAAAGAAATCTAAAGTGTTGCTCATGGGAGAGCGGGGAGGAAGCGAAGTTTGTTGTTGTTTGTGGCTATCAGTTATCAGACAACTGACTGTCATGTATGATCTTGGCATACATGCATCATTGTATATCTTCTTAAAAGTCGAGATTGAATAAATTAAGTAATCGCGTGGGATGTGCGTACGCTTGTTTGTCTCTTTTGGATCTCGGTCTGCCCCGCGATCTTTAGGACAACTATAAAAGCACGCCGCATTCCTTTTGAACACTTCACCTTTTCCCCCTTTTGTCACTCTCTGCTCCTTTCTCTTCCTCTAACCAACACTATCTTGTTATTACAGCAACATGTCCTGCTTATTGCACAATCTGCCGTCCGAAATCATTTGGCAAATTGTTTCGTACTTGTCACTAAAAGACCTCACAACTGCACGGCTTGCATCTATGAAATTACGGCATTTCTGCGACCATCCATCCCACTGGAAAAACATCCGACTTGAACCACCACGAAAGGCGGCCACAACCACAACGACGGATGATAAGAACAGCAACACCAAACCATCCAGCATGCCGCTATGGCAGATCAACGATCTTGAACACATTCTCGAGCCGCATCTCAAACACATCCAGTCCATCCGGATATGGGGCGTGCGTGACAACATTGTCCGGTACCTACTCCAGCATTGCGTCAATCTCAACGATCTGACTATCTGCGGCTGGACTACGCTCTCGAACCATGCTTTCAAGACATCACGGACACGTCTTGCCTTGCGGCGATTGGAACTAATTGGTGCAGACCAGCAGCCCAACTATGCCGCCATTGATGCCCGCTTGCTGGGTGATTTATTAACACAATGCCCAGACTTGTCTGAACTCATGCTCGGTTGCCAAGTGCACATTCATGCACGCACGCTCTTGATAGAACTCAGAAAGCGCAAAAACTCTACCTCCAACACCACCCAGCAGCACCGACAACAGTTGCCGCCACTGCAATTGCGTTCACTCACACTGGCCACGCGACGTACTTGGTCACAACGACATGTTGCCGAACTATTAGACCTTTGCCCACATCTCGAGCGCGTGTCGCTCTTTCTAGCTGCAGCAAAGGGTTTCGATTTGAAGAAAAGCGAAGATATCCACCAGCTCATGATGGCAGATAAACCGCAAGAAGTATCTTTAGAGCCCAATAGCGATGGTGAAGAGGATGACGCCCAAGACAATGTTGTTGGCATGGCACACGATATGGTTATTTTTCGTCGCTTGTCATCATGATCACCACCGCTAAATACCATCCATCATCATTATCAACTGCAAGCAGAGTGGGCAGGCTCCACCATAATACCACCAGCACACCTTCATCTTTTCTTCTCTCTTAAAATCATTGTCGACTTGGCATTTTTGCACTTTTCTTCTCTTCTTTGTCTTCGCATCCTATCATTTTTTGTAATATATTTCAGACAGGCTTTTCTGGAATATAAAACTTGCACACAAAATAAAAAAGTTCAATCCATTTTTGCTCTTCCTCTTACTTTCCAACTTCCGCAAAAAAGATACATAAAAGGAGACACGCACACATAATGGGCATTGTCTTTAGTAATTTATGGAACAAGTTATTTTCAAAAGCTCAGGTTAAAATCAGCATTGTCGGTCTCGACAATGCCGGCAAAACAACCATCTTGTATAAATTGTAAGCGACTCAGTACAACATGAACCATAACAACCTACTGCCAAGCTTCTCATGTGCTTATATAATATTAGGTTACTCAACCAAGTTGTCACAACAACACCTACGATCGGAAGTAATGTCGAAACAATTGAATATAAGAATATCCGGTTTCTCATGTGGGCAAGTACATGTGCTTTTCTTTGCAGTTGGATGTCGTGATGAGCTTGTCGACGATAGTAACACGGGCATCTTTTCGCAGGATATTGCTGGACAGGAAACCATGCGACCTACGTGGAAGACGTATTATGTTGACACAAAGGTTAGAAATGACTATTGGATGAGAAGGATGGATTGACCTGGTAACAGTGGGCTATGATGGGAGTTACAGGTAATGAGCGGGTGGGTGAGAACCGGGGAGCCTCACAGGCAGGCTTTCTTTATTGTATAGGCCGTCATCCTAGTGATTGATAGTACGGATAATGCCCGGCTCAATGTGGCAAAAGAGGAAATGCACCGAATGATGGAGAGCGAGGTAAAGCATCCATTACTGTTTACAACGTCCCGCAGTTTCATTATTGTTTATATGAGCTGATTTTTTTCTCGCTTTTGTTGGCATAAATAAACTTATAGCAACTCAAAGACGCATGTTTACTGGTATTTGCCAACAAACAGGATGTAAAAGGAGCCATGACAGCATCCCAGATTTCCGAAGCTCTCAGTTTGACTAGTCTCAAAGATCGACAATGGCATATTCAGGTAAAAAATAATCGTAAGTTATTTATTCGCATACATATTAACTCCATGACTGAAACTTGTTTATATTGCTACTTATTAGGCATGTTCTGCATTGACAGGAGAAGGGTAAGAAGAAACTTGGGACAGCAATTACGATATAATCGACGCGTATGCGAATATGTTTCTGACGCAAAGAATATGTAGGTTACACGACGGTTTAGACTGGCTGGTTCTTCGAATCACGGGCTCTTGATATCGTCAAGCTTCATCAGGGGCTGGACGACAACATACATACCCAACACCCGCGCACATTCTATTTGGTATGCGACATGCTACATATATATACATATCCTATCTACTACATCTCAAGAAGGCCCCGCTTGTAAATATACTTTGTTTAAGCAACATAACGAAAACAACTATGTTTAGATTATACGTGGATATCATTCTAGAAGGGCTAGAACCGACCATGCTAAAGAGGGTTAGTAGTGCCAAGAAGCAGGACGTTTCCAAAGTAAATATGGAAAAACAACCAAAAAGCAATTTGAATTGTATGTAAAGCTATTTAATGACTATGTACAAGTTTGATACAAGCAACAGCGGGGTTGCTTTTTTATTCAAAGGTATTATTTTTTTCACAGCCATACACCAAAAGTAAATAGTGAAAAACAACTATCCTATATTCCTAGCAAACACAGATAGCAGGGAAGGGCAATTTACTGACGAGCAGCAATTTCCTTGGCAACAACAGCAGCACGCTTAGCCATCTTGGCCTGGGACTTGCTACCGTTGATACCACCACCCCAAGTCTTGCGGTGCTCATCCCACTTGTCATTATAGTTAGCCTTGACAGCAGAGACGACGTTCGCGAGTTCGTTCTTGTCAGCATCCTTGACCTCGGTGAAAGCAATGGCAGTGACCGATTTCTTATGAACAACTTCACCCAGACGGCCCTTGTTGTTGACAATGCAGTAAGGGACACCCATCTTGCGGCAAAGAGCGGGCAACCAAAGGACCAATTCGATAGGGTTGACATCAGCGGCAATGACGACCAACTGAGCCTTCTTTTGCTCGATCAAGGCAGTGATGTGGTTCAAACCATACTTGACAACGACAGGCTTGTCGGTCTTGGGCACCTCCTTTTTGGCAGCCTTGGCTTCGGCAACAGCACGGAGACGCTGGCGTTTCTCAACCTTGGTTTCGGGACGATACTTGTTGGCCAACTTGAACAATTGAGCCGAAGTGTTCTTGTCCAAAGTGTTGGTGAACTGGTTGATGGCAGGGGGGACCTTCAAACGGGTCCACAAGATACGCTTCTGACGCTGGAGGCGGACATATGCGGGCCACTTGACGAAACGGGTCACGTCGCGCTTGGGCTGAACGTCTTGACCAATGCCAAAGTTCTTGGAACGCTTCTCGAACAAGGGGTTCGTCTTGGTGGTCTTGCCGGCAGTCTTCTTGATAGGGTAAGGGGCAGGGGCGACCTTCTTGCCAGATTTCTTTGCTGGGGGCTGTTCATTGAGTGTCAAAACAGAATGTTCGATCAGATTCAAATTTTCATTACAAAAATTCACAACTCTGATTAAACGACACTCTAGTAGTTGAAAGGAGCAATAGAGCAACGCACCCACAAGGGATAGTGCACCATCGCTCCAAGCAACTCAGCCATAGAGAATTGTTCACAAAAGAAACAAAACAGTAGGGGAAGAGAGAATGACACGCTCGTAAATTGGTTCCCATAGAAATGCCAACACGAGGTATAAGAGTCTTACATATCGTCAGCAGGAGCTGGGATAATGCTCCTAGCCACAGAAAATCAAGTTTCCTGATCTTGCCATCTCGGTAAAAGGGTAAAGAGAAGGATAATATCAAGGATATTAAGGACTTACCATGATGTTGGACTAGGATATGTGATGGATGGATAGGTTAGATGTGATGGATATAATACTAGTCGCGTAAAAAAGAGGAAGAACAAAACGTTTCCCAAGACAGCGAAAATTTTATCTTCTTCAATAATTCGATGTCCGACACGTCTTGGAGAAAGCAGTTGGTCTGTGAACAACGTCCTTCGTCTTCTATCCTGCTGCAAGAGCCGTCAGCATACTGTTGATTCCCAACTGTACAGACACCTTTGTTCAATGTTTGCGAAGGTCCTTTTTGATGCTCATTTGGAACAATAAAAATGCGAATCAACACGGGTACGGTTGAAGCAAAATTTTATCAGCTTTTCATGATTCTTCTACATCTTTGGTTCAACCAGACGAAGTGCTTTGTGCGATAAACAATACCTGTGTATTAAAGAGATGCGACATATCTCTATCTCTGTATTGAAATAATTACCTCTATATTTGAAATCCTTGGTAGAAGTTACGAAAATGTTCTTACCTAAAAGGTAACTAACCCCGCCAAACATGCTTTACAATGTCAAAGCTTAGGGTGTAGTAATAATGCGGGCGAAGCGAGGTGCTCAGGGAAGTACTTTAGGCGTTTGAGGTGTTTAGGGTGGCATAGGGTGCGATACGTATTGTAGTATTACTCTAGATGATGGTGCTTGGAAAAGAAAACATACTCGCGAAAAAGAGATACCTTTCAAGAAGACTTATGCACCTTTTTCATTATGCTAATAAAGATGATTCGCATAGTGCTTCGTATAAAGTGACCTCGGCTCTGATCTCTGCTTCCATTGTTGCTGAAATGCTCTAAAATGTGGGATATGGGTAATGAGTAGACAAAATGATTTTCATTCCCCACTGCTCCTTTGCGTAAGCAAAGATTTACCAGTGTAACTTCTCAAAATGTGGTCATGGAAACGCCTGCCATGACAACGATATCGTAATAGACAGATGACGATTTAATTAGGCTTCTTTTTGCTACAAGGTGATACTGCTCTAGTTTTTGAAAATAGACAATTTAAGAATTATACCCGAAATACTGTTGCATACACGCTCCATAGGGAATCTGGGGAGAGTCCCCTTGCGACGCTTTTCCGTTCACTGATCCAAAACGAAGGGGAGGGGTTCATTCATTCGAGCGAAGCGAGGAAGGACCGCAAGTTATGTACTTAAAACTCACGGTTTTTGGAAGATATGATCTCTGTGGATTATTAACAACGTATAATTATTTATGGGTTTCAAGAAACAATGGCTTAGTAGACGAGGAAGGCATGTTGGCGAATAATGCTATCAGTGGCTCAGTAATAAAGTCGCTTTAAAATTTATATGAGTGCCAGCCTAAGATGATATCAATCCGCAGCAGTCATGAATCGCGTATTGCGATCATCCATACTCCCAAAATATGCTGTTTACTACTTGCCTGGTACAGCGTATGATATCGGTTTGTTGTAGGCTACAAAAAGTAGTACTATATAGCTATTATATATTACTATTAGTCATTCCTCACGAGGACATCTCAAGGTTACGCATATCACTACAGTAGTATTATGTTAGGTTAAAAAGATCAGATCTGCTGTTAATCGTCGTTAAATTACATATGCTAGAGTATTATCGCTTAGTACATCTGCTGCAACATCAAAGAATCTTGATAACTACATCACTTGATATTTGGGTATGTAATGTAAGAAATGCTCAGAGGAATATTTAGAAAAAGAACGCCAAATATAGAGCTTTATACTGGAGAAAGAAGAAGAGAAACAGAAAATATGACCACTACATACAGAGCAAGTTGTACTTGAAAGTAAAGACCACGCGGTTTGAAACACTGATTATACTTTATAAACCATCTTTTAAGAGTGTGGATTACCAAGCGCTTGCGAATTGCAAGTGCATACGAAGATTTTTGTTAGCATCGCCACTGGGGTGCAGGCACGTATCACCAGTTTAAAAAAAAACTGATATCCTATCCAGGTAATAATAGGGTGGTAGATAGTTATCATCTAGTTTTCTAACACAGTGATCTTTATGCAGAAACTGTGTAATATGGAACTATCACTCACTGTTTGAACATGGTGATATTTTGCTTATTCATGCACGCAGAAACGAGGGTTTCTCGTGTTATTTATGCGGTTATAGTTGGGTTCTATATGCATCGCATATGGTTTGAATACCACGTGCAGCCAGTTTTTTACAGAGGTCTACATGTGTATGACTTTGCGTGTAGATGAGTATGTACAGATACAGTATGATAGGGTTAAAATGGTGGCGCATTGTCTGTCCCCATTGGTTTTAAGTAATGTATAATTATTCACGTTATAGTCGAATGAACCGATTTAATCTTATCTCAGACATTGTCGCATGATTTACGAGCAGCAAAAGATAGCTAGAACAAGTATTTATGGAGGGAAAGGAGCACGTCATATTATGTATACTACATATAATTGTCGGTAGTACTGTAATGGGAGGAGAATGGAATGTAGCGAACAGTAGAAAATACAAGCAAAATGTCGTATCGTAAAGCGCGGGATGGAGCAGTGTCGTCGTTCAAGACACCACATAAAAAGGTAGAGCAGCTGTTAGTTTGGAGATTAGAGGTAGCAAAAAAAAAACAGAAAAAAAAGCCATTTGATATTTATGTTCCACAGGCGTTGCTACTTGAGACAGATTGAGGTTTGCCAGGAAGCGGTCAAATGGATAAACGCAAAGAATCAGTAATGTACGGAATATAGGCAAGAAGGCAAATCCCTTATCTTGCCCTGAATATAAGAGATTTGAAAGTACCCTCTCTTTCCCTGGTACGGCTGATATTGGACGGAGATGTTCGATACTAGTACTGTACTTGAGACTATAACGCACGACAGGTGGCAGATACGTCAAGTCATTCAGTAAGCATGAACCTATGTAGAACAATAATAATTGCATGTCCTCGGTGAAGATTAGGGCTCATAACATTGTCCAAAAACACTAGATATATGTTATACTGTATGTATGATAGATCTCACACAGACATTTAAACAACATACAATGCAGATATCATACTGACATTAGCAAAATACGAAGATATCGTTTAACGTCGCATAGGCGATTACAATCAAGAACAAGAATTGGTCGATGCAGCAGAGTTATGTCCCGATCTGTCCGCAATCAACAACCGTATCTTTAACATGGCTTTCAAACACTAGCCACGTGATTTGCAGTAGTGCCCAACGTCGCGTGCTATTTTTCAGATCAATGACGACAGCCCGTCTCATTTTGGTTACCAACGTGCTGGAAAGTAACTTTTCCAAGGCAACAGGTGGTTTTGTAAGGTTACTGATTTGGTATATGTGAATTAAGTTCTCCTAGGCGATCTGAACGGTATGGTGCATTTCACCTGTAATCGCCGATAATTTAGACGAACTTTGAAAAGCTTCAGGGACTCACTATCTCAAGATATTACAAAACTATACTTTAAGAATGCTTTTTAGACCTATTATAAATAATTATTAAAGTGTAGAAGTTTGAAAAACCACTTGAAAAGAAAGTTGAAGCCTTTCAAAGTTGGTCGGT